AAAACAGTTTTTTAACCTTTTTTGCTCAAGTATTGTCAGATCAGTCAAAATATTACCACTTAATGGAATAGCGATGGATCAGCAGTCATTACTTCATTATTTTAAGTAACCAAATATTTTAAAAATTGTTTTTTTTAAAAAAATGCAGGATAACAGAATTCTGTATCTGTTTTATAGATTATGACAATCTCAACCCTTACAGCATTCATGGTACTGTGGGGAAAGTGGTGGCAAGGCAACTACGTCACCCAAACAAAATTCGAGTTGGGACGAATGGCTCCATAAGTAGTCACGTTCTTGCACCCAAGCCCAAAAGGTGAAGTTTTTCTACTGTGACTCGTAGTCAATTTCAAAGCAATATATATTTTACCAGTTGGTAGTATTCTTCCCTTTGTGACAATTACATGCTGTAATGAGTGGGGTGCTGCAATGTTTGAGATACCTTCTGGATGAGACATTTTCAAGGATGTGTTAAAAAAAATCCCATCAGCAGACTATTTGGTAATAAAAGAGGATTTCCCCAGTGACTTGGCCGAAATTCTTCAAATTAATTCATTTTTCATTTCAACTCACAGCTGTGAGTGTCTTGCTAGTGCAAATGGCTGAACAGTAATTACATTAATTATGCACTTTATCAAGGTGTTAATGTGCCTTTTTCCCTCAATTTTTCTCTCTTTCCAACACACCACTTAAAGACCAAATGTTTTATTCCAACAGAGAATAAGGAAGTTGACCATAAGCATCAAATAAATTCAGACACATACATTTTATTAGTACAGGTAGCCAGAAAACATGGAACGTGTCATTATTTCTTAGCTTTACCTTTTCTCTCGCATCGGTCAGTCAGAAATGTCCATCAGGGCTCTCTGCCTCCTCAATCCGTCTGCTGGCTTCGACACTGTTGACCACTCCATTCTCCACTGCCTCTCAGCTCAACCTTCACGGTTCTGTCCTTGCCTGAGTAAAGGGGGCATGCATGTGTGGACCGCTTTCTGGTTTGGTTGTTCAAGCATGATGGTTTTTTTGCATATCAAGCGTAACATTAGTCCAGCATGTTAAGCTTACTGCAATGATAAGTGTGATACTGTAGTGTACAGTCCATACATCATCATTCTCACAGCCATGAGAACCACAATATTCAAAAATGATGATATCAGCTTGTGCTGGAATACTTTTCTTAAAGGTGTGTGGGAAATAGTACGGTTCTTTCTCCTCCTGCCCTACCCCCCCTTTCTCTATCATTTCAGCACAGCTACTTGTAAATAAATGCTTTCCTTCTTCGAGGACTGTCACTTTCTTCTTGAATCATGCAAGCATTCAGATGTAGTGGCCAAGGAAAATAAATATTTACTGTATACCAAGGTTGATATTGCAGCACTGATTTAACATAGATGCTCATCTATTTAACATAGATGGCTATGCTAGGCACCTTCTGCATTGAGTAATGCTAAAGGATACAGGCATTCTTCAAACCAGTATGAGCTCAAATAATTGTTTAGCTATTAATATTTGAGCATTTTATATACTCATAAATTCTTCTTCTTGGCAAAGAACAAACTGGCTTCAATTGCTTGTTTTTCAGTGTGCGGGCCTTCAGCCTCTCTGCCCCCACCTTTTGGAACTCCATCCCGGTCTGTCGCCTTGCACCCTCCCTTGCCTCCTTCAATGCACGTCTCAAGAGCCACCTCTTCGACTGCCCCCATCGGACACCCTCCTATGATCCTGATCCCAACCCCTTGGTCGGGTGCAATTACCTAACTGTCCAGCGCTTTGGGACATCCTCCCGATGTGAAAATGGCTGTGCAAATGTAATTTTTTGATGTGGTGTGCTTTAGTTCGTCCTTTGCTTTAATAAAGGCTCATAATCCAGTCCCAACAATGTGATGTCATTTGATTTGGTCTTTGTTCAACCAATCACCGTGGTGATAGAACTTTCCCATGAAGATATAGAGATGGGTTAAGGCCCATTGTGTCGGGCACTACTGGGCTTGAAAGAGCTCAAGAGAACACAGGATCCTCCTATGGGATAGGAAATAACCATGTTTATCTGGTTGGTCCCACACTTAACACTCTAGAATTCTTTATTTACCAACTAACTGTCTCTTGAAGTTGCTGACAATCTGTTTCTACCACCTCCCTAACTCTTAATACATTCATCACTCTGTGTAAAGTGGTGGAATCTAAGATGGGTTGAAGAATAGTGGAAAACCAACCATGTTTCTCACTTAAGATTGGCCTTCAGAGGCAATCCTCCCACAGCTGTGCACGTATGCGGCACTCAGTCAGCATCAGAACACTGTTATGGGGAAATATCCTGTTGACACTCGCCATTCAAGCCTCACGTATGGGCACGTAGGTAAGGTATTGGTGTAGGCAACCAGCATTTGGAACTGTCCTGGATGGGTGGGGGTGTAGAAGAAAGGAAACTTCATGAAGAGGGGAGAAAATTGGAAGAGAATAGTTGGTGAGAATTTTATTTATAGTAGTCTGGTAATTTTTTTTTAGTTCCCCATCAGTTTGAATGCACTGCAATTACTGTCAAGATTAGCTGCCTTCTTTGGTTACAGAGCTCAAATCCATCACTAAATTTCAAAGTAACTCATTGAATGCCTTGGGACGTCCTCCCGATGTGAAAGGCGCTCTATAAATGGAATCTTGTTGTTGTTGTTGAATGTAGTGATGTGCGACATTGACACAATAGGACACGATTCAATTTAAGTAATTTATTTAAATAAATCGAGTTTTCCAACCAATCTCGGAAAATCCTGCTATGATTGCCAGTTATTCAATTTACTGACATGGGCAGAAAGTCGCATTGGTGCCAGAATCCTGTAGACATAGCATTAAAAAGCCTCACTTACTGTACTTATCGCTCGTTGTGTTACAGCTCAAGACCCAAAAGTGTCAGGTTGAAACAGATAGAATGTCCCAATGAAAAACTGGATCTCCAAGAATGCCGAGATCACCAAACCCAAATCTTCTTAAGGAATGAACTTGAGGGTTTTGAACCACTCAGCTTGGAACAAGAAATGGAAAGATTGAATGTAAAGGTCATTGTGCTAAATCCAAAAACAGAAGCGCTCCCGCAGGTAAGTAAGAATCACTCGCCAAAATCGTGTCCCGTAGTGTCAGGCTTCCGAGCCCTCTCCAAAACACAAGGATTCACAGGAGCCTTCAAGGTCAGTTAGCACCTCACATGTCAGGACACCTTGTCAGAATTTAGCGTCAATTTTCAGACAGTGATGTTCGACGGCCATGAGTGAATGGATCATTTTATTGGGGATGTGGGAGGGGGGGCGCGGGGTTTGTCGGTCGGGATACTGGGGGAAAACTCCCCTTTTCCATTAGCGCTGCGGGATCTTTAATGATCACCTGAACGCGGCGGAGTAGGAGCTCGCTTTAACCTCTCGGCCGGAGGACAGCGACTAACAACGCGGTGCTCCTCCGAGTGCTGTGTTGCTGTGTCGGCCTAGATTGTGAGCTCAGACTCCCTGACGAAGGGGGGACGGGGAGTGGGGGGGTCTCAAACCTACAATTGTCTGGCAGAACCTGGCTGACATCCCCAAGGGACCGCCTCTTGCTTGCCCCCTACACCATCGGCGGCCGCGCCTTCAGCCTCTACGGCCTGAAGCCTCTCCCCCCGAAACCCTCGTCCCCTTCTATTCCCCTCCCCCCCCCCACCACCCATTTTCAGCTCACCACGAAGACCATCCTCTGAAGTCACTCCCCTTTGACCAGTGAACACCGTGAAGCGCTTTGAGGCGCCTCACCTCCTCACCCAAGCGAGTGGTTAGGAGCGCTCGCTTTGCAAGCGAGAGACCCGAGTTCAATCCCCGGGGGGGAGTGGGGGGGTGGGGGGGGGTCAGGGCCAAACCTCGGGCCAGTTTCCTTACTCCGCCCAGAGCCTAAACAATAACCCCTCCAAAAAAAAACCCCAAAACAGTAATAAAAACCGGTCGCTTTCAATCCACGACCGTTCGTTCGTGGGGCGTTGCTCGGGGCGGCCGCGTTTCGCCCACAAACACACGCAGTCGACTCACTGGACAGCGTGTTCTGTGAAGCGCTTCGGGACGTCCGCCCGACGCGAAAAGCGCGATATCAAATGCGAGGATTATGATTATTATTATTGATGATTATTTCAGATCAAGACCCGGGCCGAGCCCTGCCCTTACAGCCCCACCAAGGCCTGGCGCCCGGAGGAACACGCCGCTTACCCCAGCCGCCGGATGACCCGCCGCCGCTCTGCCCCGTCGACGACGGCGGTGGCGGCGGTCCGAGCGGACGACCCAAGCAGGTCCACCAGTACCACCCGCCCGACTGGCACCGGCTGCAGATCAGCTGCGACAACACCTTCCGCGTCGACAAGTACATCTACCGGTGCCGCGGCGACCGGCAGAAAGCGGCCGAGGATAGCCACCGCTGGTCGCTCGTGCCGCCTCGGTTCTCGCCGCCGCCCTCGCCGCCGCCGCCCCTCCGCCCGCCGCCGCCCCGCTCTCTCCGGCTCAAGCTGAGGACCAAGCCGGACGACAAGGTGCACGTCCGCTTCCTGACCGCCGACGGCACCACCAGGCCCTCGGTCCTGCTCGACTACGACACGAGCGAGTCGCTGCGGAAGGCGAGGGCGGCGGCGGAGGCGGCGGGAGCGGGAAGAGGAGGAGGCAGAGGCGGAGGCGGCGGCGGCGGCGGCGGCTCCGTGAGAGGCCGCGCAACGGCCGTCCACCCGCTGTCAACCACCCCGACGGGCGCCCAGACCCGCAGCTCGGCCGCGGGGCTCGACGACGACCTCAACGTCGCCGCCGCCTTGACGGCCGCCAAGTACCCGCTGGGCCGGAGGATCCCGCCTCTGCGAGTCCAGGCGACGTCGGAGACGGGGGTCGCCGCAGCAGCCGCCGAGGTCGGCGGGCGCCGGAGGAGGAAGAGGAAGCCTCAGCAAAGTCCCCGCCAGGGAGAAGCCGCCGCGGGCGGACGGGATGAAGTCGCGCTGCCCGGGCCTGGCCCGGATGGCTCAGCTGCCGGGCGCCGCCGGGCCGAGCGTGTACAGCGCCCGGTACGCGCGGCAGCTGCTGAGCCAGTCGCCGGGCAGCGTGTGGTGCGCGGCGCGGCAGCCGCGCGGCGTCTCGTGCGGGGCCGACGGCACGTACGCCGCCCTTCTGGAACCTTCCGTGGCGGCCCCGTGGCGGGGCGACAGCGGCGGCCGGTCCACGCGCGACGTCAGGCAGCCGCTGGCGCCCCCGTCCGGCCACTCCGACTGCCAGCTGTCCGTGCCGCAGTTGGCCGACCTGCAGCTGTTGGCCTCCGGGGCCTCCGTCCCGGCCGCCGGCGCCCAGCAGCCGGGCTCTTCCTTCACGGGCGTGACGCCCTGGCAGGGCCCGATGGCAGAGCTCGAGTCGGACGACGACGTCCTCGAGGAGGAGGAGGACGACGACGAGGACGGCGCGACGGACTTCCGGCGAAAGCGATCCTCGGCCTCGAGGGTGACCATCGTGGTGGCGAGCGCCGGCGGCAGTCAGTTCAGCGTCACGTCGGACTTCGACGACGCCCCGATGTCGGTGCACAAGGACCGCGACGAGTGGCAGCCGCCTGAGCGCCGGGGGCGGGAGGTGAAGGCGGCCGAGACCCCACCGCAGAAGAACCGAGAGGCGGTGACGCCGCCCGCCCACCGGGCGGTAGGAGGTGACGGACGGAGTATTATTGTATGATGATGATCATAATAAATAATAATTCATGATAACGATGCGGATTATTCAACTGAAATCGCACCCGCGGGTCGAACGTGCGAATGTGCTGAGGGCCAGGTCTTGGCGGCCCGCGGGCCACAGGTTGGCCACCACCGCCCCACAGAGTGTACATGGAGGGTAACTGCTGGAGTCTGACCAGCTAAAGCCGGGGAGCTTGCCCGTTGGTTACCACTGCCTGCCAAGCTTTCCTGCTGCTTGTCCAGCAAGGACCACCCTACCCCCTTAGGGCTTTGACTTGCCGGGTTAACTGGAGCTGAGCTCCTCCCAAATCCTGCCCATAAGCGAGGCTTGGGCTGCCATCAGCGGGGCCCGGGGGACTTTTTGATTTTCCTTTGATATCCAATCGAATGGTACTCTTACGGTTGCCATCTCATTATGGACCCTGGGCTGGTTTAGGGTTAAGCATTGGTCATATTTACAGTCACGTTGGCAGATTAGATGGTGGGATTTTCAATGATGTCTGTGATAACTGTGGTAGATTGCAGTTTGTCACCTCTGGTGTTCATGGGGTAGTTCTGGGCCTTGTTTGGTCCCTCCCAAAAAACCACATGGTGGCGCCATACTCCACTCCAGAAAAAAAGGATCACTTGACCTGATTTTCATACAACTTGCACTTATATATAGCGCCCTCCACGCAGGGTAGCGTCTCAGAGCGCTTGTCAATAGCGGAGCCTGACTCCGAGCTGGAATGGGAGGGGAGGGGGTGGTGGAATTCAATTCATAGGGCCATTGAATACAAACCTAAGAAAGGCCCATAGAATCTGTAAAATACACTGGGAAAGCCACAACTGGACTATGGTGTGCAGTCTTGTGTGACCCATCATTAAAAAAAGGATATCATAACCATATAAATTTCACTTGGATGATAGCAGTGATATTTTTAGGATGCAGAACTGTATTCACTTTAACCAAAAAGGTTCAGAGGGGATCTAATAATGTTCTAAATTACAGTATAATTATAATTGAGGCATCTCAGCTGTGGCAACGTTTAGTCTAATTCGACTTTTAGAATAGCGATGGAAAATCATGCCCTCCTGATCCCCAGGAGGGAGTCCATGGAACCAATGCCTATGGAAGGCATTGAATGTCTTCAAGTGAGAGAAAAGGGAGAAAATTGAGGGAAATTTAGCTTGGGCCTTCAGTATCTCTCCCCCACGCTTTGGAACTCCATCCCACAGTCCCTTTGCTTTGCTGCCTCCCTCTTGATCCGTCTCAAGACCTTCCTCTTTGACTGCACCTTCGGTCACCCTCCTAACCCCATCCTCCTTGCACTCCACCTCTCCTGATCTCAATCCCCAGCTCAGGTCCAAATCCCTAACTGTCCAGCGCCTTGGGATGTCCTCCCAACGTAAAAGGCACTGTGTAAATGTAATTTCCTGTTGTTGTTGAGAGATTGTATAAAACAAAATCGGGTTAGAATGTGTGATAGAATTTGAAAATCTTGAACTTGAAATATTCTCGGCCCTTTACAGGAGAGCCAGTTGAGCCAGAGCTGTGACCAGTCCCAAATTTCACCATTGACCATCCCGCTGATCTTGTTCTTCAGTTGCTGCGATTGTCCCTCTCACGTCCGCTTTTGTTTCACTGGAATCCCGATCAACATTGTCTCAAAGCTCTGTTTCTTTTGCTGTTTTGACAATAAAGATTTCAGGGGGTATAAATTACTTGTATAAGTTAACATGAGAACATAAGAAATGCTGGATGAAAAAGACCAAGGTCCATCTAGTTTGCCTTCCACTTTCCTGACGGTCGCATGACGTGTGACCCTTGCTATGTACTATATCCCCCATAACTAAATTTGTTTAATTTGCATTATAATCTAATTCTTGATCCATACTGTGTTCGCAAAACTCTCTTAAGTATCCTTCCCACCTTTTCTCTGCCCTCTTCTGAAGGTGCTAATGCAAAAGGTTATGATTTAAATCTACCTTTCGCCAAGAGATTGCTTTTCATGTGTGAGCTTAGTGAGTAGCTGCAACTCACCATCCTTGGAAATAAACCAAGGATGGTGAGGCAGATCTAACAATTTGCACTTAAAGTGTCATTCACTTAGCTTGAATGTCTTACGTTTCACAATGATAATGTATATTGTTTTTTGGGTTGACCAATGATATGGAAAAGAGACAAATGTTTAAAAGGATTCGGGGAGGGAATACCAGAGAGCAGTAAGTAGTCACTGGATGGAGGGATGGAAGGAGTGTTTCTAGTGTTTTGTGTGAATTTAAGTACAACTTGTTGTAATCCAAAAATATAACAGCAGAGGGTGTGGGTGCGGGAATGAAAAAGTGCAAATATCTCTTGCTGTTGTATACAGTAGTGGGGAGTGGGAGGGGGGGGAAAGAAAAGATGTCAGAATATTTAATTAGTAAATTTTGGTGCTTTTGCGAACTGAGGAAGTTTATGCCTAAAGTCATGGTTCATGAAGGTGAGTACTGTATAGACGTCTAGTTCAGATTTGGTATTCTATTCAGAATGTTTCCTGGGTCAAGAATATATGGAGCTGTGTTGAGATTACCCATTTTTTTTGTAACTCCAAAAATTCAGCTGTAATATTATTTAAACGAAGAATGGTTTTGATAGGGTAAATACAAATATTTCAATTGGTCGGGAAGTCAGTAATAAAAGGGCTTAGAAGGCTAGAATTAACATTGCAAGAAATAAAAATAAGTTTAGCAGATGTCTCTAAGCAGAAAGTTACTAGGATGTGGAATACTTTACTGCGAATGGCCGTTGCAACTGAGTCTATAAGGCTATTGGATAAAGAGGTAAAATAATAAACTGTACTGGTTATTAGAATAGATAGCGTCAGTTCAGGAACCAGCACCAACAAAAACACCATGGGCCAAAATAGCCTCCTATGCTTTAAACTGTCTGATGCTGAGTGTTTTTTAGTCTTTGGCTGTAAGGTCTTATTTTAATATTTAATAATATTGTCAGAATTCTTAGATTCAGTTTTAATTTGGAGGCTGGTTCTTTTAAAGACTGGAAGTTTGGAAAACATTAAATTTTAAGACAACATACTCGTACTAGGTTACGTTTGGGGCATTTGTTAGTTCCAGAGGGAGCTCGAGCTGGTTCATTTAAAATATTGTGAATGTGTATGGTGGGTGGAGTGTGAGAAGGATTGTCATGTTTTGCAAAAAAGCATTAGTTGTCTTAGTAAAGGAAAATCCCAGAATAAAACACAAAAAGATTTCAGTGATCAGCATCCACAGAAATTTACAACACAGAAGGAGGCCATTCGATCCATCATGCTTATTCTATACCAGCTTTCCGATGACAACAACAAAATTACATTTGTGTAGCGCCTTTCGCATCGGGAGAGTATTCCAAGGCACTGGACAATCAGTGTTTCGGACTCAAGCTGGGAGTCGGTTCGGGGAGGGTAGAGAGCAGGGGGGGAAGGAGGGTGACCGAAGGCACAGTCAAAGAGGAAGGTCTTGAGATGGGTCTTGAAGGAGGCAAGGGAGGGGGCGAGGTGGGAGTTCCAGAGGGGGCAGAATGGCAGAAGGCCCACTCGCCATTGGTGGGGCGAGCGAGACAGGGGACATGAAGCAGGCTGGAGCCTGCTGAGCAGAAGGAGCGGCCAGATTGGTAGGGGGTTATAAGGTCGCAGAAGTAGGGAGGAATCAAGGCATTGATTGAAGGTGAGGACAAGGATCTTGATCTTGTACTGTGTAGTGGGAAGCCAGTGGAGTTGGGCGAGGATAGGGGTGTCGCGGAGCCTGGTGTGGGAGACTACATAGGCTGCAGAGTTCTGGATGATCTGCAGCCTAGTGAATCAAGGGAGGAGTTGGGAAGGCCGACAATTTGCGTCAGTTTGCGTAGACGAGCCTGGATGTTGTGAATGCATGTGTGAAGGTCTTGGCGGCCTGCGTGTGGGACAGTGGCAGAGCCGGGGCGATGTTGCAGAGGTGGGGAAAAGCAGAGCAGGACATGGCATGGATGTAGTTGAGGGTCAAAGAAGACTCCAAGGATCCGGACTAGCTTAGAAAGGTGGAGTGTGCATCCTTGAATGATGCTGCTGTCAGTACCTGAAATATGGAGATGCTGACGGGAGACAATCAGGAGGACCTTTTTCTTGTTGACGTTCAACTTTAGGCAGTTAGCTCTCATCCAGGATTTGATGTCTGATAGACATTCTGTCCGCCAGCAGTGGTCCTGGAGTCAAGGGTGGATGCAGAGAAATAAGAGTTGGGCTTTTCTGTGAGTTCTCTTACCATTTACATATTTCCCCTTTTCAGCTAGTTATCTATCTAGTTACTGATTCATTGATCAGTGGAAATAATTTCTTCCTCTTCATTTTATCAACACCTTTCATGATCTTAAAAACATCTATCAGATCACCGCACACATTCTCGGTTTCATGGAAAACGGCTCCATTTTCTCTTAGTCTTCATAAAAGGAAATGTTGGTTAATGGTACATCGTCTGTTTTTAAAGCATAGAAATACAGTATATAAATATTGTAACTAAAAAACATTGGTATATTTTCTTAATAAAAAATGATTTGTATCTATTTTGTATCAAAATTGTACAAAATGTTTTTATTAAAACTTAAAATGTGAAATCTTTGATATTTAGTTTCTGTTTACATAATTAAAATTCAAGCTTAAATGGATTAAAATAACAAATACATAACAATAATAAAAAATAAATAATAAAACAATAATGTAATAAATAATAATAAAATACAAACACTTTCCTGGGGATTATTACTCCCAGGAAAGCGATTCGCAAATCGCCTAAGAGGTTTCCTACTTACTGCTACGTAAACAAAGGTGTGTGTGGAGTCTTCCAAACCGCTCAAGGTGCTTCTTGGAATATACGGAATGACTATATTTTGTTGGCGAAACGCGGCACATATACACATATACACAGTCAATTCACTTTACAGTATATTCTGGGTTCGATTCCCGGCAGAGGGCGAAACTTTGCACAAGTTTCCTTACATACACAGGACTGCACTCTCCATACAGCACAAAGTGACTAACTCCCCGTACTGCACACAGTCACTACACTCACCATACTGCACACACAGTCACCATGCTCTCCATACAGCACACACACATACAGTCCCTCCACTCTCCATACAGCACACAGTCATTACAATCTTCAGGAGTCCTGTAGCGCAGTGTTAGAGCACTCGCTTTGCCAGTGAGAGACCTGAGTTCAATTCCAGGCAGAGGGCGAAACCTTGGGCAAGTTTCCTTACTCCACACAGAGCCTAATAATAATCCCTCCAAAACCAAAAACAATAATAAATTGGTCATTTTCAATCTACGACTGTTTGTGGGACATTGCTGTGCGCAATTGGCTGCCGCGTTCGCCCACAAATATACAGTCAATTCACTTTAGTGTGTTCTGTGAAGCGCTTTGGGACGTCCTCCCGACGTGAAAAGCGCTATATCAAATGCAAGGATTATTATTATTATTATTATTATTACTCCACACGCCTGATAATAATCCCTCAAAAAAAACAATAATAAATTGGTAATTTCAATCCACGACTGTTTGTGGGACACTGCTGTGTGCAATTGGCTGCCGCATTTTGCCCACAAATACAGCGTCAATTCACTTTACAGTCTAAGCGCTTTGATACATTTAGAAGACGTGAAAGCGCTATAATGCAAGGATTATTATTATTTGATAAAGCGCCTTTAACATGTCTTTGAGACATCTCAAATTATGTCCTGTGAAGCGCTTTTGGATGTCTCAATTATGTAATAAGGCTAAATGAAAGGATTATTATTACATATATATGTATATACTAGCTGTACTCATTATGGCTTCGCTTGCAAACAAAGGATCCAATATGGAACGTAGATTTCAGTGATGATGAGCGCCATCTGTTTCGTAGTCTCTTCCTGGATCATAGTTGAGCGCAGCTAAATGGAGTGACCTCTTCTGCTGGGTGTCACTTTGCCATGTTCTTGCATGCCTTTGAGTCCATGGCCAAACTGTTGAGTGAGGGGGCAACTCATTTTGCCATGTTCTTGCAATCCTTTCAGCATTCAAGTCCAGCAGTGCTGTTGTTTTAGAGGGCAATTCATTTTGCCATGTTCTTACATGCCTTTCTGTGTCGAAGTTCAACCGTGCTGTTCTTTGTTCATTTAATCGGCCTTCTCTCTTTTATCTGGCATTTTTATTTGTCCCTGAAAGGCTTGACCTTCGCTTATTAGGCATCTTTATTCCTTAAGATTAAGAAAATGTGCGGGTGGGGGGCTCCTGGCTGGGAAGGCTCCTGGTTCGAGTCCATACATGGGTGATGAGCTTGTTAGATCATAGCCCATTAACAATCCCTGAAAAAATATATGGGCTTGACCCTACCCCTTGTAAGAATTTTCCGATGAGGTATAAATCGTGTCTCTACGTCAATTAATGCGTTATTGGTGGACAGATAAACACAGAGACAGACTTTCACCTTATATTAATAAATATCTGTGTCTGTCCTCCAAGAGCACAATAACCGATTGCCCTAGGACATGATTTATACCTCATCGAAAAATATGTCACGATCGTATTTTCCTATCGTTGATGACCTATATTAAAAAATACTTTAGTTAAGCCCCAAAATATGAGGTCGTATTATGTAACAAAATAGCGACAGAGGAAATCACATAACCTAGAGCGGCGATACAGCAAAACTAATATATTCTGCAACAAAGTAGCATCAGAAAATCACACACCCTTCTAGAGAAATGCATCTTATACTAACAAGGTTTGTCTGTGTGTCCGTCCGCCAATAACGTAATAACCGATTGACGTAGAGACATGATTTATACCTCAACGGAACGGTTTTGCATGAGGGAGTGCCATGGGCATATTCGTTAGGGGGATATATAATAATAATAATCCTTGCATTTGATATAGCGCTTTACACGTCGGGAGGACGTCCCAAAGCGCTTCACAGAACACACTGTAAAGTGAATTGACTGTACGTTTGTGGGCGAACGCGGCAGCCAATTGCGCACAGCAATGTCCCACAAACAGTCGCGGATTGAAAATGACCAATTTATTATTGTTTTTGGTTTTGGAGGGATTATTATTAGGCTCTGTGTGGAGTAAGGAAACTTGCCCAAGGTTTCGCCCTCTGCCTGGAATTGAGCTCAGATCTCTCGCTTGCAAAGCGAGTGCTCTAACCACTGAGCTACAGGACTCCACATATAGTGTAATAAAATAATAATAATCTGGAAAGTATAATCTCATATAAAGGATTCTAATATAAAATGCAGTACACTATAAAGTTACAATACAAAATGTGTGGCACGCGGGGCCGCAGGAGGTCCGGCTCGTTGTTTAGTGTAGGTTGTACGGAAAAAAAAGATACGTACGGAAAAATGACGCACCACGTACGGAAAAAAGAGAGGCGCGCAATTCGTACGGAGCCTACGTCGTGACGTCGGCGCAGTGCGTGCGTGCGTGAGCGCGTGCGTGCGTGCGTGGTGGGAGGGAGGGAGGGAGGAGGGCTACAAGATGGAGAAGTCGGAAGCGCGGCGACGTCACGATGCTGCGGTTAAATCGCCTGAGAAAGGCGGCGGCGCGGCGGCGGGAGGTGGTGGAGGAGGAGGAGATGCGGCCGGGGAGATGCCGGCCGGATCGGGCACGCTCTTCATCAGGCTGCTGGCGGCCGTCTTCTACGGGGTCAGCTCGTTTCTCATCGTGGTGGTGAACAAGAGCGTGCTGACGAGCTACAGGTCGGTGAGGGGAGGGGGCGAAGGTTACCCTGAGAGGCTGCGCGCGCTCGGGAGCCCTGGAGCGCGTGCGGCGGCGGCGGCGGCAACGGCAACGGCAGCTCCGAGCCCTGGAGCGCGTGCAGCAGCAGCAGCAACAGCAGCAGCTCCAGCCTTGCAAACCGAGAGAGAGAGAGTGCAATGCAATTGCAATGCAGCTGATGCTCTTATTCGTTTGCAAAACAACAACAAAAAAGAAAGAAGTCGGGGAGCACTCGAGCTTTTTTTGCTGTGTGATGAGCTCTGTTAAAGAGACCGAAAGGGGAGAGACCACCCCACGTCTCCCCCCCCGCGCCCCGTCTCGCAGCTCTTTTTATTTAATGCAAACGGACGAGAGAGCTGCACGTTTTCAGTGAGCGAGTGAGTGTGAGTGAGGTCCGTAAGCGGATTCAGCAGCAGCTGATGCTCTTTATTTTGCAAAGAAGGGGGGAGAGAGAGAGAGAGAGAGAGAGAGAAAGAGCCATCGGCTTATCTGCATGCAATGCCTGCGTGAGCCCTGATACAGAGAGAGACAGAGAGAGAGAAAGATTCACAGCAAAGAAGCTCTGATGCTCTTTAGTTTTGCAAAGAGTGGATGAGGCCGGACTTGCTTTGCATTCAGTGCAAACGTGCGCAGTCCTAGTTAGAGAGAGAGAGAGCAACGGAAATACGGTTTTAATCTTTATTCCAGAGAGAGAGAGAGAGAGAGAGATCTCCAGCGGTCCAGTTATTTCACTTCTCTTTTTTTTAATTTTTTTTGTTGCAAAAAAATAAGGGTAAAAGAGTAAAAGGCTTTGGCTGTGAGAGCTCCTCTGGATCGAGAGAGGGGATTTGCAGCAAAGCAGCTGACGATCTACCTCTATTTTGCAGAAAGATGGAGAGAGAGAGAGCTGCTGCTGCTCAATGCCAGTGTGTGAGCTCTCATAGTTGCAGAAACTCCACAGCAATGCAGCTTGTTGATGCTCTCTATAGTTCTTTTGCAGGAGAGACAGAGAGAGAGAGAGAGAGAGCACAGACTTGCTTGGCCACATTCAGTACCATTTCGCGCTGTCCCAATTCATTAATACTAATTATAATAATCCTTGCAATTTATGTTGCTCCTCATCACGTCTTCGAGATGTTTCGAAACGCTTCGTGGAATATACTGCAAAGCGAATTGAGTGAAATTGTCTCTGCGAAACGTTCGAGAGGGAAGAGGGGCTACTTCTCTATAATAATAATCCTTGCATTCGATATAGCGCTTTTCACGTCGGGAGGACGTCCCAAAGCGCTTCACAGAACACACTGTAAAGTGAATTGACTGTATATTTGTGGGCGAACGCGGCAGCCAATTGCGCACAGCAATGTCCCACAGACAGTCGTAGATTGAAAATGACCAATTTATTATTGTTTTTGGTTTTGGAGGATTATTATTAGGCTCTGTGTGGAGTAAGGAAACTTGCCCAAGGTTTCACCCTCTGCCTGGATTGAACTCAGGTCTCTCACTTGCAAAGCGAGTGCTCTAACCACTGAGCTACAGGACTCCACTATTCTCTATTCGCAAAGAGGAGAGAGAGCGAGCGCAGACTTGGCTGTACTCGGTGTCAGCGCGAGCATTCATGGTTAGAGTGAAAGAGATCCACAGCAAAGCATAGAATGAATGCTCTGCATTCTTTCGTAAAGAGGAGAGCACGGGCTTGTCTGCAAATGTATGCTGTTTTATAGAGCCTTTCCTTGGAGCGAAGCAAGTGTTCTTTATCCTCTTTGCAAACGTGGATATGAATAGAACCAAATCGGCCTTCAAAGACGTAATGTTTTTATGTTTGTAAATTTTAAAGAAAAATATTTGGTCTGGAAAGCGAGTCAGCAAATTGCCATCAAATCAAAATAAAGATTGGAGCTGGAAATTAAATCACAAATTCCTGATCTCCTTTTATGGTTTGCTTGTTAACTTGAAAGTCGAACCAATCCCATTGTTTCTAGCGTTACTCTGTATTAATCGGGGCTCAATCGTAGCTGCTTAGCTGAAAAACGAATTTGAAATGGTCAAGGAAATTCCTCTTTTTTTAAATAATGAACTGTTCTGGGAAGTAAAGTCCTGTAGCGTAGAGGTTAGCACACTCGAGAGGACCTGCCTTCAATTCCCAGACAAGGCAAAACTTTAGGCAAAGTTTCCTTACTTCACACGCAATTGGTGGACCGCTTTTCTGGGAGTAATACTCCCTTGAAAAAAATATGTATATTTTTTAAAAATTCTTCACTGAATCCATGACTATTTGTGGGACACTGCCGTGCAGCCGCGTTTCGCCCACAAAATATACAGTGAATTCACTTTACAGTATATTCTGTGATGCGCTTTGCGACGTCTCAAAGACATGATAAGACGCTATACAAATGCAAGGATTATTATTCCAAGTGTTTTTTAAGGAATTTTTTGGGGTTACAAAATAAAATATCGATACAAAATAACATACACGTTTGGTCAAATAGCTATATGATTTATTTTTAGCTATGATTTTGGCAACTGTTAAAATTCATTTAATTTATTCACACGCATGTTTGCTCAGTGTGATATTTGACAGTTTGATTTCAGACAGTTTCTAGTCTAGACTTGTAGGCCACGTCAATTTATGGGAATTGTAAAGTCTTTTTAGCCCCAAAGGTTGCATTCATTCTCTTTTTACTTTTTTTTTTTGCCTCTTTACAGATTTCCTTCATCAATATGCGTGGGCCTGGGTCAGGTACAGTTGGTATTTGCTTGCTCATTAGTACTGTAAATAGCGTCAGTTTATCAGATTGCAAGAATGTGCTCCAAACTCTGAAACGCTCTTGCTTTTTGCAGATGTTGGCAACTGTGGTTCTGCTGTGGGTGGGAAAGGCATGCAAGGTGGTGCAGTTTCCTGACCTTGACTCTTCTATACCTCGAAAGGTGAGTTGGCCTGTGTTTCTTTGAGTGCATTCAAATGATCCACGTTTGCAGTCGAACCAGTCCTGCAGGATGCAGTGTGAAGGTTGCCTTTGCGAGGAAAATAAATCCATTTTGTTACAGAAAAATTTATGGTCAGCGAAGAAAAGGTTTGTGAATGCTTTGCCGTCTGTTTGAATCTTATGTATGCTTGTTCACAAAAACCCTTTAATTTTATTGGATACTCTTTTCATACTGGTTTCTGCATGTTGGACATTTGACCGTCGCGCCCCACTATTGGCAGTCAGACCTTCAGCCTCTCTGCCCCACCCTTTGGAACTCCATCCCTCAGCCCCTTCACCTCGGCCCCTCTCTCGGCTCTTTCAAGGCACGACTCAGGGTCCTCCTCTTCGACCACGCCTTTGGTCACCCTCTATCCCCACCCTCCCTGCCCTCCAACCCTCCTGATCCCAACCTCTTGCTTGGGTCCAAATCCCGGACTGGCCAGCACCTTGGGCTGTCCTCCTGACGTGAAAGGCGCTGTGTAAATATAATTTGTTGTTGTTGCTCAGCTGACCCCCCAAAGTTTGATACAACAGAATGATTTTTTTGGGGCAATATTATTGATTACTTGGCGCAGACTGCCTGGGGCATTTAGTTAGAAAACACCATCCATTTCATTTCTAATTGATTTTATTTTGGAAAGCGTCTTATTTTGCCTGAATGTTGCTGTGCCTGACATAAGTTCTTGTGATGTTGTTTGGTGGCTGCATGTATACCTCTAACCTCGATACCCCAAGCTCAGTTGCCCAGCCAGCATTGTTGAGCGCTTTGAGATGTCCTCACAATGTGAGAGGCTCTATATGAATGTATATTGTATACCTAGTATACAAATAATTTTGTATTGTAAAATGTCTGGTACTTTATTGAACTATGATTTTATATGGAAATCTGAAGTTAACACCTGATTAGCATTAGAAAACAAATAGCATTATTTCCCAGAACTGGCCTAAGACTGAATCATTTATTGATTCAGTATTGTATTTATGGCTTTGCATATGTCCTTCGATCACGCCTATGGTTACCTCCCCACACTGTTGTTCCATGTTCAACTCCGTCTTTGTACGATGGATTTGGACGGTTTCTCCTCTACCTCCCGCACCGTCTTGTGCGGCGTTCCTCAGGGCTCTGTCCTTGGTCCCCTCCTCTTCAACAACTGTATGCTCCCTCTTGGTGACATCATGTGGTCAACTTCTACATGTATGCTCAACTGTACCGCTCTGCCTCCACTGTTGACTTCAGGACCACTGCTGCCCTGACAGAATGTCTTTCAGACATCAAGTCCTGGATGAGAGATAACTTTCTTCAGTTGAACATCAACAAGACCGAGGCTCTCCTGCTTGGCTCCCGTCAGCGTCACCTCACCTCAGGCGCTGACAGCATCACCATCCATGGTTGCACACTCCACCTCACTGAGCCAGTCCGGAACCTTGGGGTCTTCTTTCTACCCCACATTCGTGACATGACCCGCTCTGCCTTCCCCCTCCTCTGCAACCGGTTCCGCCACTCTCTCACACCACAGGCTTCCGGAGCCCACATACACATATTCATAACATCGAGGCTTGACTATGCAAGCTCCTTGTTTGTCGGCCTTCCCAACTCCTCCCTCCACAGGCTGCAGACCATCCAAAACTCTGCAGCCCATGTCCTGTCCTCTCCCGCACTAGGTCCGTGACCCTATCACCCCGATCCTCGCCTGACTCCATTGGCTTCCCATCACTCAGAGCATACAGTTCAAGGTCCTGGTCCTCACCTTCAAAGCTCCCCCTACCTCTGTGACCTCCTAACACCCTGTCATCCTGCCCGCTCAGTGGGCTCTGGCCTGCTTCATGTCCCTTGCCTTGCTTGCCCCACTATTGGTGGGAGGGCCTTCTGCCACTCTGCACCCACCCTCTGGAACTCCATCCCGCAGTCCCTCTGCCTCACCCCCTCCCTTAACCTATTTCAAGACCCATCTGAAGACCCTCTTCTTCAACTGCTTCCCCCCTTGCCCTCCAACCTCCCCAATCCCGAGCCCCAGCTTAGGTCTGAAACGCTGACGGTCCAGCACCTTGGGTCCTGATGTGAAAGTCGCTATACAAATGTAATGTTGTTGTTTGTAAAGATTTCCCTGTTGTTATCCTACTAGATGGGCTCTATATAATAATAATAATAATCCTTGCATTTGATATAGCGCTTTTCACGTCGGGAGAACGTCCCAAAGCGCTTCACAGAACATACTGTAAAGTGAATTGACTGTATATTTGTGGGCGAACGCGGCAGCCAATTGCGCACAGCAATGTCCCACAAACAGTCGTAGATTGAAAATGACCAATTTATTATTGTTTTTGGTTTTGGAGGGATTATTATTAGGCTCTGTGTGGAGTAAGGAAACTTGCCCAAGGTTTCGCCCTCTGCCGGGAATTGAACTCAGGTCTCTCACTTGCAAAGCGAGTGCTCTAACCACTGAGCTACAGGACTCCACGAACTTATATAAACATAAGTTGTTCTCCCCTCTATTTTGCCTTTTTGCTTGGTTTTTATAAAGCCTCAGACTTGGAGGGATTTGCTCGGTGAAAGCAATGTGACAGATATCCCCATATTCGCTTCGCTGCTCAGAATCAGAAAGTCAAATAGTATCTTGTGTGACTAGCTCCATATTGTACAAAAAAATGAAATTTGACATAAAGCGCTGTAACATTAAAGAATCTTCTAGGATGAGCATTCAATCACACGTGAGACCTGTGTGAATTTGCTTGCTAACCCTCGTGGCTAAACAGCCATCTGACTCCTCGCTGGGCTCACAGTGACGGTGCCAAGCATGAGTCATCGGTAGACAAGAGGGTTCTGTGTGTTTGTGCTATAATTATGATATAACGGCAACCCTGTTATATCAGCATGACGTGCCCTCAATGCTTTGAAGACTCCTGGGTTTAACTTGTGCTAGTATATATTTCTGCCAGTACCACCCTACCAGAACTCTTTCCCAAGAGCCTGGTTGGTTGGAGTCTGTGTCATTGTGCTATTGATGCTGTTTTTGGAGCATGTCATCAATAACGTTTTCCAATTATTTAATTCTTTCAGACATTTCCGTTACCTCTGTTGTACATCGGGAACCAACTCTCAGGACTGCTTGGCACAAAGAGGCTGAAGTATATTTTAAATTTTTTTTAAAACAAAATACATTGTGTTTTCCAGCCAAATATTGTCAGTAAATATTGGCCGACTTTCTGTAACTCTGCTTGCCTTCTCTATCCAGCCTCCCGATGTTTACAGTGCTGAGGAGGTTCTCCATTTTGTTTACAATGATAGCTGAAGGCTTATTGCTCAAGTAAGTACCACATTGATCTTTATTCTTCTGGTTCCTTTTTAAAAATACAGGATAGCCTTGTTTATGAGGGCAGTATTTTGGGATCTGTCAAATTACACTCCCTCCCCCCTCACGATGAGTTCCCCAAACAAATGGCCATCAGTCTTGTTCTGGGTCATCACATCGCTGGTAATGTTCTTTCCACTGCCAGTCCGTGCTGGTAGCCATTGTGTAGCACATGTCTCGTTCACAAGACAACTATCTCTTGCTCCAGTGAGGCAGGTTATAACTCGTTATCCTGGAATCTAATTTGCTTTCTCAGGATTAATTATGTTCTTCCAAGAATAGGACAAGTTGAATGATGCCTGAGGGTGTTGATTGAGCAGTCAAGTTGTCCCACAACAAAACGAGCAGAGAGCCTGGGCTACATCAACAGATCTGTTGAGCTAATATCCTCAAGGGTCATACTGAAGCCACAGTATTGTGGTCAGGCTGTACTTGCAGTATTGTATGCAGTTCTCCTTGCAACAACATAAGGTGGCCCTAGGCAGTGCGTACAGCTTTAATTGTGAGACATAAGGGCCACAGGCGTTGGAGATAGTGCAGAGAAGAACATTGTGACTGATATTCCCCAAGGCTTGGAGAGATGAGCTATGGGTATTTTTAAATGAGCAACTAGTCTAAAGTTCTCAAAATACTCTGTGAGAGTATTTAGTTTCAGCTGGATCAAATGTGGGGGTCAAATGGATGTAAATGGTAATATCCTTAGAATAGAGCAAAGAGGGGTCTGAAAGATCTTAGTTCAGAAGGACAATTAACATTCTTCAACTTTTACTTATTTCTAAATATAGGGTCTTGAAAAGGAAAAATTTGCAAGGATATGGGAAAGAAAGAGCGGGGGAGTGGGACTGATTGGGTAACATTTCCAAAGTGTCGGCGCAGGCAAGATGGACTGAATGGACACCTGTGTTGTAATATTCTATAAGTAGCTTTTTGCTATTTTAATAAATAAAGCTTGCATTTGATATAGCGCCTTATGTCTTTGAGATGTCTCGAAGCGCTTGGGGAACTTCATTGAGAAGGAAGGGAGGTGGGTGGGGTGAGCCTTGTGTCGTCCTCCCGACATGACAGGTGTGATACAAATAAGTTGTTACGGAGGCTTGATAACAAATGAAATGACAGCAGGGTAGCGTTTACAGTGGTAATTACAAAGCCGAGTCGTTAACTATTTACTATAATTTACTCAATCTAAGACGTGAGTTTTTTCTTTTACCTCCAGATATGCTTAGCAATCTTAGTCGGTTTTATCTTGGGTGGTTGCCTTGGTGGTTTGCTGGCAGCTAGCACTCTATCTGTCGCCTGTAGTTTAAGCATCTTTATAGTGTTTACACTGACCTTCAAGCTTCCATTGTTAAAATAAAGCAGATTACAAGGTGCTTTCGTGTGAATCTGTGTGACACTGCCTAATATTTGCTGATGGACATGGACTGAAGGCAGCATAGTTAATTCTAGGATCCTGTCCTTATTTACATGTGACCATTAGACTTACGAAACCAAGCCTTAGCCTATTTAAATCATAATGAGAGACCTGAGTTCAATTCCAGGCAGAGGGCGAAACCTTGGGCAAGTTTCCTTACTCCACACGGAGCCTAATAATAATCCCTCCAAAACAAAACAATAATAAATTGGTCATTTTCAATCTACGACTGTTTGTGGGACATTGCTGTGCGCAATTGGCTGCCCGTTCGCCCACAAATGTACAGTCAATACACTTTACAGTGTGTTCTGTGAAGCGCTTTGGGACGTCCTCCCGACGTAAAAAGCACTATATCAAATGCAAGGATTATTATTATTATAATTAAATAACAAATTCTCTCCAATAAAGTTTTAACAATCATTTTGATGAATTGATGTGGCTTAATTGGAGAGAATTTCTTATTCTATTTTTTAGTTGGCATGTATTTTTCAGCAGAGATGTGAGTAACAGTTGAATTTGCATTGTAAGTGGGAGCTAGTTTTAAAACTATTGCTTGGTTTATTTTCAAAGTCCTGACTAAATTCTTTTTTTTTTTTCCCCTTTCTTTCCCCATTTCCCCCCTTCTGGATTGCAGGAAAGTATTCTCACGGTCGGTTCAAATGACAGTATTTGCGATGATTCTGGGGGCATTTGTTGCTGCAAGGTATGTAGCTTTCCTCTGACTGCAAAAGATTTTGTTAATGCGAATTCTAGGTTATCCTTCCGCTCAGCTGACTCCGACCTGCTCCACGTCCACTGCCCAGCCCGCCCAACCATCAGCGGTCGGGGCTTCAGCCTCTCCGCCCCCACCCTTTGGAACTCCATCCCACAGTCCCTTTGCCTTACTCCCTCCCTTGCCTCCTTCAAGGCACATCTCAACCCCCCCAACCACGCCTTCGGTCAACCTCCCTGCCCTTCACCCCTCATGATCCCAACTCCTGCTCGGGTCTAAATCCCTGACTGCTCTAGCGCCTTGTGACATCCTTCCAACATAAAAGATGTGTAAATGTCATCTGTTGTTAATTTGAGGCTCATTCTCCCAGTAAGCTAGTGAGCAGCCACAATGAGGAAATTATCCTGGGGCCATTTCTTATTTCCTCATTGTGGCTGCTGACTAGCTTTGGCCTAAAGTCGAAGCTTCATGTCGACTGCTGTATAACTGTAAATTTATATTGTATTGTAACTGGTGATGGTAATTTGATGGCATTTTACAATGTGAGAACATTAACACAGTGCTTTCACTGCATCCTTAAAGCAAACAGCTGAGAAATGAAGCCATTTGGCTCATTTGCTGATACTCACACCCCCACAAGAGCTTTCCACTCTAATCCCATTCCCCTGCTAGTTCCCCAGACATTCGAGTTTTACCTGGGGAAAGTTCAGGAGGCTGGAAAATGTGAAACTGGCTTGCCAGAATGAGTTAGTACAAACCTAGAGGATAGCGAAGCCATTGAAGTCATTCACAAACGATATTCTCTCCATCTGTGACAAGGGCTCCCTCTGCCTCCTTGTCCTCCTGGACCTCTCTGCCGCGTTACCTCACAGTCGATCACGCCATCCTCCTCCACTGCCTTTCCTCCATCATCCACCTCAGTGGGACCGCACTCGCCTGGTTCGAGTTCTACCTCACAAACTGCCAGCAGTATATCTGCACAAACGGCTTCTCCTCCCGCTCTCACCCGTTCACCTGCGGGTGCCCCAAGGATCCATCCTTGGCCCCCTCCTCTTTCTGATCTACATGCTCCCTCTTGGGAATGTCATCCGCAGACATGGCGGACTTTTCCACATGTATACAGATGACACCCAACTCTACTTTTCCACCTCTCTGCGACCCCCAGTCCCCTGATGTTCTGTCAGCTGTCTGTCAGATCTCAGGGGGTGGATGAACACAAACTTCCTTCAGCTGAATGTTGACAAGACGGAAGCCATACTGTTCGTCTCTCGTCCGCATCTAAAATCTCATGTTTCTCACCTCCTCCACCTCTCTGACCTCCCCCTAAAACTCTCCGAACCCATACACAACCTAGGCATCAGGTTCGACCCCCAATTATCCTTCCTAAACATCCGGTCCCTCACCACCACCGCTTCCACCTCCGACGCATCGCCCGTCTCCGCCAATACCTCTCCCCAAAAGCCGCTGAAACTCTGGTCCATGTCTTTGTCACCTCTCGGCTGGACTACTCCAACGCCCTCCTCACCGGTCTCCCATTCACTACCATCCATAAAATCCAACTCATTCAGAACTCTGCCGCCCGCATTCTCACCAGCATGAAACTCCGCTCTCCGATTACTCCAGTCCTGGCCAGACTGCACTGGCTCCCTATCCCAGAGAGGATTGATTTCAAGATCCTCACCCTCGTATTCAAGTCCCTCCACTCCTCTGCACCCCCCCCCCCCCCCCCCCCCCGACCTCTCTGACCTCCTCACTCCTCAGCACAGTATCCATTGCCTTCGTTCCTCCAGGTCTGGCCTCCTCCTTGTTCCCCGAGTCCTCTGCTCCACCCTCAGCTGCCGTGCCTTCAGCCACTATGCCCCGAGGCTCTGAAACTGCCTTCCTCACTCCCTTCGTCTCGCTCCCCTCCCTTCCAATTTTCAGGTCTCTGCTGAAGACCTTTCTTTTCGACTGCACCTTTGGCCACCTTCCTCCCCCTCCCCCTGGCTCGATTCCGGGATCCGTTACTGTAAAGCGCTCTGAGATGCTGTCCGGCGTGGAGGGCGCTATATAAATCCAACTTGTTGTTGTTGAAGCTGCGGGCCAAACGTGGCGGCCAATTGTGCACAGCAGTGTCCCACAAACAGTCATGGATTAAAAGACAAAATTATTATTTTATATTAAGGGATTATTATCCCCGGAAATCGATCTGCCAATCAACTAATTACCGGGTTTCTACTTACTGCTCGGTAAAGAGAGGCACGTGGAGTAAAAAAACTTATCCAATGTTTGGCCCCGCCCCGGAATCGAACCCCCAGGTTCTCTTGCTTGTGAGACGAGCGTTTTAATAACTAAGATCCAGGACTCCACAATGTGGAGCTCCTTCAGAAGGCTAGAATGCCGTTTGATTTATTACAGAGCTGCTGCTGGTGTTAGTGTTGTAAATTTGAGGGGCAGTGAATTTCACAAGAGTAGCCTGCAGCTCCCTCGTACGATCTGCTCCAGCCTATCAGGTTTAACCCAGTGCTCTCCAGTGCACTTCTTCACTGAATGTGCTGGGAATACACAGCAGCTTCATCTGTTTTGAGCACGGCTCCTCATCAAACTAAACTGTTCATAAACCTTTTGTGGTTTTATTTCCTATGTAAAGGCCAAAGGCTTGTTCTTTGCTCGCTCACAATGCAGAATACAGTATATGTGTTGTGTTGCGTGCTTTCTCTCTCTCTCTCTCTCTCGCACACACACACACACACACACTACATTGAACATCATTCTGCATCACATTTCTCCACCTCGCATTTTTAAAATAAAATCTTGAATCGAGTGACATTAAATCTCGTTGTGGTTAATCTGGAGTCTGGATCAGTGGCTCTCTTAAGTGGATTCTTGTAGCGCAGTGGTTAGCGCACTCGCCTCACAAGCGAGAGGACCTGGGTTTGATTCCCGGCCGGGGTGAAATGTTAGGCAAGTTTCCTTACTCCACACACCTCTGTTTACCTAGCAGTAAGTAGGAACCCGGTTGTTAGCTGATTGGCGGATTACTTTTTATGGAGGTAATAATCCCTTCAAAAAATAACAGTTTGATCACTCAATCCACGACTATTTCTGGGACACTGCTGCTGCGTTTCGCCCACAAAATATAGTCAATTCACTTTACAGTATTTACTGCAAAGAGCGTTGAGATGTCTCAGACATCGATATCAAATGTAAGGATTATTCTTGTTAAGTGTGTAACATGCATGCACTTTCCTTACAGCTCCGACATGGCATTTGACTTGATTGGGTATGGCTACATTCTTGTCAATGACGTGCTGACTGCCGCAAATGGTGCTTATGTAAAGCAAAAGCTGGAGTCTAAAGTAAGTGAGGGTGTTTCCTTTATTGCCCAGTTAAACTACTAACTCACAACATTTTTTTTATTCTACAGAAAATTAAAATTTCCCCCTCTTCCCAAAACTTGGGATATTTACAGGTCTTAGAGGCCAAGCCAGTGTTCAGAGTAATTACCAGGATTAACTTTTATTACTTCAGCTGTTTTCTTGTTTTCAATACTTCAAATGTTCCCAAGGGGTGATGAATACTCTCCCATTGGGGGGGGTCTCAAAGATGATAAAACAGTAATAATAATCCTTGCATTTATCACTTCATTGAGACCGCTCAAAGCCCTTCACAGAGTATAGTGTGAAGTGGATTGACTTGTGTATTCAGTGGTTGAAATGTGGCAGCCAATTCCGCACAGCAATGTTTGATGGAAGTTTACTTCTAGTAAATGTTTGCTAGGTTGTTGGCTTTACTAATTGAGAGATTCAAAGACTCTGGGAACAGAGGAGGAAGTTATTCAACCTTGTGAGCCTGTTCCACTATCTTATCAGGTCATCACAGCTGTTTCAAACCCTTTCTCCTACCCTTTAACAACAACAACTTACATTTATGTAGTACCCCTCACATAGGGTAGCATCCTAGAACACTAATACAATTACTTCCCACGCACTTATCTCCCTTTCAAGCATCCCCATTCTGCTTCTATAACACTCTGCGACAGAGAGTTGCAAACTTTTACCACCTCTCTATGTATTATAAATCGGTTCCTGTAGTTCTTCACGTGCACAATCAGACATGTTATATAGATTTTTGTTAGAACATAATGTCTCAGGATACGATGTATAGTTTGGAACACAATACGTCAAGCAAATGCCAGGTTCCTGGTTGAAGGTGAACTTGGTCAGCTTTCGCCTAGCAAATTCTTCTGTTCTAATGAAACAAAAGTGTTTCTCCTGCCTGGTGTTCTGGCCAACAATCTCCCAGATAAAATTGGTCAGTTATTTCAATGCCTGTTTGTTGGACGTGCAGGGCACAAATTGGTTGCAGTGTTTGCATTCAAATACACAGTCACTAAACCTTACAGTCATTCCTGGGAAGTGTTTTGAGACATCGCAGAGATGTGATATGATGGTATATCAAGTCCAAGGATAATTGGTGTTGTTATAATTACTGGTGTCACAATGTCTTGTTTTTCTGGCGTTATCTCCAAGTGGTAAGAGTTTGAGTTAGTTCTGTAGCTTTTTTTTTGCACACTGGTGAATTTTTTCATCATTCTCAATCATTGTAGCCTTGCAGTCAAGGCCAGGATGCTGAGTTCCCAGCGGAACTCCAGTCAGGCTTCAGAACAAGGCTGACGTTCTTTTAGAGAGAGCGCATGCTGAGCTGTGACTGAAGGCACATTCATTCTTCTGTATAGGAGAGGCTGAATGTAGACTGCAAGCCATTCATCAACACAGTGAATTGGTTACCTTCTCACAGTGCTTGTTTTTTTTGGCCTCATTTATTATTTGCAGTATCAGCCCAGGCTTAATTCTGCTCAGAATCGGTTTCCAACATGACTAAACAACTGGCTGTAATCTGAAGTTGTTGGCTAGGATTTCTCTATTCACTGATGCGAACTCTCTCAACAAGTTGGTGGGGTTTGGAGAAGGGAAGTGAGATTAAAAAGCTCTATTGGGTGAAGCGTTTTGAGACGTGATAACATGTTATAATCGAAGATTATTATTATTACCTCTGTCATCTCGGAAGGTCGTTCCCATCTTTTGTATCAACTAAGATTGGTTTGGATGCAGTCTTGACTGGAGGATTAAGTATTAATAATAATCCTAGCATTTGATGTAACGCCTTATCACGTCGTTGAGACGTCTCAAAGCGCTTCACAGAATACACTAAAAGGTGAATTGACTGTATATTTTCTGGGTGAAACACAGCAGCCAGTTTTGCACAGCAGCGTCCCACAAACAGTTGTGGATTTTTAGAGTTAGGTTAAACTATCAGTGACTCACGTTTTATTTATTCAGCTTGGAGCTAGCCGGGCCTGGGGCAGCGATGTTCTGTGAGTCTGTCTGGTCACGCTGGCTATAATAGCATAATAGTAAGCCTCTCAGAAGTCAGGCCATTGGTGGAAGATAATAATAATCTTTGTATTTGATATCACATCTTTGGGACATCTCAAAACGCTCCACAGAATATATTGTAAAGTGGACTGACTGTATATTTTGTGGGCAAAACACTGTAAACTATCGCCGACAGTAGTGACCCACAAATAGTCGTGGATTGAGTGACCAAATCATTATTTCTTTAATTTTATTTTATTTTTGAAGGGATTATTACCCCCGGAAAAGCGATCCACCAATCGACTAACAATCAGATTCCCACTTACTGCTAGGTAAACGAGCGTGGAGTAAGGATACTTGCTTAAGGTTTTGCCCAGCCCTGGAATCGAACCCGGATCCTCTTGTCAAAGTGATAACCAATGCGTTTGAAAGTTGGGTGAAGCAAAAAAATGAAGAGCGTTTAATTTCATTTGGTAACAAGCCTCTGTTACATAACGCAGAGCAGTAATTTTTTTGTGTCTTCTCTCTAGGAGCTGGGTAAATATGGGCTGCTGTATTACAATGCTATCTTCATGATTCTTCCCACGATAGCCGTGGCATATTTCACAGGAGATCTGCACAGGGTAAGGAGATTCGAAATATTGGACAGTGTATTGTTAGTTTTGGTTCAGCATTCATAATAAGAATAATCCTTGCATCCAATATAGCACCTTATCACGACTTTGAGACGTCTCAAAGTGCTTCACAGAATATACTATAGAATGAATTGATTGTATATTTTGTGGGCGAAATGCTGCAGCCAATTACGCACAGCAGTGTCCCACAAACAGTCGTGGATTGAGTGACCAAATTAGTATTTTTTTTGAAGGGATTATTACCCCTAGGAAAGCGATTCGCCAGTCAACAAACCACCGGGTTCCTATTTACTGCTAGGTAAACAGGCGTTTGGAATAAGGAAACTTGCCCATTGTTTCCTTGCCTGGGAATCGAACCCAGGTCCTCTCGCTTGCGAGGCGAGTGCTCTAACCACTATACTAGTGGATCCTCATCCTCACCTACAAGGCCATTCACGGCCTTGCTCCCTCCTACCTCTCTGACCTACTATCCCCCTACTTACCTGCCCGTACCCTCCGTTCCTCTGGCTCCGGTCTGCTCACATCCCCCGCCCCAACCGCCCTACCATCAGTGGCCGGGCCTTCAGCCCCGAGGCTCCGGAACTCCATCCCACAGTGCCTTTGCCGCCTCCTCCCTTTCCTCCTTCAAGGCCGGTCTCAAGACCTTCCTCTCTCTCTCTCTTTGACCGTGCCTTCAGCTCCCCTCTCGACTCTACCCCCTCCTCGCTCGCTCCCTCCCTCCCTTCCCTCCCCTCACCCTGACCATTTCCCCCCTGCTCGGGTCCTGACCCAACTGTACAACGCGTTGGGATGTCCTCCCGACGTGAAAGGCGCTCTATAAATGGAATCTTGTTGTTGTACTACAGGAACCCAATGAATCAGTTCATGAACCAGTTCAGTGGGAAATGGCCAGCATTTCTAGTTGCTACAAGGCGTGCACAAACATGCTTTAATACCAGGCTCTCTTCACTTTTCTTTTCCTACTGGATTTGCTTTTGCTGGGTTGAGCTGCAATCGAGATTAAGAGCTGACACACACACATATGGCAGATTAATTGAATCAGTATTCTTTGCAGGGCGTGTGCTGAAACCTTAATGTGGAGTCCTGTAGCTCAGTGGTTAGAGCACTCGCTTTGCAAGTGAGAGACCTGAGTTCAATTCCAGGCAGAGGGCGAAACCTTGGGCAAGTTTCCTTACTCCACACAGAGCCTAATAATAATCCCTCCAAAACCCAAAACAATAATAAATTGGTCATTTTCAATCTACGAGTTTGTGGGACATTGCTGTGCGCAATTGGCTGCCGCGTTCGCCCACAAATATACAGTCAATTCACTTTACAGTGTGTTCTGTGAAGCGCTTTGGGACGTCCTCCTGACGTGAAAAGCGCTATATCAAATGCAAGGATTATTATTATTAATACCCAAATAATCCTAGAATGCCTATGTGATATAGACTAGTTTTTAACTGTATTGCTGTATCCCTCTCTATCTCTCTCCCACTCTCTATCTCCCCTCTCATACCCCACCCCCCTCTCCCTCTTTCTATCTCTTTCTTTCTCTACTTGTTAACGGGCATGTTTTTTTCCTGACCATAGTGTCGAGAAGGTTTAATGAGGAGATGTGTTAAGAGCAGATACTGCCTGAGTTGTCACAGGCCCGCTGCTGGCTAATTTTCAGCAATGACCGAGCCCTGGGGAGGCAGAGGTGGGGGTGGGGGCAAGAGGTGGGGGGCGAGAGGGAGAGATCTGCCTAGTTGGAATATGTTCAGACTGCGTACCCTGCATAAAGTACAGGCCAGGGAGTATGGAGTAGAATAGAGCTGTTTGTTTCGTTGCCTCAGGGGTAATTTAGTTGAGGCTTGGCAGTTACTGTAGAAAATTGGGGGAGGAGGAAAAAGGAACGTTTGGTTGGTTAGGCCACAATATTCAAAGCTTTCGTTCAGTCAATCTGTGTGAGATTGCAGTGGCTGCTTTTCTTCCTCGTTTAACACTGTCTTTATTCAAGTTTGCTCGCCCAAAGCGCAGGAAAATTATTTCTCAACTACCTGAATTATTTCTCAACTACCATAAAGCATAGGAAGGTCCTGGGTTTGATTTTCCTCCCTCTTACTCTCCCCCCTTCTCTTCCCCCCCCCTCTCTTTTTTCCCTTCCTTTCTCATAGAAACAGGAGTAGGACATTCAGCCCCTCAAGCCTGTTCCGCTTTTCTATTAGATCATGGTGGATCTGTACCTCAAGTCCAATTACTCACCCTTGCCCCATGTCCCTTGATACCCTGACCTAACAAAATATCTATCCACCTCAGTCTTCCAAGTGTGAATGGATCCAGCATCCAGAGCCTTTTGTGGGGAGAGAGTTCCAGATTCCCACTACCCTTTGGGTGAAAACCTCCTGATTTCACTCCTAAATGGCTTAGCTTTAATTTTTAAGATTATGCCCTTTGTTCTCTCCCTTTCTTTTTCCTCTCCCTCCCTGATACTTTGAACACTGTAATAATAATTCTTGCATTTGATATGGCACCTTATCACATAGCTGAGGTGATCTCAAAGCGCTTCACAGGATATACTATGAAGTGTAGTGACTGTATATTTTGTGGGTGAAACGTAACAGCTCCTCTGCCTTTTGGGCAAAATAAGGTTGGAAATATTTTATGAATTGCAAAATTTCACACCTACTAGACACTTGACAGAAAATGATGTAGAAGCGCTCTGACATGTGCTGCCCTGGGTGAAAGATGCTATTTAAATGCAAGTTATTATTTTTCTGAATATTTGTGTTCATTATTAGCGGGTGGGGAGGGGTGAGTTGCTGTCAGAGAATGAGTCTTGAAATGCACATGAGGTGGTGGGGGCGGGGGGGGGGGGCTGGGTGGCAAGGTGCGGAAATTAAAACCCGCTGTCTGTTTTTCTCCTCCTGCCTCTCTCCAGCATGCCGGCTGCAGTGCATGGTTTTATCAATTGTGCTGTAAGCTAACTTGCCATAGGAAGTGATGTTTAGATCACTCTCAGTCTGTACAAAGCTTCAATTCATACCCACTGGAGAGGGTTGTCTCTGTGGGCAGGAATAAGGTCTGATGATTTCTGACTGTCAGCAGATTGGTGCATGTACACAGTCTCTGTCAACATAGAGTGCTCTCTTATTTCTAACTTTAAACCGCATTCTCTGAATCCAAAGCTCCCCCAAAACAGTTCACTCTGACACACAGCTTTTCTGGGCATCATTTATTCATTTCTAATTTGCTTTTTACTAAACAGAACAGAGCGCGAAGACGCTGCACTATATAAATGCAGGTTGTTTAGAGAATAAAGCTCTGACTAGCTTGATAATGTTAAAAAGCTTGCTCTACATCCCCCACCCTGACTGCCCCCATCCTCTGGAACTCAATCCCAAAGTCCCTTCACCTTGTCCCTTCTTTTGCCTCCTTCAAGGCCCGTCTCAAGACCCTCCTCTTCGACTGTCTTCGGTCACCCTCGTACCCCTGCCCTCCACCCCTCTGATTCCAACCCCCAGCTTCTTTCCCTGCTGCTGAGTTGGAGCTGTTGGTTTTGGCAGCTGATGTGTTTAAGAATCATTTCTAACTTCTTTTTATTAGACAATATATTAATTCCTATTGCTTATAAATGTGTTGGCAGACGGCAGAGTTTGACGGCTGGACGGACAAGCTGTTTGTGGTGCAGTATCTGCTCTCCTGTGTGATGGGGTGAGGACTTGTCTTTTAAAACCCTCCCTCCGTGTGAGTGAGTTGAGTGGGGGAGTGAGTTGAGTGGGGGAGTGTGTGAGTGGGTGAGTAAGCAACGGATAAACAAACGAGTGGGTTAGCACATGGACGCTCGGCTCTTTACTCGGCAGACACGTTCCCATGCTTCATTTATCACCATTAACCGAAGAGCATAAAAGTTGAAGAAGCTTTTGGCCCATTTATTCTCACCTGTTCGATAATACGTGCTGTTCCTAACATAGATCTAATGTCCTGTCCACAGCCACCATCCCTGGCGACCTATTCCAGCCTTTGTAATAAATAATACTTGCATTCTCCCTTAAGAAATATCTCCTGTTGCCTATCTGAAACTTGTTCAATATTCTATCAAAACCTACCGCCTCATCTACCTCTGTGGCGGAGTGTTCATTGATCTGCCGTTCAATGTTAATGGAAGCAGGACTCAAAAAATAATAATAATAATCCTTGCATTTGATATAGGGTCTTATCACATCTTTGAGCAGTCCCAAAACGCTTCACAGCATATACTGCAAAGTGAATTAACTCTACGTTATTATGTGGTCAAAATGCGGCAGCCAATTGCACACAGAAGTGCCCCCCAACAGTTGTGATTGACCAAGTTATTACCATTAATTTTTAATTTATTTTTGGAGGGATTATTGCACCAGGAAAGGTCATCCACTAATCGACTTAACAACCGGGTTCCTAGGTGATCAGAGCCATTTCAAGTAAGGAAAGTTGCCTAACATTTTGCCCTGCCCGGGAATCAAAACCAGGTTCTCTCGCTTGTGAGGCGACCACGCTAACCACTACGCTACAGGATTCCACCTCTATCCACCTCAGGCGTTCAAACCATGGGAAGAGTAAACATTATTTGAGGCCTGCTTCTCAGGAGTAAAGGGCGAGGTACTGGTTTTGACTCTATTTCTCTTCTCACTAGGTTTATTCTAATGTACTCCACACTACTGTGTACTCAGTACAACTCCGCTCTCACCACCACCATAGTTGGTTGTATTAAGGTAAGATTAACCTCAACTGACTGGCTACAAATCACTGCTTAATAGCGAACCTTTGTGTAGATTTCCAGGCAAGGTCATGGCACTATGAGTTTGTGTAGTGCTTGTTCTCTAGGCAATTGTAACAGCCAGTCTGCGCCAGGAACATTTGTTTAGTGAGTTCATATAATCCTTGCATTTGAGTTCAGGATGAGATTTGATTGATGGGGGTGGGAGATCCTCTATTGTAAGGTATCTTAAGAACTTTAACGTGCATCTAAGAATGGGCAGAGGGAACTCCAGTCTAATGTCTCTGATAAGGCAATGCTCACCCAGTATTCTACTGGAGGATCACTTTGGATGATGTACTGAAATCTGTTGAGGGACTTAAACTCACAGCGTCTTGTTTGAGATGTTCATAAAATCTTACAGCACGGAAGGAGGCCATTCGGTCCATCGTGCCTATCTGGCTTGAGCTGTCCACCTGGCTATCCCTGGGACGCTACCTAGCAAGTTGTTGTTGTCCCATCTCCATCGTTGTTTTAAAGTTGTGAAAGTTTCTGGTTTGTGTAAGATGCTGGTGTGTTGGGCAGAAATCGTGTGTGCAGTGGTTGTTTAGTGTGTGGGAGACTAGGGAGGGGTTTCCTACGACCCCTGCCCCACCTTGGGGAAACAAATGATTTGTGGAGATGATGCCAGATTTGCACATGAGAAGTGACCATTGGAAGTTATGATCTGTACCCCTGCCCTTCCTTACATGACCCTATCGTCCACCCACCAGGTCAGCCTGTGTCAGCGGGAGACACACAGGCAGGGCGAAAGCTTAGCCAAGTTTCCTTACTCAACACGCCTCTGTCTACTTAGCAGTAAGCAGGAACCCAATTGTTAGTCGATTGACGGATTGCTTTCTGGGGGTAATAATCCCTTCAAAAACATAATAATAATAATTTGGTCACTCAATCCACGACTGTTTGTGGGACAAACTGTTGTACACAATTGGCTGTTGTGTTTCACCCACGAAATATACAGTCCATTCATTTTACAGTATATTCTGTTGAGCTTTGAGAAGTCTCAGACATGATAAGGCGCTGGACAATACAAGGATTATTATTATACAACAGAAAGCACGCTGGGATTATAACCAAACACTCTCCAGTTTAAGTTGCTCCTAAGCTTTGAGTAATTCAGAGTGTTTTTATTGAAAATTACAGTAACAGGTCCTGAAGCTGGGATTATATGACCTTGTTTCCTGTGAGCTCATCAATCAAGCTGTGCGTTTTGCTGGCTTGAAGCTTGTGATTAGATGCTTATCGCTCCACGTGCCAAGAGCTGTTGGCTGGCACTGCGCTTACTCACTTTAATGGTACACAGTTGACTTGTGGCATTCTGAGCTGTGCTTGTAAATATGCAGGCGACTTTAATTTACTAATGTGGGATGAGAGCGGAGCTTTCTGCTGGAGCTGTATGTACGACACACAAGGTAAAAAAAACTTGCGGACATCAGAGGGCATTTTATTGTGGGCTGTTCACATGATCGACTTGATTAGCTCTCTGGGATTCTATCCTGCGTGAGGGACGCTGTAAAAATGTATGTTGTTGTTGTATTTTAACTTGACTTATTACTGCCGCACAATATAATTCTGCATTGTATATAATACTACTGTGCCCTTAACCTCTGGATCTCCAGCATGATGCCCCGTGTGAAGGGCGCTATATAAATGTAAGTTGTTGTAGTTGTTGGATCTTTCTCTACCCTTTCCCACTTTATCTTTTATACCCCACCTTAAAACCCAGCTATTATCTGTACCTATGGCCATCCTTTCCCCCACCACCTCTCCTTTCCTCAGTACCTGACCCCACTGCTGTGTAGCACTGTGAGACACTATCCTGCATGAAGGATACTGATAAACTCTCCCCCAATCCCTCTATTGTGGGAGAGGCAGGAGGGTTGTGTATTCCCGCAGTTATTGTGAGGATAAACGGTATGTTACAGGGTGATTTGAGGGCTTTGAGACTAGTGATGTACAATCTAAATGCCCTTTTCCTCTTCCTCAGAATATTTTGGTGACCTATATCGGAATGGTTCTTGGCGGAGATTACATTTTCACATGGACCAACTTCATTGGATTGAATATCAGGTAAATCGGGCGTGAAAGAATCAACAATGTCCTTGCTTGTGTAAGTACTCCCTATGGAGTTCTCCTGCTGAGTAATGGTGATGAGGCAGTGGCATTCATGTAGGTTAAGTCTGTTCTGTTAGTGGCTCTCTTTCAACTTCCCTCCCAACCGTGCCGCATAACCCAGACTCAACTTAACAGCCTGCACTAAAGAACAGCCGCAATATGTACAGCCAATTTGCTTTGCAGTATATTCTGTGAAGCGCTTTGCGACGTCTCAAAGTCGTGATTAGGCACTATTATCAAATGCAAGTTTTATTATAAAACCTCCCCAGTCATTTACAAACAAAGTCACTTACAGAAAGCACTTTGAAATGAGGCACAATATCAAATGCAGGGGATTATTACTGTTTATTTCATGTAGGATGAATATCTCAAAGTGCTTCGGAGTCTACAGGGCTTGCCGAGCAGGGCAAAGGGGGTTCGGGAGCATGTTCCTGAGAATGGGGGTAAAGGCGTGGTGGAGAGTGGGCATATAGTGACTGAAAGCTCAGCTACTGATAGGCGAAAGGGAGTGAGGTACAAGAGATAACTAGCGAGCGCAGGTGTTGGGTCGATAGAGGACTCAAGATTATAAAGGGAATTTATAAACTCCACAGGCAATGTCTGAAGGCAAAGGATCGAGAGTAAAGTGATAAGATTATAGGATTGGGAGGGAAAGGGGATTAGGACAACTGATGTCTCCACAATTCTGGGGCAACTGTTTGTTGATCACGAGAGAAGTTCGGGTTAAAAAGCCCTGTAATAATATTAATAATAATCCTTGCATTTGATATAGCGCCTTATCACATCTTCAAGGGGTCTCAAAGTGCTTTAGTCTATTATCTCAGTGTGCCCACCCCACCATTGCAGTATTGAGCTATTTCTGCATTGGAGCGTCAACTTCAACTATGTGATTCCAAGTCCTCGTGTGAGGATCGAATCCACAAACTTCTGACTCAGAGGCGAGAGCACTACCACTGTCCCGGACTAGGACTGAATTGAAACACAATGAAACTTGCTTGAGTGTAAGTGAACCTGTTGGTTTGGATTGTATTATGGGAGAATACGCCAGTCCCAGCCAGGCTCCACTGGCTCCCTATCCCCAAACGGATCTATTTCAACATTCTCACACTCGTTTTCAAATCCCTTCGTGTCCTGGCACTCCCCTACCTGCTCACTCCAACTCATAACCCAGTGCCTCTGCTCAACTGGCTCTGGCCTCCTGCATGCCCCTCATGCTCTCCGCTCCACCATCAGCAGCCACACTTTCAGCCACTACGCCCCGAAACTCTGGAACACTCTTCCCCTATTCCTCCGCCTTACCCCTTCCTTTCCCATCTTCAGATTGCTCCTGAAAGCCTTCCTCTTTGACTGTGTTTACGGTCACCTGCCCCCCCCCCCACCACCACCACCGCTCAGCGCTGTGCTCTGCCACTATCAAGCGCTCTGCGACGTTACCCTGCATGAGGGGCGCTACATAAATGCAAGTGGTATTTGTGCTCGTCTTAAACGCCTCTTTCTCGGCAGCATTGCTGGAAGCCTGGTCTATTCCTACATCACCTTTACAGAGCAACAGTCCAGCAACCCCCCAGGGAACAATGGCAGTGGAGAGAAGGGGAAGATCGCGGTGTGACCAGGGATCATAAGACTATTTTTTAATAGACCTACATGTATTTTTCAGACATTGATTTTTATATGTATACTATATGTATGTTGTGTGTGTATATGTGTGTGTGTGTATACACAGTGCTGCCCACTTTACTCGTACCTGTTTATATTGACGTCCTGCGAATGTTGGCAAAACTTTTAAGTCTCGGACCCTCCCTTCCTCGTACAGGAACAAGTCTCTAACAGCATTGAGGAGATTGTGTTCTTACCGTTTATGTGGACGCACTGGTTGGTTTAAACCTTGCCGTGTCTGGCTGCCCAAAGAGCTGAAACGCCCCACTCGAGCTTTCTGGTGTGCGTCACTTGACCGCTCCCCCTGGCATCACGGAGAGCGGCGTTCAGTGTGCGTCTGGACTACAATCCCCAGCCAGTGACTGATAGCATCCGGTTCGTTCGTTCATGTCAACCGGCTAACGTAGACAAAACCTGCCCTGTCCCCACCGTGTCGACATAAACAGGAAGGACTGTATACACTTCTTCAAAAAGTTGGGAATTGCAAGACAATTAGTCAGAACTACTCTTGAGACCCAAGATTGGTATTGGCAAAAAAAATCCTCTCTTTTAAAATTCCTTTGTGCTTTAATTATCTGTCATGTTTTCCTCTCCACCCAGAGTTTCCTGTACCCAATGCACTGCACTGTCTACACACAGTCTGAAAGCTTTGCTTGTGCCTGTGTGAAAGAAGAGAGCACCAGCATGGACATGATGGCGGGAGGGAACGAGAGAGCAGGGGACTAGAGAGTGATAGGGTGGGAGGGCGGGAGCACCAGCACAGACACATAATGTTCATACTTAATGCTAAAACCTTGACAACTAGTACAGCGGTGGCCAAACCGTCAAAGTGTCCCATCGAATATTCACACCAGTCTAGGTAAGTCTTGACTTACGTCAATGTCTTATTTGCAGCTTCTTGGATTGAATATTTCTTGATCCATGGCATACATAAAGAAATATTCAATCAAGAAATTGTATTTTGTTGGCTATCGTTGCCCCCACAAAATATACAGTAGCCAATTCATATTACAGTATGTTCTGTGAAGTGCTTTGAGATGTCTTAAAAATGTGATAAGGTGCTATATTGAATGCAAGGATTATTAGTATTATAACCAAAAGGTTGGCCACCACTGAACTAATAGCATCCAACCATTTTGACTCCCACTGAACTTGATAGGGGTAAGCAGGGTCTCCATGAAGCTGAACTGGCACCAGGGTGATATGTTTGGCAACAGAATGTTAGAATTGAGTCCACCCTCTTGTGGTAGTTTTGCCTGAGCCAGGCAGGTCCACAGTACTCCAGGGCACTGCTGATGACGTTCCTGTTCATCAGCAGGATTTGGAAGGGTGGGCCAGTTACTGGGGGCAGGAACTCTTCCCGCTCAGCTCCTGTTAACTCTGCAAACCAGGCTTTCCCCGATGCTTATCCAGAAATAACCACCCTACCCATTAGGGCTTTAATAATAATAATAATGTATAATAATAATATTAATAATAATAATATTAATAGTAATGTAATGTGAATTTGTGGAGTCCTGTAGCTCAGTGGTTAGAGCACTCGCTTTGCAAGCGAGAGACCGGAGTTCAATTCCAGGCAGAGGGCGAAACCTTGGGCAAGTTTCCTTACTCCACACAGAGCCTAATAATAATCCCTCCAAAACCAAAAACAATAATAAATTGGTCATTTTCAATCTACGACTGTTTGTGGGACATTGCTGTGCGCAATTGGCTGCCGCGTTCGCCCACAAATATACAGTTAATTCACTTTACAGTGTGTTCTGTGAAGTGCTTTGGGACGTCCTCCCGACGTGAAAAGCGCTATATCAAATGCAAGGATTATTATTATTAAAGCCCTAATGGGTAGGGTGGTCATTTCTGGATAAGCATTGGGGAAAGCTTGGCAATCTGCGATATCAGTGGCAAGCTATGTGGTTTTAGCTGCTTAGACTCCAGCAGTCACCCCAACGCACAATCAACCAAGTCTGCACCCAGTTTGGTTTGGATGCTCTTAAGCATGGTGATGGGCTTCCGCATGTGTCAAACACGACCACAAATTATATTTGTATTGTGCCTTTCACATCGGGAGGACATCAGCTGACCAAAAAAAAAGCTAAAACTCGGCAGTCACAAGGGCTGACAATTACTTGTAGATAAATTGCACCGAGGAGGTTTGGTGTTTAAACCTCCCAAAGAAAGCCGCTGGATCCTTCTCATCAGGTACTGATTAGGTTCATCAAAGCTTGTTTCTGGATTTATAAATGTTGAGAGTGGGCTGACTGAGATTTGAGTGTTTGGAGCGGGGAGGGTGTGTGTGTATGTATGTGGAGGGAGGAGGTTTAGTGTGTGTGTTTTCGGGGGGGGAAGGGGTTGGATATGTTTAGAGCCTGATATAATTGCTATTTGCACATGTTGAAGGAGCACGCTCCCTTTAGTAGCAGCCTGGCCCTTTAGAAAGGGCTCCACATCGTATATTTTACATGATAAGTAGTTCCTAGCAACATTGAATTAAAACTCCACTGTCCCAGGCCCTTTTGAGGTCTGTTAACAGTGCAAGATGATTTTGCATTCCTCGATGTGTGGCTGAGAGGGTCTTGTGAGCTGCGGTGTTAGAAGCTGTTTGTTTGGTCTGGATTTCAAGAATGTTGTGGAGCTGGTGTGTGTGCGATTGATCCACAAAGTGCCTTTGTAAGATCCAGCTTCAACACGGCTGCTCCTAAATGGAATCATAGAATCTTATAGCACAGAAGGCCATTCGGCCCATCGTGCCTATGCCAGCTCCTTGAAAGAGCTGTCCAACTAGTCCCACTCTCCCGCTCTTACCCCATAGCCCTGCACATTTTTTTCCTTATTTGGGATATTTGTGAATTGTAACCCACCTGGATACAATTATGATTTCACTTCAGATTTTGTCAAATCTGGTTTCCTTTATTTGATATAAAATATCAGTGAAATTCTGTTAAAATAAAATGTGTTAAAACCGCACGGACCCACGCTGACTGCTAGATTAATATCCTCGCCCTCCCCCTCCCGAAATCCCTATAAAATGCAAAGGTTAAAAAAGATTTTTTTAAAATGCCCACAAGCTATACAGTTGATCCACTTTACAGTGTATCCTGTGAAGCATTTGAGACGTCTCAACGACATGATGAGGCGCTATTATCAAATGCAAGGATTATTATCATCAATTTTAAGGACAGCTGTCTATTCCACCGGCTGTATTGGGGACTCTGGGAGCTGCAATGGCTATGGAAATTCATGCTGATAGGGGGTCACTTTTGCATATTATTTGGATGAGCGATCTATTTGCAACCTAAAGAATGTAGTGTCAAGCAGACCTGCTATGTGTTTAGCACTGCCTGTTGTATATTATTGTGTTAGTGCAGATTTCCTGGATTAGTTAAGTAGGAAGCGTCCCTCCAGGGAGAGAGAGAGAGAGAGCATTCCATTCCAACAATCTATCTCTGGGATTTCCATGTGTGGGTGGGATGCATGGAAATCTCATCTTGGTTTGGATACTCTTAAGCATGTGTCAGATACCCAGCTGACCAAAAAAAGATCATTGTAGTTGTGTGTGTGTGTGTGTTTTAGTACAGTGGGTTGCATGTGTTAGGTGTTGTATCTGTTTGTGAGTGCGTGTGTACAGATCATTAAATGGGTTGCGTGTGTCAGCAGTGCAAATCTCACAATCATGCCGTGGATATTAAACTAAATAGTGATGTGATTGCACAATTTTTTTAAAAATACAATTCATTTCAATCTGGAGCAAGGATTTTCAGAGCTGTCGATGGCCTGGGCACTGTCGAGTTTGAGGTTGGAAGCTGCTTCGGGAGAGATTATTCGGGTTGCGTGACATTTGCGCATCTTATATTTAGAGTCTTTGGAGAGCAAATCCATTCCCAGCTTTCCATGTATTTTTAACGGGGAGTAACTGACTTGACTTGCCCGTAATAGAAGTTTTAAAAGTAGAAAGTGCTGTGACTGTGCAACAAATGGATTCAAATTCACAGGGGGTTCTGTGAGATCCTAGATTTGAGTATATGTTTGCAATGGCAATATCAATGGCAAGCTATGTGTTTTTAATTGGTTAGGTTCCAGCAATCATCCCAACGCACACTCTGGGGTCTCCAATAGTTGCGTGTTGCCAACCTACCCCTAATACTTAATGGAATTAAGTAAGCAGGATGAGTCCTTCCATTTCAACAATCTATCTGGGATCTCCACGTGTGAATGGGATCCTGCGTAGAATTCTCATTTGGCTTTGTATACTCTTAAGCGTTGTGATGGGTTTCTGCTTGTGTCAATCACTCAGCTGTGTGTATGTATTTAAATGCATAAACTTCTGTAAGAGTGACATTTTCATACCGTAATCATCTAAGCAAATTTCAGATTCAGGTTGTTTCTGTGTATGTGGGAGGGGAGCTCTCAAAGTTCTAACTTTTAAGAGCTGACGAAAGGAGTGACTATAGATGTATATTTATGCTTTAAAGTCAGAACACATTTCAACTGTTGTCTGTGAATACAGTGAATTTTTTTGTGTAGTGTGTTTGGGGCTGAAAATGACAGTGTTATGTAAGTGTAATGGCTTCTTTCACAAAGTATATTTGATATGTAATCTACCCCCCGAGAGACTAAACTGACTGACCAATGGATTAAGTACAGATATTTTTATATCTTTTACAAAAATAAATTTCTTACAGTAATGTTTGATGACTGTTGTGATTGCCTTAACTGTTAGCCTCTTGTTTAAAAAGTCCCATGAAGCATATAAGGAGAACTGGATTAATATGTGAACCAAAAAGGAAGGCAGCTGTGCCAGGCATGCTCTTGATGAATTTCCTTCAGTGCAGTTTATTTATCCAAAATAATTGTGGAAAAAGTTAAATAGGATCTTAGTTTTCATCATGAAGGATGGCACCTCCAACATTGCAACACTCCATTGAAGTATCAGACTCTTGAGAGTTCAAAGTGCTGAGGTGAATCGTGAACAGTGGGGCTTGAAGCCTTCTGACTCAGAGGTGAGTGCTACCTGGCTGAAGCCTTCAAGAGTTTTGCTGTAAAGTGTAGTGATAGTGATTGTAGACAGACCCTGTAAAATTATGCTATATTTAACTTTGTTCTTGTACTGGTGATGATGTGATTGTGGTCGGGTGGGTCCATAGGTTACCAGTGATGTTAATTCTCTTCAGTGCACTCAGCTTGAACTGTCTCTATCCCTGTTTGCCTCCTCCTCGCCTGTGTTCAGATCACTCCTGAAGACCTTCCTCTTTGCCTATGGTCACTATCCTCCTCTCTCTGACCAGTGTAACAGAAGACGGGAGTCAAAGATGGTATGTTGCCTCCCTGGTGCAACAGTCTTAGACATCGCAGAAAGGGTGGATAAAATTCTTCAGGGGAAGGAGAACATCCATAAGTGGTGGTCCAGGTGGGGATCCATTATATTGGTTAAAAAAGGGCTGAGACTACAGGGTCAATATCAAAAGCTGGGGAAGATACTAAAGAATCGAACATCCAAGGTGGCGATCTCGGGATTACTCCCTGTGCTTCGGGCAAATAAGTACCTGAATGGCAGGATCAAGCATATGAATGCTTGGCTGGAGAAATGGTCCAGAAAAGAGGGCTTCAAGTTTCTGGATCATTGGGACCATTTCTGGGGCAGGTGGGACCTGTATCATATGGATGGGTTGCATCTAAACAGGGCTGGGGCCAATGTGCTTGCAGACAGGCTATCTAATGCTGTTGGGGAGGGTTTAAACTAGTTTTGAGTGGGGGGGAAGGGAACGCAAAAAACGAAGAGCTAGAAAATGGAGAAATAAAACGGGGGGGGAAGCGCAGAGCAGGTCAAGTCGGTCTTGGAGTGCATGTGCCTAAATGCACGGAGTTTATTAAACAAGATTGGTGAGCTGCAGCTCAAGTGGTCATAGGGGGATACGATGTAGTAGCAGTAACAGAGACTTGGCTCAAACAAGGACAGGAATGTGAGCTGAATATTCCTGGCTATAATGTACTCAGGAGGGATAGGGAAGGACAAAAAGGAGGATTTGTGGCAATGTTAATCAAGGATACGGTTATACCCATGGAAAGGGTCGAGGTGCTGGAGGGCCCCAAAACGGAATCTATCTGGTTAGAGTTAAGGAACAAAAAAGGAGCTGTTACGCTGGTAGGGGTATACTATAGACCACCAAATAGTGGGAAGGAAATAGATGAGCAGATCTGCAAGCAGATCTCAGACAGATGCAAGGCCAATAGAGTTGTGATAATGGGGGACTTTAATTATCCCAACATAGACTGGCAAAACAACAGCGCAAAGGGCAAGGAGGGGGAAATATTCCTAAAATGCATACAGGACAACTTTCTTGATCAGTACGTTTCCAGCCCAACAAGGAAGGAAGCAGTGCTGGATCTAGTTCTGGGGAATGAAGTAGGGCAAGTGGAGCAGGTTTCAGTGGGAGAGCATCTGGGCAATAGTGATCATAACATCATTAGATTCAAAGTGCATATGGAAAGAGACAAGGAACCATCTAAGGTGAAGATATTCAACTGGAAGAGGGCAAATTTCAGTGAGTTAAAAAGGGACCTAGCCAAGGTGGACTGGAAAGAAAGATTGGCAGGTAAAACAACTAAAGAGCAGTGGGAAGTCTTCAAGGATGAGATAGCTCGGGGACAAAATAAATACATTCCCACAAAAGGGAAAAGTAGGGCTTCCAAACCTCCGTGGATGACGAAGGTAATTGTATCTAGAATGAAGCAGAAAAAGGAGGCGTATGACAAATGTCAAACCCAAGATACAGAAGACAACCAAATCGAATATAGGAAGTTCAGAAGAGGTTTGAAAAAGGAAATAAGAGGGGCAAAAAGATTATACAAAAAAAGGTTAGCGGGTAACATTAAAGGGAATTCTAAAATATTTTACAAACGTATCAAGAAAGAAAGGTTAGTCAAAGGAAGGGTGGGGCCAATTAAGGACCAAGGGGGAAATCTTATTGTGGAGGCAGAGGGCATGGCTGATGTGCTGAATGAGTACTTTGCATCTGTCTTCACAAAAGAAGTGGATGCACCAAATGCCGCAGTATCGGAGGAGAGGGAATGGATAGGATAAGTATAAACAGAGAGGAGGTACTGAAAAGGTTGACTGGGCTGAAGGTAGATAAGTCGCCCGGTCCGGACGGGATGCAGTCACGGTTACTATCTTTGTTGGATACAGGAGTGGTGCCAAAGGACTGAAGAGCGGCCAATGTGACTCCCCTGTACAAAAAGGGACAGAAGGACAAACCTGGGAACTACAGGCCAGTCAGCCTAACATCAGTAGTGGGGAAACTCCTGGAGACTATAATCCAGGACAGAATAAATCTTCACTTAGAAAAATATGGGTTAATTAGGGACAGCCAACACGGATTTGTTAGCGGTAAATCTTGTCTTAACAAATTTAATAGAATTTTTCGATGAGGTAACGGAGAGGATGGATAAAGGTAGTGCCGTTGGTGTAGTTTATATGGACTTTCAAAAGCCATTTGACAAAGTGCCACATGAAAGACTTGTAAGAAAGATAGAAGCCCATGGTATAAAAGGGACAGTGGCAACATGGATCCAGAACTGTCTGGGAGACAGAAAACAGAGTTGTGGTGAACGACTGCTTTTCTGACTGGAGGGAAGTGTACTGTGTACCCCAGGGATCGGTATTAGGACCACTGCTCTTCTTAATATACATAAGTGATCTGGACTTGGGTATAGCAAGTACCATTTCCAACTTTGCGGACCACACAAAGTTAGGGAGGGTTGTAAACAGTGAGGATAGGAACCAACTGCAGGAAGACATAGAATGGAAAAATGGGCAGACACATGGCAGATGAGTTTCAATGTGGAGAAATGCAAAGTAATGCAGTTCTGGGCACCACACTATAGGAAGGATGTTAAGGCATTGGAAAGGGTGCAGAGGAGATTTACGAGGATGGTACCAGGAATGAGGGACCGTGATGATGAGGAAAGGCTGGAGAGGCCGGGATTATTCTCATTGGAGCAGAGAAGGTGACGAGGACCTAATAGAGGTCTTCAAAATCATGAGGGGATTTGATAGGTTAGAAAGGGAAAAACTATTTCCACTGGTGGGTGTGTCGGTGACTCGACGTCACAGATTCTAAAAGAAGCCGAGTGGAAGTGAGAAGAATTTTTTTCACGCAGCGAGTTGTTCGAATCTGGAACACATTGACTGAAAGGGCAGTCGAGGCCGATTCGATAACTACTTTTAAAAACGCGGTGGACGGGTATTTGAGGAAGATGGGGAAAGGGCTGGGGAGTGGGATTGACATTAATTGCTCTATTCAGAGCCGGCACAAACTCAATGGGCCAAATGGCCTCTTTTTGTGCTGTACGATTCTACTGCGTGAAGGGTGCTATAAATGCAAGTTGTTATAGTTATGGCTGACCCGGGGAGTAACTGCTACTTGTTTCCCGCGCAAAACCACTTCCGAGTAGAGTCAGCACTGTTAATGCATTGTACTGTACTGGTGACATTTGCTCGCTTGCGGTAATTTGAGCGTGTGAACTAGTCACCCAAATGCAGAGGCCTGGTCTAATATCTGCTCGCAGCAAGCAATCGAAATGAACAATCCTTCCATTTTGTAGGATGCAGCACCATCCAGTGGTAAAATGGCTGCAGGTAACTTTTTGACCACTCCAATGAGGGTGGTGGAAGCCGATTCGATAACAACCGATAATTATTTGGGGAGTAAGTGGGGCGTGGGGTTGAATGGGATAGCTCTTCTCAAAGAGTAGGCACAGACACGATGGTCCGAATGGCCTCCTCCTCCTGTGCTGTATAATTTATGATTCAATGCCAGGATAAACGGGTGATTTTTAAACCCAAATTCGAGAAGTACTTCAAGGACTCTGCCCCATTACCTTTTTGTAGAATCTTGTAGCTCAGTGGTTAAAGCACTCGCCTCGCAAACGAGAGAACCCGGGTTCGATTCCCGGACAAGGTGGAACCTTGGGCAGGTTTCCTTGCTCCACGCGCCTCAAAAAAATCCATGACTGTTTGAGGGACACTGCTGTGTGCAATTGGTTGCCGCACTTTGGCCATAAAATATACAGTCCATTCATTTTACAGTATATTCTTTGAGATGTCTCGAAGATGTGATAAGGATTATTATTTGCTCTCCGTGAAGCACGTTTCTGCACGCACGCAATCCAAGAGTCGCAACAAATTAAGTTTTAAGATTTGCATTTTTTAATTGAAAAATATCATAGCTCGGGTTTTGCACAATTAAAATTTTTTCTAAACATGCATCATCAACATGTTCCGGGGCCAGAGTCTTATCAAAAATATCCAGAAAATGCAGCATATAATAAATCAGGACTGTCACTCAGCCAGACCAAAAAAAATCTGCAGAAATAGAATAGCGTATATATATATATAAAAAAAAACTTTGATTTGCCAGTCTCCCAAAAAAACTACAGCCCTGATAAAACCTCATCACAGCTCTTGACAGTGTAAAACCACTACCTTTTAAATATTTTAAACATTCCATCGTTTTAATAATTTAAAAATAGCTGTACCAAAATGGAATGAATGACATAATTAGATTCTTGGTATATTTATTTCCCCCCTCCCATCCACACCTCTCTCTTGCTCCCCCACCCCTCCCTCCCATAATAAAGCTTAGGAACTGTACAAAACAGGACTGTACACGCTTTTACAGAAACAGGCGAGCTCAAAAAATTAACAAATACTTGTTGAAAATATCCTTACGATCCAAAAGTCTAGGTAGAAATCTGGAAAAAAAAATTGCTGATATGTACTTGAGCCCAGACACAAGAATAGTTTATCTTCTATAAAAGACATCACTGATGTCACAGCTCAGCTCTGTACAAACCGACCCGACAGTTGAAAAATCAGGTTCATTTTTAGCTTAGAAAAAAAAGTCTTAAAAACCAAACCATGTGATGTGTTACTGAGGATCTGATTCCAATTTGAGGCGTGGCTGATGCCTCGCTGGCTCGGACAGAGCGGGAAAGCTCTCTGTCTCGCCGTCAGCTTTAGGGTGCAGCCCGCTGTCCGAAGCCCCAACATTGTTCGTTTCGTCCCCAGAGTCGCCGTTGCTTTTTAACCGTTTGGCTGGCCTCTCGAGAGTGGCTTCAGACTCGCTCTCGTTCCCGTCCTGTGTGTAACTCAGTTTCTCGTCGCCACACAGATAGTCCCCTTTCTCACAGCCGTTAGTGCCGGTCTTGGCTGAGCTGCTGTGTACAGGCCCGTTTGAATGTAAGCCTCGGAGCTCGGTGTAATCTTGCCACTGATCTGAAGCCTCAACTGCACCGTTCGCTGTTCTCCCTGCATCAGACAGAACAAAAAGAGTTCAGTTGGCTCTTCATTCTATCACCTGCAAATATCGTTTAAAAAAAAAGCATAAAATTAGACACCATTCAACACACAATCATTGTTCACAGATTAACATAATGTTCTCAACAATATTTGGAAAACATTTTTCTGAATAAAAGGGAGGCTTTTCAAACCAATAACAAATTACATTTGTATAGCGCCTTTCACGTCAGGAGGAAGTCCCAAGGTGCTGACAGGATCACAGTTTGTGTGAGGTTGCAGAAAATAATGCAGGAAGCAACTATTTTTGCTTTACTTTAAATATTTAAACCAATAAAATGTGACCAAGGCTGCCTGACCATCAATAGCACTGGGACGAAGGCGATCTGTATACAAGCAGTTACGGAGTTCATGGGGAAGCAACAAGCATTCACTGCACAGTAACCACGAGCCTTAAAATTACAGAAGGTGTTACAGCTCTTAAAATAAAAAAACTAATCTACATTTCAACCTATCCGCTCAGCAGGCTCCGGCCTCCCCCACCACCAGCGGGTCAGACCTTCAGCCTCTCTGTCCCGCCCTTTGGAACTCTATCCCACAGTTCCTTGCCTCCTTCTTTGACCACACCTTCGGTCACCCTCTTGATCCCAACCCCCTCGTGTCCAAATCCCTGACTGTCCAGTGCTTGGGAAGTCCTCCTGACGTGAAAGGCGCTGAGTAAATTTTATTTGTTGGTGTTACTTCACTAGATCCTGTACCAGTTAGAACAGGACAACTTATTCTTTGGACTTGAACTGACAAAAGGTTTCCCCCACACAATGCTACATTTTGACTTCTCAGTCCACAAAGATGACCGACCAAAAGCAGGACACATCAACTCTATGTAATTCTACATAAGCAGGGATTAACTTCCCATAGAACACACTAAGCACTTAAGTAGCACAAAAATAGGTAGAGGACAGCAGGACAATAAGATATTAAACTGCTCAACCTGGCTCTAGTGCAATTCGCGCTAACAAGCTAAATTAATAAGTTACATTTGTATAGCGTCGTTCAGATCGCGAAGACGACTCAAGCGCCTTTGGTCAAGGGTTGGGAACCGGAGGGGTGGAGGGTAGGCGTAGGAGAGTGGCCAAAGTCGCACTCGAAGAGGAGCGTCTTGAAACGTGCCTTGAATGAGGCAAGGGAGGGGGGGCAAGGCAAAGGGATTGGGATGGAGTTCCAAAGGGTGGGGGCAGAGCGGCTTAAGGCCCGACCACGGATGGTGGGGCTGGCCAAGTGGAGCAGGCCAGAGCATGCTGAGCAGAGGGAGCTCACAGGTTGATATGGTGTTAGAAGGTCATAGAGATAGGAAGAGAAACTCCCAAATCATCTTCAACAGTCCAAAGAATAAGTTGTCCTGTTCTAACTGGTACAGGATCTTTTAACACCCATCTAACCAGGTACCAATCGGACCTCGGTTTAACTTCTCATCCAAAGGATGCAACGCATTCCTCAAAGGAAAAGCAAGAGCCCTATTTACACTAGTGTTCAGCCCTGTATGAGGTTCTGCTGGATATCAGAGCACTCCACCTGAGCATTAATCCTCACCAGCTGAGGTTCAATATTGGTGCCTGGTTACCAAACAGTGTTGGTCTACCTTTGATCTACGCTCCACTTCACCAGAGCCTGATGTGACCAAGGTCCTGGATTAGTGAGAAACAACTGACCACTTATAGAGAAAGCTAATCAGATCCCATTTGGTCAAGCATTATTTTAACAAATTTCCCCAGCATTATTCCTTTAATAACTTGAGCCTTAACCATCTCTTGTGAGAACATATGTGCCGAAGTTATGATGTGCACTTAAGTGCAAACATACAGCAGATTTTATAGCAAAGTTTTTGACTGACGGGCTTCAAGACTGAGACAACATCTCATAAACATCCAACTCAGGAGTCACTGCCAAGCCAAAAAGCAATCGACCACTTAAGAGGAAAAGGGTAAAACCAATGTTGTGTACGCACTGCATATAATGATAATCCTTTTGACGCCTCAAAGCGCTTTACAGAATATACTGCAAAGTGAATTGACTGTATATTTTGTGGGCGAAACACGGAAACCACTGCGCACAGCAGTGTCCCACAAATAGTCGTGGATTGAGTGACCAAATAATTATTTTATTTTTGAAGGGATTTTTACCCTCAGAAAAGTGATCCACCAATCGACTAACAGGCCAGGTTCCTACTAACTGCTGGGTAAACAGAGGCGTGTGGAGTAAAGAAACTTGCCCAACATTTTGCCCCGCCCGGGAATCAAACCCAGGCCCCCTCGCTTGCTCTAACCACTAAGCTACAGGACTCCATGATGTGCATCTCACACACCACATGTAAACCTCACACACAGGCTCAGTTTCAGATCAAAGGGAGAGAAAATCAAAGCTCCAGTAAATGACTGACCATTGATGTTGCTTGCTCCCGCGGTCTCTTCCCGCTCGGCCTGGCTGCTGCTGCTGGTGGAGGTGGTGGGTGGGGGGGAGGGGGCACAGCTGGAGGCCGTGCTCTCAGTTTCATCCAGGAGACGATCCATGTAATCTCTGAAAGGCAACGTCACGACCTGGTTACTACCACACATTACATTTGCACAGGCCTTTCACATTGGGAAGATATCCCAAGGCGCTGGACAGTCGGGGATTTGGACCCGAGCTGGGGGTTGGGATCAGGAAGGATGGAGCGCAGGGAGGATGGGAATAGGAAGGTGACCAAAAGTGCAGTCAAAGAGGAGAGCCTTGAGACGTGCCATGAAGGAGGCAAGGGAGGGGGCGAAGCAAAGGTGGAATGGAGTTCCAAAGAGAGGGGGCAGAGAGGCTGAAGACCCGACTGCTGAAGGCGGTCTTGTGTTTATACAATGCCCCTTCACGTCAGGAGGACATCTCAAGGCGCTGAACAGTGGGGGAGTTTAGAAGATTAGAAGGATGGGCTCACGAACCATTAATAAATTGCTCTGTGGCAAGTGAGAGGCTGTGACAGATGGGATTAGAGTAAACATAACCCATTACATCAGCTGCTCCCAGGAATCAACACACCACCTGATCGCAACGCTAGTAGGTTTACAATGTGGACAGGGTGGGTCACAGACTCTAAAGGGTTTTTGGCTGATGCCAAATTATATTATGTGTGTGGCACCTTTCAGAATCGTACAGCACAAAAAGAGGCCATTTATTCTTATCAAAACCACTCATACTCTTGAACACCTCTATTAAATGTCCCCATAACCTTCTGTGCTCAAAGGAGAACAATCCCAGCCTCTCTAGTCTCTCTCCACGTATTTTACTGTTAGACTGTGAAGAACAGACTTACGTCACGCCCGGATGGAGATTGTACTTCTTTTTGCCAAATCTTGTCTGCTGAGCAAAGAAGTCATAGCGCTCCGACTTCTTCCACATGTAGTAAAAGGCCACACAGTCGCCCACAGACCTCGTTCGCACCTGTAGACAGTGCACAGGCCGTGCAGAGGACAGAAACAATCAGCCACACAACATCTAAAGCCACCGACCGGGCACTGCCTGTTTTCAATCGACAACAGATGGCATTTACGTTCGCTTTTCACACCGGGAGGACGTCCTAAGGCGCTGGACTGTACTCGAGCTGGGGGGGGTTGAGATCAGGACAGTGGGGGTAGGAGGGTGATCAGGGCCGGAGCCCACTGAGTTGAGGGAAAGGACAAGTCGGTATAAAACCCTACGGCAACAAATCACTCCTCTGCCGTTTGCTTTTCACCCTCAAGGTTGTTTTGCGTTTGATTTCTTCTATTACCCTTTAGGATAAGACTGATTTTGAGGGGCGGGGATGGGGCAGCGGAAAAAGAGAAGGCAGGAGGGGGAAAAGGAAGAAGGAAATTTTATTCGGAAAGTGACAAACATCAGCCATCAGTGCTGCGAAGTAGGGCAACTTCCTATCTGAAGCCCTCTGTGCAACACTGAGCACTGGCCAGACCAGGCACAGGTTGGACTGGAAACAAGTCCATCAATTCTGCCACAATATTGCCCTCTACTGCATGACTGTGGTATTGTCTATCTCCCACACCAATATTAATAATAATAATAATAATAATCCTCGCATTTGATATAGCGCTTTTCACGTCGGGAGGACGTCCCAAAGCGCTTCACAGAATACACTGTAAAGTGAATTGACTGTATATTTGTGGGCGAACGCGGCAGCCAATTGCGCACAGCAATGTCCCACAAACAGTCGTGGATTGAAAATGACCAATTTATTATTGTTTGTGGTTTTGGAGGGATTATTATTAGGCTCTGTGTGGAGTAAGGAAACTTGCCCAAGGTTTCGCCCTCTGCCTGGAATTGAACTCAGGTCTCTCACTGGCAAAGCGAGTGCTCTAACCACTGAGCTACAGGACTCCACAATGCCCTGTGGCCTCCCTCCCTCCCTCCCTCTCTCTTGAGCCAGACTGTGCTGTGCACTCACTCACTTGACTTATAATAATTCAAAGACCAGGGAGGGAGCAAGACGAACAGACTGTGGGATGGAGTTCCAAGGGTGGGGGCAGAGATGCTAGGGCGGGCTCCAACAACAAATGACATTTGTACAGCGCCTTTCACGTTGGGAGGACATCACGGAGGGCAGGATGGGAGATGAAGGGAGATGTGCGCCAATTCTCTTCCCTCTCCAGTTTCTTGGGATTTCAAACAAATAGTGAAGGCAGTCTCAATAATTAGATATTTTCACCGCAATAAAACAAATCCAAATGATTCAGAACGAGCATCACTGCTTTACCCTCCACCCTCCCTGCTCTCCTGATCCCAGCCCTGGTCCAATCCTTGACTGTCCAGCACCGTGGGACATCCTCCTGGTGCTATACAAATGTAATTTGTTGTTGCAATCATCTATCTCTTTCGAGCTTTATCACTCTACGTGAAATAATCAACTTTTGGCAGGACTGGTGAGGCACAAAGCATTCCCTGTGTTAGACTGCCAACTAGGATAAGGGAAGACTGCTCTCACTGCACAGTACCTATATGTGGGGGTATTGGGGCCAGGAGACAACATGCTAACAACTTACCCTCATCAATAGACAATATGGTATCTACACAGGGGATGCTTAAACATTTATTAACTAAATTGCAATCAACTAAATTGTGTTTGATCATAAACTCCCAACACCTCAACCCTGAACTTGTGGGATATTCTTGTACCTTGTTAGCCTGAACCAGATGGAAATCCTTCCCGTACGCCTTCAGTCCCTGCTCAAAATTTCTACATTCCTCTTCCGTCCAAATTGAGAGCTCTTCTGCAACAAATTGAGAGATCATTAACTGCACAAAGGCATAATTCACGCAACCCGCAAGCACAATGTGACGTCTCCAGAAACATACCCGACATGAAGTCTATACCTGAATTGACAGTAAGAAAATCCCTTACATTTGATACAGCTCCTTTTGACATCAGGAGGACGCCTCAAGTGCTTCGCAGGATTCACTGCAGTGACTTGTGTTTTGTGGGTGAACGCAACAACAAATTGAATTTGTAATGTGCCTTTCACCCGGGAGGAAGTCCCCAAGTGGCTGGACAGTAAAAGATTTGATCCCAAGACGGGGGGCTGGGACCAGGAGGGCAGGGAGGGTGGGGGTAGGCATGACCAAAGGTACGGTTGAAGAGGAAGATCTTGAGTATGCAGGTGACTTACAAACCAATATGGGGCTGGTCATCTCACCAGGGTAGGATGGGAGATGATGAACACTAAGGGAAAGGATAATAACATACACATCGATTGAGGGAATAAACTCACTACAGTGGCAGAAAGAGAGAAGTTGTCAGAGAAATATGCAACCATATTCCCCAGCTTATTCTCAGGAACAGAATCACAAAGGACCACAGAACGAGCTGAGCTTAGAAGGTAGGAAGTAAAATATTCATGTAGGAATCAATTCTATAAACGCTCTATTCTATAAACGCAGCAAAGAGCAAAATGGTGCAGACGAGCTTCAGAAAGAGCCTAAAGACGATCGATCTTCCTTTGGTTGGTGAAATTTGATTGAATCACTCACTCTTCAAGCAGAGTTCCTAAGTAAAAGGGAATTACATAGATACTTGAATAGGAGTATGAGAAGGTTGGCAGTGTTCTGGAGATGGTGGAAGGGAGTATGGGACAGGACGAGGTGGCTGAAGGAGAGAAAACCACCAGTGCAGGGGCCCAATGGCATTTTTCAGTGTAGTAATATCTGACGCTATCAAACCTTTTTGAAGATGTACAGAAGTTACAATCTGCTAGAAATACCATAATAATCCTTGCATTTGATATAGCGCCTTATCACGTCTTCAAGACGCCTCAAAGCGCTTCACAGCAAATACTGTAAAATGAATTGTATATTTTGTGGGCAAAACATGGCAGCCAATTGTGCACAGCAGTGTCCCACAAATAGTCATGGATTGAGTGACCAAATTATTATTATTCTTTGAAGGGATACTTGAAAAGGTGTATGAGAAGGTCGGTAGTGTTATGGAGGAGTGCAGAATAGGGTGAGTGTTGGACAAAACTAGGTGACTGAAGGGGAGAAAGCGCAGTTTTGATGGGGTCAATGGCATTTTCCAGTGTAATCACATCTATTTTTGCAGATTACAGTAGTTATAATCTGACAGGAATACCATAGAATTTCAACGTTTGTTATCCTTAAGCTTAACGTTCTCACCTCTAGCTGCCTTCACGTTGAACCTTAGCCTCCGCAGTGCCTCCTCTGTATCAAAGTTGCACTTAACTAGTTCATACAATGCCTGAAAGAGACAGAGCAATTTCGGTTTATTATTTCTTCCCATTTTAAAAGATTACGAAAAAAATCACTCAAATAAGACTTTGGGCTATTGATGAGGTTTATGGCACAATTTCCGCAACAGAAATGTAAATGAAAGTTTTAGGATCATCCATTATTTACTCTCCTGCACAAGTCTTAAATAGCTGAGGTTCACTGCTCACACTAATCCTTTAGTAAAACCTGATGTTCTTTTGGAGTTACAAAGTAAAACTCCCCGTATAATTATAAAGCATCCCATGAGTTTCAAATGATGGAGAATTACAGGTTCTAATAATCACTGTGTACAAGAAAGCTCCTAAACTTTACTTCATTCTTTTGATGATTGCCTAAAATTCTTGCCCAATTTACCCAACCAGTCGAGTTTCTCTCTTGCGCGCCCTATTCGCAATGCCCTATTCAACGGGAACTCACAAATCAGTGGCAACCCAAAACCAATCAGGTGAGAGGTTATTTCTGTTCCTTGTTGCATCACAAACCTATTCCAGTCACTTGTACGTTGCTCAAAACAGGGGAGGCATCAGGCGAGTGACATTGGGTGCTGCAGGAATGGTACATGTAGAAAGACTTCTCCATCACCCACTCCTTCCTATCCTACGCTCCCTCCTCCCTACACCATTTCTCCTTCCTCCCTCTCAACAAACATCACCTGTATGAAGCCACCGCCTAATGTGATTCGGGTGCATGTACGACTTAATAAGATGCAAGTTTTACTGTACAGGTAGACATCAGACTTCCTCTAAAACCATCAACAGCAAATTCATTTACACAGCGGCCCTCACGCTGGGTAGCGTTCCAGAGCGCTCAACAGCAGCGGACCATAATACCGAGTTGGGGTCAGGTGACTGTAGGCACGGTTGAAGATGAAGGTCTTCCGTCATGATCTGAAGATGGGGAAGGAAGGGCAAGGTAGAGGGATAGAGGAAGCGTGTTCCAGAGTTTTGGGACGTAGTGGCTGAAAGCATGGGCACCGATGGTGGAACGGTGGACACGAGGGACACGCAGGAGGCCGGAGCTAGTTGAGTGGAGGCAGAAGGTTGTGGGTTGGCAAGTGAGCAGGTCGGAGAGGTAGGGAGGTGCCAGAGCGTGAAGGGATTTGAAAACGAGTGTGAGGATCTTGAAATCGATCCATTCGGCGATAGGGAGCCAGTGGAGCCTGGTGAGGACTGGTGTGATGGGGTACGGAGTTTAGTGCGGGTGAGTATGTAGGCGGCGGAGTTCTGGATCAGCTGGATCCTGTGCGTGGTGGAGCTGGGGAGACCAGCAAAGAGACATTTGAAAAGTCGAGTCAGGAGGTGACGAACGCACTTTGTACAATCAACTCACTCGCAACCTTTGTTCCTGGTGAAATAAATACATGATATAAAAGGGTTCAGTTCAGGGGCAAGAGCCCATTACCTGCTCGTTGTCCTTGATGTGTGAGCCTTCGGGTATGGCATTCAATCCTTTCTCCTCGCCCGTGCGCTTACTAGCATCACAAAGAAATTCCACCACTTTATTCTCAGGCAGAAAATCAGGGTTCCACAACAACTGGTCTTCATTCTCATATACTAGACACAGATTTTTATAAAATACATTAGTGCCACGGATTGTATGTCGGCCACAGACCTGCGCGTTATAACACTTTGCGATCTTTTAAACAGGAACAAAACCCTTTTCTAAATGGTAATAAGTTGAAAATAATGTACGCTCATATTCTCCCTGAGGCCAAAGCAAATAATAATAATCCTTGCATTTGATATACCACCTTATCACATCTTTGAGACGCCTCAATGTGCTTCACAGAATATTCTGTAAAGTATAGTGACTGTATTTTGTGCGGGGAATCTCGGCAGCCAATCGTGCAGAGCAGTGTCCCACAATAGTCTTGGATTAAGTGTTGAAAAGATTACCCCCAGAAAGCGATCCGTTGCGTTCCTACTTACTGCTAGGCAAACAGAGGAGTGTGAAGTAACGAAACTTGCCCAAAATTTCACCCTGCCCAGGAATCAAACCCAGGTCCTCTCGCTTGCGAGGTGAGTGTTCTAACCACTGAGCTACAGGACTCCTAACTCTGAAGGTAATGGCCAGAGGGATTGAAATTTTAGAAAATTAAATTTAAGATCGAAAGTAAACTTACCCTTTTCGTTCTCTTTGTATTTATAGAAGCCGACGGGAACCTCCGCTTGGAATTGGGAGCCCACCATAATCTCCTGAAGAGAGAGAGACCTACTGTTTTTATTAACAGCATTGAGAGAAGACAGCATTGCACTAGAAGACTCCAGTTAAGGTTACAGAGTGCTAGTTACTTGCACACAAATCTCAATTTTATTTTATTCTTTGGTCAGCCAGGTGTCTGATACGTGTGGAAGGAAACCCATCACCATCCTTAAAAGAGTATCCAAACCGAGCTGAGATTTCCATTCATCCAACCTACACATAGAAATCCCAGAGACAGATTGTTGAACAGGCAGACACAGCCTCAGGATTATTAATAAGAAAGAGGTAAGACTGATTGCTCGCTCAGGGTACATCCAAATCTACACAAAAGCACATGCTGTTCGAACCCCATTACAGGGCTAATGAGGTTTATCAATAATAATAATAATCCTTGCACTTGATATAGCACCTTATCACATTTTGAGATGTCTCAAAGCACTTCACAGAAAAGTGAATTGACTGCGTATCTTGTGGGTGAGACACATAGCTTTATATATATTAAATAGCTTTAAACGTTTGCTGTGATCGATGGTTCTCGTCTGTAAGCCCCAAAAAATGTACCTGGGAAGCTTCATGTAAATGAAGACTGCTGAAACACAATTTTAAGCCTTCCATCGGAGTTCTCACTGGTTCAGCTTTCCCTCACCTCCATAACATTGCCTGTCTCTAAGAACAGGAGTAGGCCATTCAGCCCCTCGACCTGTTCCACCATTCTATTAGATTATGCCTGATCTGTACCCCAACTCCGATTATCTTTGTCACAGAAACAACACAGCTGGACAATACCTTTCGACCACAGAGACAGTAAAAGAACAAATAATAAAATACAATGGTACCTTTTTCCAGTCTTCTGAAGGCACATAATCCTCATCTTCTTCGGACTCTTCTTCCCCTTCATTGCCTATGGAATTGAAACGGGTCTTAGAACAGCACGTACGTCCTGAAAGCCCTTTCGAACGGTAAATGAGTAGAGGACAGGGCAGTTTTCAGGAAATAGATAATAACAATCTTTGCATTTGATATAGCGCCTTATCACGTCTTTGAGATATCTCAAAGCGCTTCACAAAATATACTGTGAAGTGAATTGACAATATATTTTGTGGGCAAAACACAGCAGCCAATTGCACACAGCAGTGTCCCACAAACCGACATGGATTAAGTGACCAAATTATTACTTTCTTTTTTGGAGGGATTATTACCCACAGAAGAGCGATCCCCAAATCGACTAACAACCAAGTTCCTACTTACTCCTAGGTAAACAGAGAAGTGTGGAGTAAGAAAACTTGCCCAATGTTTCTCCCTGCCCAGGAATCGAACCCAGGTCCTCTTGCTTGCAAGGCAAGTGCTCTAACCAATATGCTACAGGACTCCACACACAAGTTTTAAGTGTAAATGTCAACATCACTTTTCAGCTGTAATCAACCTCAGTTAGTCCAACAACAATGAAAAAGTTGAAGGAACCACAGACAACACACCTGCTTACAAGGAGGAGAGAGAGCTTAAGCCAATTTCATCCACATACATGCAAAAGATTGTACCTATGTCTAAGTATTTACATCTGCGTGGGCGGACCATCTCCTGCGTATCCTGCGAGGCAATCGAAGGCGTCAGGTCATCATTGGAAGACTGGGTCTCATCTTCCTGACCAGATGAGGTCTTTGGTACTTCTTCCTATGCAGTCACAAAACATAAACCACTTCAAAATGCAGCTTGTTTCACAGGATACACTGTAAAGTCATCAGTTTATAAAGCGTGGTAAACAAAGCATTAATAGCATATCATATATGGCAGACATGGCCTCAGGATTATTAATAAGGGGTAAGACTGATTACTCACTCAGGATACATCCAGATCTACACAAAATCACACCCTGTTCGAAACCCATTACAGGGCTAATGAAGCAGTTAGACTGAGATTTATCGATAATAATCCTTGCACTTGACTTGATATAGCATCTTATTACATTGTTGAGACTTCTCAAAGCCCTTCACAGAATATACTGTAAAATAATTGACTGTAGTGTCCCCACAAACAGTCGTGGATTGAGTGACCAATTTATTATTTATTTATTTGAAGTAATTATTACCCCCAGAAAAGCCAATCGACTAACGACCGGGTTCCTATTTACTGCTAGGTAAACAGCGGCGTGTGGAGTAAAGAAACTTGCCTAACATTTCGCCCTGCCCTGGAATCGAACCCAGGTCTCTAACCACTGAGATACAGGACTCCCAATACCAATATAATAGTGGTCACAATACTTGCACAATAGAAGGAAAAAATAGGTTGCTTTGTAATGTCGGGGGCTAATAATAATCCTTAATTTGATATAGCGCCTTATCACATCTTCGAGAAGTTTCAAAACGTTTCACAGGATACACTGTAAAGTGTAGTGACTGTATATTTGTGGGCGAAACGCAGCAGCCGATTGCGCACATCAGTGTCCCACAAACAGTCGTAGATTGAGTGCCCAAATTATCATTATTATTTCTTTGTTGAAGGGATTATTATCCCTGGAAAAGCGATTCGCCAATCGACTAACAACTGGGTTCCTACTTACTGATAGGTAAACAGAGGCGTGTGGAGTAAGGAAACCCTACTCGGAAATCGAACCCAGGTCCCCTCGCTTCCGAGGCGAGTGCTCTAACCAATATGCAACAGGACTTCATCATCAACAATGGTGTAGCTTAATGCCAAGGAAGGAAAGATGGTTGTAGCCACGGTCCTCACTTTAAACATTTATTTTCTTGTCCTTTTTACATTAGCCTCAGTTTGTCTCGTGCGAAAGATTTTTACTTCCATTTTTATTGCGAGGCGGTACGGTTATACGTGACCTAGATTTAGATTTCAAAATAGGTGGCTTTGGGGGGGGGAGATAAAACTTTGAAGTAGATCAAATAAAAGTTTTGTAAGTCACCAGCTGTGTATTCAAGTCCAACTTAATACCATTTAGTTAGAAAAGAGCATCAATCTCCTTTCTTAGATTTTCATCACTTCGACTTCTCTTTTTCTAACTTCCTCACATTTTCCCCACTCTTTTTTACCAACGGAATTTTTTTACCCAGACGCCACTGTTACATCACTCAACTTTGTATTAAAATATAGCAATTGTTAGTTTTCAGAAGCCATAATTTCACGAACTTTAATGAATACATTTACTGTATTCATGAAGGAGACCATTCGGCCCATCATGCCCATGCCAGCTCTTTGAAAGGGCTACCAACTAGTCCCATTCCCCCACTCTTACCCCATAGCCCTACAAACTTTTCCTTTTTAAGTACCTGTCTAATTCTCTTTTGAAAGCTATTATCAAAAATGCTTCCTTCCAGGCAGTGTTCAAGACTGTAACTACTCTCTGGGCAAAGATATTCTCTTTGTCTCGAGGATTTTTTTTAAAAAATAGTGCTTTCACCCATCTCAAGGCTACAATGATTTATAAAGTGTGATTTTGTGTACTCAACCATTTGCCTAAAGCAAGGTCTCACACAGCCATGAAGCAAATGACCAATTCATCTAGCAGATAAATTGGTCATTAATGGTTTAACATCTTATCTAAAGGACGACACCTCCAGCAATGCAGCCCTTCTCTTGTAGTCACTGAAGCATTAGCCTAATCTCTGAGCTCAAGTCTTGTGTGGGATTTGAACCCACAGGAACACAGAAAAAGGAGGCCATTCAGTGTCTCAAGCCTGTTCCACCATTCTATAAGATCATGGCTGATCTGTACCTCAACTTCAATTACCCACCATGGTCCCATATTCCTTGATATCCCAACCTAAGAAAAATATTTTTTGCACAGCTTCTGATTCAGAACCGAGAGCCCTATCAAATAAGTTGAAATGAGTAAGTTAGAGAATCGTAGTTAAGTCTGGTAGAACATTTGTTAACCTTGATTAGATTCAAGTCTGGCAGATCTTCCGGCACTTCACTGCTCCCACTGTTTTCGTCATTGTCAGCCTCATTATCGCCTTCACCCCCCTCGTCATCATCATCTTCTTCATCATCATCCTCTTCCTCCTCATCCTCTTCATCATCTTCACCTGGGAATGGAACCGTATTCCCGTAACCATACAGATTTAATAATTCCTGGATTGGCATTTCTCCTTCCTAAAAAACAGAGATAAAAAAGTCGTCAAAGGAACTGGTTTAACCATCACACATAGACTGTCCACATAAATAAGAATAATCCTTGCATTCGATATAGCATTCTTCAAGATGCCTGTGTATTATTCCAAAAATACACAGTCAATTCCCGTTAACAGTATTTTCTGTGAAGCACTTTGAGACGTCTCCACTTCATCTCCACAAACGGCTTCTCCTCTAACCCCCACACCATCTCGTGCGGCGTTCCTCAGGGCTAAGTCCTTGGTCCCCTCCTCTTCCAGATCTACATGCTCCCTCTTGGTGATGTCTTCCGCAGAAATGGGGTCAACTTCAACATGTATGCGGATGACACCCAACTGTACTTCTCTGCCTTCACCCTTGACTCCAGGATCATTGCTGTCCTGAAAGAGTGTCTGTCAGACATCAAGTCCTGGCTGTGAGATAACTTTCTTCAGTTGAATGTCAACAAGAATGAGGCTCCAGTCAGTGCCTCCACACCTCAGTGCATCCAAGTATGCACACTCCACCTCACTGAGCCAGTCTGGAACCTTGGCATCTTGTTTGACCCTCAACTGCCCTTTCTGCCCCACATCCGTGCCATAACCCACCCTGCCTTCCCCCACCTCCACTACATTACCCGGCTTAGCCACTGCCTCACCCCTCAGTCTGCCGAAACCCTCATCCATGCATTCATCATATCTAGGTTAGACTATGCCTGCTTGTCAACTTTCCCAATATTTCCCTCCACAAGCTGCAGATCATACAGAACTGCAGCTCATGTCCTTTCCTACACCAGGCTCCGTGATCCCATCACGCCCATCCTGGCCCGGCTTCACTAGCTCCCCATCCCCCATAGGATAGAGTTCCAAATTCTCGTCCTGGCCTTCAAGGCCCTCCATGGCCTTGCTCCTCCCTACCTCTGTGGCCTGCTGCCCCTACATCAACTCGTAAGCTCCCTCTGCTCAGCAGGCTCTGGCCTGCTCCACACACCCCCCCACCCGGCCCGCCCTGCCATCGGCAGCCGGGCCTTCAGCCTCTCTGCCCCACCCTATGGAATTCCATTCTACATTCTCTTTGCCTCGCTCCCTCCCTTGCCTCCTTGAAGGTGCGTCTCAAAACCCTCCCCTTTGACCAAGGCTTCAGGCCCTCCACTATCCTGACCCCCAGCTAAGATCCAAATCCCTGACTATCCAGTGCCTTGGGACGTCCTTTTGACGTGTAAGGCGCTATACAAATGTAATATTGTATCATGTTATATTGAAAACGTAATAAGGCGCTATATCAAATGCAAGGATTATTTTCTATTTCATTTCCTATGATTATTTTCTACTCGGGACTATTCAAACAAGAGGAATCTAGAAGAACAGTACCAACTATTTATCTATTTCCCTCTTAAACATTCCCAATAACTCCACATTAGCAGTCCTTTAAGCAAGTGAACTGCACAATCCCACATTTCAATAAAATGAATTCAGTACTAATGGGTCTAGTTCTAATTTTTAGATTGGGGTTCTGCAAATAAAGTTTCTCCTCATCTCCTCTATCAATTCCTTTTACTATCTTAAACACCTCGATCAGATCTCCCCTTAACCTCTGGTCAAGGAAGTCTATCCATTCTATCCTCATAATTAAGCCCATTCTATTTAAGTATCATTCTGGTGAATCTACACTCTACACAGGAATGTGATGGTGATAATAATAATCCTTGCATTTGATATAGCCTTAACGCATCTCTGAGACACCTCAAAGTGCTTCACGGTAGAGTATAGTGACTGTATATTTTGTGGGCGAAACGCGACAGCCAGTGTTTCACAAACAGTTGCGGATTGAGTGACCAATTTTTTGAAGGGATTATTACCTCCGGAAAAATGATGGGCCAATCAACTAACAAGCGGGTTCCTACTTACTACTAGGTAAACAGGCGTGTTGAGGAAGGAAACTTCCCAACATTTCGCCCTGCCTGGGAATTAAACCCAAGTCCTTTCTCTTGCAGGTGAGTGCTCTAACCACTAGGCTACAGGAATAGTCCTATATTAGTGATCAAACCAACATCGTTGACATTTTACCATGAGGCTTGCAAACTGATGAAAATCGTTATAGGATTACTTTGTTGAATCTATTTAGCGACTTCGTGGAACTTCTCAGTTTAAGAATAGAAAACAGCTATTCTCAAGAGAATCAAAAAACCATTCCTCCAACCACCAAAAAACAGCAACAGCAGATGGTTTCACATCAGGCAAACGGATAATTAACTGAACAAAAATTCTTCAGTGTATAACGTGAAGCCATTTCATGTTTGGGTTTTGGAGACAACAAAAACTTGCCCTTTATGTGGGGTAGAGACCTGGAGCGATTCGCAGTGACAGAATCTGAGCCTTGGGTAGAGGGAGGGGGGAAGGTGATTTTAAGCACAATCAAAAAGGTCTTTAGGCAGGATTTGAAGATAGGGAGGGAGGGGGCAGGTGGAGGGATTGAGGGAGAGAATTCCAGAGTTCGGGGCGTAACGGCTGAAGGCGATGGTGGAACGGAGGGCACAAAGGACAAATTGGAGGCCAGAGGCAGCTGAACGGAGGCAGCGGGTATTGGAGTGACGGGTAAGCAGGTCAGATAGTTAGGGAGGTGCAAGGGCATGAAGGGATTTGAAAACGAGTGAGAGGATACTGAAATCCGTTCGGTGATTGGGAGCCAGTGGAGCCTGGCGAGGACTCAGTGTGACGATGTTACTGAGTTTCATATGGGTGAAATCCGGGCAGCGGATTTTTGAATTAATTAGAGACAGGGAGACTAGGCACAAAGAAAATGGATTTTGGAAGAAAACATCAAAGAGCAGTAGTAGCTGAAAGCTTGGTCACTGATGGTGGGCTGAAGACAAGGAAAGAGAAGAGGTACAGGTAGATTGGGCTGGAGGAAATTGTAGGGATAAGCAGTGATAAGGTGAGGATAAATATCTAGAGGTCAATCAACTGAACAGATAGAAGGTGACAAAGTAACAAATGGAGCCTGGTGTGAATGCGGTGGGTAATGAATGCACAGAGGGTAGTCGGGGAGAGAATGAATTTATAATAATAATATGGAGGAAACAACTAGCAAGTCCAGCATCAGAGAAATCCTAGGTCTGTAGATGATAAAAACACGGATGAGGGTTTCAGCTGTGATGGTATGAGACACGTACGCAAACAACAAGAAGAATAATCATAACCCTTGCAATTAGTATAGTACCTTCCATATTGGGAGGATATACCGAAGTGCCTCACAGGATAACAATTACATTTAAAATTTCATTTATAAAGCCCCTTTCACCTCGGAAGGACATCCCAAGGCACTGAACAGTCAGGGATCAGGACCCGAGCGTGAAGGGGGGGTGGGAGGATTTGGATGAAGGATGGCCGAGGTAGGAGGGCAGCTGAATGCACGGTCAAAAAGGAGGGTCTTGAGACGTGCCTTAGAGGAGGCAAGGGAAGGCGCAAGGCAAAGGGATTGTGGGACAGAGTTCCAAAGGGTGGGGGCTGAGAGGCTGAAAGTCTGGCCGCCAATGGTATACCGTAAAGTGGAGCAACTGATCTGAGGGCAACAAGAACAACAAAATGACATTTATAGAGCGCCTTTCACGTCGGAGGGACGTCCCAAAGCGCTGAACAGTCAGGTGTCGGGGCCTGAGCATGGGGGAGGGATGGTGTAGGGGTGAGGGAAAGCAGAGCGGTGGGAGGGCGACCGAAGGCACGATCGAAGAGAAGGGTCTTGAGACCGGCCTTGAGGGAGGCAAGGGAGGAAGAGAGGCGAAGGGACCGTGGGATGCGAGTTCCAAAGTGTGGGGGCAGAGAGGCTGAAAGCCCGGCCACCGATGGTAGGGTGGGTCTGACGGGGCACATGGAGCAGACCGGAGCCCGCTGAATGGAGGGAGTGGGCAGGTTGGTAGGGAGTAAGCAGGTCGGAGAGGCAGTAGGGGGCAAGGCCATGGATGGGCTTAAAGGTGAGGACAAGGAACCTGAATTTGATCCTCTGGGGGATGGGGAGCCAGTGGAGTCGGGCGAGGGTGGGAGTGATGGGGTCACAGAGTCTGGTGCGCGAGAGTACACGAGCTGCAGAGTTTTGGATGATCTGCAGCTTGTGAAGGGAAGAGTTGGGAAGGCCGATGAGGAAGGAGTTCCCGTAATCGAGCCTTGATGTGACAAATGCGTGTGTGAGGCGTTCGACAGTCTGAGGAGCGAGGCAGTGGCGGAGTCTGGCAATGGTGCAGAGGTGGTAGTAGGCAGTGCTGGTCATGGCGCAGATGTGGGAGGGAAAGGACAGTTTATGGTCAAACAAGATACCCAGGTTCCTGGTTGGCTTAGCGAGGTTGAGTGTTCGGCCGTAGAGGCTGATGCTGCCAACGCCTGAGGTACAGCCAATGTGGCAGCCAAGTTACTCACAGCAATGTCTCACAAACAGCCGTGAAGTAACCAACCTATTTTATTTTGGGGACTGTCAGCCAGGACACCAAGAAAAGAGAATAGTTCCACTGGATATTTAAAGTTCACTTGAACAAGCAGATGGAACCTCAGTTGAACGTCTCTTCTGAAGGATGACACCTCCAACAATGGAGCTCATGCCCAACACCACTGAAGTGTTAGCTTAGACCTGTGGTGACCACCAACCTGTGCCCCTGTGAACATTCACACTTGAACATGTAAGACCGTGTCCAATCAATAATGTGTTTCCAATCTTTTCCTGATTGAATATTTCTTGATTTATATACATTTATTTTGTTGGCCGACCAAAAGGGTTGGCCACCGCTGTGGGGGCTTGAACCCACAACCTTCTGACTCAGAGGTGAGAGGGCTAAAGACATGCAATTTAATAAGAATGTGTGAAAATACACAATACCACACAAATTTATATTTAGATAGCGCCTATTTAATTTCAAAAATAATTTGGCACTCAATCCCACTGTTTGGGGACACTCTGTACGCAATTAGCAGCCGTGTTTCATCCACAAAATACAGTCAATTTACTGTACAGTATAGACTTTGAGATGTCTCAACAACCTGATAAGGTGCTATATCAAATGCGAGTGTTATTATTAATGTTGGGAGGACATCCCAAAGCGTTTAATTAACAGTGTTGGGTGGAAAATAGGAGAGGAAAACACAATTGATCACATAATGTCAAACATGCATTGGGATAATCAAGAACATAAAGGGTAATTTTTTAAAAGATAAAACAGATCAAAAACAATCCCTTACCCTTTCGAGATCCTCAATTTCCGAGCTGAAATTGTTATCACCTTCCATCAATTCTTCCTCCTCAAGCGTCCGTTCATCGTCAAAATCGTGCACTAGCATATCAGCAGAGGGATCAAAGTCGTTGTCATCCGAACCTGCCGAACCCCCTAAGATTTAAGAAATAAAATACAACTGTATATTTTTTATATCTTCACTGATATAACGACTTGCACTTATATAACATCTTTCACGCAGGGTAGTTACCCGGAGCGGTTAACAAATATATTTGTATTGAATAAATATTGAACAAATACCTTTTCAAAATTTAGATGAAATGAACCCAGTTTTAAACATAGATTACATGTATAGAAATGTGCAGTGGATTTCACTAATATTTAACTTTTAAAAGAACAACAATAGGGATCTCAATTGCAACACCCGCATATAGTTACACTTCTGATTTAAAAACTGATTTAACTGTAAGCAAAGCGGCTGTCATGCTCACTACAAAATAGTCACTACGGTAAATTCTGCAGAGCACTTTCAGACATTTGGGGGACCCGATAAAGCACAATTATTAATTACCTGGGCTTGAGCTTCCAATGGAAGGCTGCGAAAATGGAAATTAAAAGTTAAAAATCTTCCAAAACATTAACAAAAACTTCAAAATTAAGGCGACTTTCCCACTTTTTAAGTTTCTCAAAACTAATAAAAGTAACGCAACGCATTACAACGCTTTGGAAAGTGGCATCTGTTCAAAAAAAAATTATGCTTTAAAAGAAAAGGAGAAGAGGAAAGAAATGAGGAAGCTTCTGAAAGGCTTAAAGAAATGTTCCAGGCAGATGTTTTTTGCACCGAAAGAAAGAAATAGTGACGGGCAGGAAAAGGGGAGGATTAATCAACCAAAATTTAGAGCGAAAAACTAAATAAAAAGTGAATAAAATAATAAAAGAAAACTTTCCATGAAAAACATCTAATCCCCCCCCCCCCCATGACCACCACAAACCAGACCAAGAGCTTAAAATGATCAAAAAACATAATAATGATTTTAATAGACATATATATTATATTTTCTGCAGGAAAACCATTACAGGAAGAGGTAAATAAACAAGACTGCACTGAAAGGGCTGTGTGGGGAGGAGGGGGAGGAATGTGGGTGAAGGAAGAAGAAAAGAAGGTCCCCCCCAAATCCAAGACCGTCCAAAAAAAAAGACTTCTTTTTTTTTTAAAAAAAGAGAGATTGAAAGTAAATGACGAAGAAAAAAAAAACAACTTTTAGAATAAATTCCCCCCCCCCCCCAAAAAAAAAAGTGGCCCTTTCTCCTCAACCACACAACTCACAGGGCCAACACACACCAGGACCCGGAGAGGGGAACAGGAGGCTCCGACCCCCCAAAACAACACAGATTAACAGTGAACACACAGACATTGATGAGATTTATGTGGCATTAAAGGCGCGTTGAGTGAGTGAGAGCCACTGAGAGCTCAGACTTCAGACCTCTCTGAACACTTACGACCGTCCAAAACCCACCGCCTCGGACTCCATTTAAATACATAAATACACACACAGATATATATATATATATACACACACATATATACGCATAAAGTTTATCGACGAACAAATTTATTCCCTCAAAAAAAAAGCCCACCGGCGGGTGACGGGAGGCGGCCCCCGAAATCATTACTGATAATTACGAACACTATTCGTTGGGGGAGAGAGAGAGAGAGAGAGAGAGAGACGGAGAGAGAGACATTTACTATTCTCTTCATATATTTTTTTTACATAAAGTTCAAACTAATCGGTGAGGAACTCTGAGCGGCGCTGCGAAGTGTGTGCGTGTGTGTGTGGGGGGGAGGGGGAGAGGGGGGACGGGGGGGGGGAGGGGGGGGAGACCGAGCGGTCGAGCGGGAGTCAGCGAGCGAAAGAGAGGCGCCGACTTACCTCCGCCATCTTGTGCTGTCGGTCGGGAGCCGCGAGAGGGAGGGAGGACGTCACGGGGTGACCCGGATGCACCCGCCCGCCTACCTCCCCGGGTGGTGGGGGGGGGGGCGCGCTCCTCACCCTCAGCCCGTCCCCCCCCCTCCCCTCCCAAACACACGCTGCTGATTGGATCAGCCCCCGCCGCTTCCCATTGGTCCGCGCCGCCATCGCGCATCTGATTGGACGCCTGGCGGTGGGGGGGGGGGGGGGTGTGAGGCGCCACCTCTACTGATTGGCCAGCGCTGATTCCGAGCGGCCGCGCTGGTTGGTCCGCGGTGTGCTCCCCCGCCGCGGTGATTGGTCCGGTGGAATTGATCGCATTTTTTTCTAGGGTTTAAAGCGGCCTCTTCCCACCCCCCCCCCTTCCTCCTCTATTCCCGCCCCCCCCCCCATTCCCCTCCCCCCCTATTCTGGCCTATAATCCGCCAACGTATTTTAAACCGTGAGAGAAACCCGAGAGCTTGAGCACAGGAGGGGGAGGGGAGGGGCGGGGACTGGGACGGAGAGCGGAGGGAGGGAGGAGCTCAACTGTGACAGCAAAGCCACGCCTACCGTGACGTCATAGCCACGCCCGCTGTAACAGCATAGCCACGCCCGCTGTGACATCATAGCCACGCCCACCGTGACAGCATAGCCACGCCACGCCCCCCCAATCACGGCACGGCCGCTTTCAGCAGCACCGCCCATAGCAACGGCACAGCCCCGCCCCTGGAAACGACGCCGGCGTCTAGCAACGGGCGGAGCGGCGGCACTGGAGAGCCCGCGGGCCGTGGTGGGGGCGGCGGCGGTGGGGGCAGAGGACAGAGGCCGCCATGAAGAAAGTCACCGCTGTAAACCAGTGAGTGAGCTTCACGCACAGCCCGAGCACTATGGGAGGGGGAGAGGGGAGAGGGGAGAGGGGGGGAAGTGAGCCCCAGCGCAATGGTTTCTACAACAACAACAACAACAACAACTTGCTGCTGTACCCCAGGCCTCGGAGGGGCAGGAAATCCGTACCCCATCGCCCACCACCACCCCCACCCCCTCCCCTCCCCCGCGGCTGCTCCGGCCTCCCCGCACGTTTCCCCCCATCCTCTCCCCTCCAACGTCGATGGCCGTGCTCTCGGCCACTACGCCCCGAAACTTTGGCCCTCCCTCCCTCCCTCCCTCCCTCCCTCCCTCCGCCTTGCCCCTTCCTTCCCCGTTTTCGGATCGCGCGCCCGAAGACCTCCATCTTCGACCTCCTCGGTTCTCCCCCTCCCCCATCCCGGCTCGGCACCGTCAGGCGCTCTCAGACGCTATCCTGCGTTAGAAGCGCAAGTTGTTGTTGAGTTTGAAATCGGCCCAAAAAAAACGTAGGTCGTGGCGTGCGACTGCCAAAGGCCTGGCGCAGGCAGCGCGATGGAAATCTTTCTGCGATGTATATTATAGGATTGTAAAAGCGTGCGCTTGAGTCTTCCTTCTCCCTACCTCTGTGATCTGCTGACCCCATGTCAACTTGTCCACTCCCTGGCCGCTCAGTAGGCTCTGGCCTGCTCCATGTCCCCTGCCCTGCCCGCCCCACCATCGGCGGTCGGGCCTTCAGCCTCTCTGCCCCCCACTGTTTGCAACTCTATCGCACTCTATCCCTTTGCATCACTCTCTCCCTTGCTTCCTTCAAGGCCTGTCTCAAGACCCTCCTCTTCGACCCCATCTGCAGTCATCCTCCTACCCTCACCCCCCCTCCCTTGCTGCCCTCCACCCCTCCTGATTCCATCCCCCTGCTTGGGACCAAATCCCTCTCTCTCTCTCTCTCTCTAGCCCTTGGGACGTCCTCCCGACGTGAAAAGCACTATGAAAATGTAATTTGTTGTCGTTCAAGTCTTGCCTATTGATGTGAACCTTTAGGTCTAACAGGCCGACAGTAAAGAAGCTTGTCTCCAAGACGAGTGTGGGGACCTACAGCCACAGTAAACACAGCTTCAAAAGCAACCGCAGCATCATGGGTTTGTCCAGTCGCCGCAGTATGAACTGGGCAACTGACAAGATCAGTGAAAAGGGAAACTTAACAGCATTTAAAAGTTCCGTTCCGGTCCAGGTAAGTCTCAACAAAAACAATAACTTAGGAACAGGGCACAGATGGGGAGTGAGGTTTAAAGTCTCATACAAAGGACAGCACCTCCATTGCTCTGAAAAAGGCAAATCAAACAAAAGGTTAAGATGCCTTGGTGTCCCGTACCATAGTGGTTACGAGACGCAAGTGAGACGAACCGGGTTCGATTCCCAGACGGGGCAAAACCTCAGGCATGTTTCCTTACTCCACACATCTTTGTTTAGTCGATTGGCATATTGCTTTCCGGAGGTAATAATTCCTTTAAAAAAACAGTAATAATAGTAACATGGTTACTCAAACCACGGCTGTTTGTGGGACACTGCTGTGCGCAATTGGCTGTCGCGTTTTCCCCACAAAAATATACAGTCAATTCGTGTTACAGTGTATCCTGTGAAGCACTTTGAGGTGTCTCAATGACGTGATAATAATAATCCTTGCATTTGATGTAGCGCCTTATCACATCTACGCGACGTCTCAAAGCGCTTCACAGAATATACTGTAAAGCAAATTGAATGTATTATAATAACATATCTCTTGTTTACCAGGTATTAGATGAGTTCGGGAAGGACGTGACACCTCACTCTCTATTTGTCTTGGAGCCTGGCATTCCACAGAGCAAGCCCAGCAGACTGTTTGGCTCTCAGGAAGGATCAGGCTCCGAATATCTCCCCTCAATTTCCGTGTATCAGACTGCAACTAACGTTAGTCTGGCTGGACCCTTCACCAGGTAAAAATATATATACAGCCACAGTACACACAGCTTCAAAAGCAACCACAGCATAATGGGTTTGTCCAGTCGCCGCAGTATGAACTGGGCAGCTGACAAGATCAGTGAAAAGAAATCAGTGCTGCAACATTCAAAAGTTCTGTTCCGGTCAAAGGTAAGTCTCAACAAAAACAATAACTTAGGAACAAGGCACAGATGGGGAGTGCCTATATATATATATATATATATACAGCATAGCCAGTCGGGCTCGTTGCAGGACCTGGAAGGGCTGATCAGTCATTAGGGCATGGAGTCATCCCACTCAACGCCTGTTAACCTTGTAAGCCAGAGCCCTAACGGGCAGGGTGGTCCAAGCAGCGGGAAAGCTTGCCGGACAGCAATATCAATGGCAAGCTTGGCAGTTTTAGCTGGTTCAACTCCAGCAGTTACCCCAGCGCACACTCTGGGCTCCCCAAGCCTTTGCGCTTGCCAACCTACGCCTAATACTCTGCGGAATTAGGTAAGCAGGATGTGTCCTTCCAGGGAGAGAATACGCATTCCACTCTGACAATCTATCTCTGGGATTTCCTTGTGTAGGTTGATGCATGGAAATCTCAGTTGGGTTTGGATACTCTTAAGCATGGTGGTGGGTTTCAGTGTGTGTGTTCAGATATTGGGGGCAAAAAAAATTTGACCTGACCTGTTTATGATGGTAGCTGTGGCAGTTTAACTTGGTGGTCTGTTGTGTTGTTGAATCTCTTGGTTAGACAATGGGTGAGAGCAGAGTGACCAGTGTATTAGATTACTGTCCTTCCTAGTATGGAACCCAGATTTGAGCCTGATCAAGTAAAAGCATATCTCCTCTGCCTGCTGAAAGGACCAACAAATGTGCCTGCACCTATATAAACCCTGGCACATTAAAGGTACAGAATAGATTCAATACAGATGAAAGCTCCACTGTCCATCCACACTCCCAGGTCAGGGTTAGAGACATAGCAAAAGCTCCCTCTACATTGTGCGTGCACACTCCCAAGTCAGCCACAACTCGGGTTAGAGACAGAGTAAAATGGAAGGAGAGGGATTGGTGTAGCAACATTTTGAAATGACTTTTTATGTTGAAGCCAGTAAGGTCCAGCTATTTAGGCCTGTACTCCCGAGGTTAGAGCACTCACCTCGCAACAAGAGACCTGGGTTCGATTCCCAGCAGGACAAAACCTTTGGCAAGTTTCCTTATTGACACGCCTGATAATAATCTCTCAAGAAGAAAAAACAATAATAGATTGGTCACTTCAAACCTCGAGTGTTTGAGGGACATTGCTGTGCGCAACTGGCTGCCGCGTTTCGACCACAAATGTACAGTCAATTCATTTTACAGTTTATGCTGTGAAGCCTTTTGAGACGTCTAGAAGATGTGAAAAGCGCGATATCAAATGCAAGGATTATTAGTATTATTGTTGCTGCTGTGGTTATGTTGAGGCTGGTCTGTGGGTCCTGAATAAACCTTTCCCTGTCATCGCTTCTCCCAGGTCCACGTTTGGAAGTGGCAGCATGTCCAAATCCAGCCGCTCGACTATCGATTTACTGGGAGAAGGAATTCCAGACACGAGCATGCATGAGATCACCTCTGTGCTATGTAAGTGCTCCGCTACGCTGCCCCACATGAGGGGCGCCATAATAATAATAATAATCCTTGCATTTGATATAGCGCCTTATAGTTGAGACGTCTGAAAACTCTTCACTGAATATATTGTAAACTGTAGTGATTGTGTACAGCAGTCTACCACAAACAGTCGTAGGTTGAGTAACCAAATTATTATTATTTATTTTTGGAGGGATTGCTACCCCCGGAAAGCAATCTACCAATCAACTAACGACTGGGTTCCTACCTTCTGCTAGGTAAACAGTAAGGAAACTTGCCTGACATTAGCGACAGGGAGAAACAGATATAACACAAACACAGCTGTATAAATGCAAGTTGCCGTTGTTGTTGTGATGCTCTTTTTCTTTTATGGCGCTCGGAATTCCATTCTGAACATGTGTAAGGAGGAAGGTGGAGCAAGGTGGGAGGTGGGGGAGAGGAGGGCTTTATATGAATGTTAGATTTGATTTCAAGATCCTCTCACTCGTTTTTAAATTATTTCATGCCCTCGCACCTCCCTACCTGTCCGACTTGCTTGCCCCCCACTCCCCACCCGCTGCCTCTGCAGATTATACAGTCAATTCACTTTACAGTATATTCTGTGAAGTACTTTGAGACATCTCAATAAGACATAATAAGGCGCTATGTCAAACGCAAGGATTATTATACCAAAGGATCCAATATGGAATGTATGGAATGTAGATTGACACACAGACAGACATTTCGTCTACATGAAGTCCTGTGGCTCAGTGGTTAGAGCACTCGCCTTGCAAGCGAGACACCTGGGTTCAATTCCAGGCAGAGGGCGAAACCTTGGGCAAGTTTCCTTACTCCACACACCAAATAATAATCCCTCCAAAACAATAATAAATTGGTCATTTTCAATCCACGTCTGTTTGTGGAGACCCCCGAAAAAATTATGCCCATGACACTCCGCCATGCAAGATCTTTCCGATGAAGTATAAATCCTGTCTCTATGTCAATCGGTTATTGCGTTAAAACACACACACACAGACATTTCGTCTTTATTAGTATAGATTATTATTCTGCGTGTAGGGCGCTATATGAATGCTAGTGTTACGGCCACTAGATAGCAGCACATCCTACCTGTTACCACTCTCAAAGAGCTCCTCGTTGAGTCCCACTCCATCATCATCAACAACAAATTACATTTGTACACTGCCTTTCATGTCGGGAGGACGTCCCATTCACATACACACTTTTATATTTTTCTCAAATTTTGTTTTCAAAGCTATTGTCCTGGTCAACAATTCCCCAAATAAAATCACTTCATGGCTGTATGTATGTAAGACCTTGGTCCGTGGAAATTGGCTGTCACGTTTGCCTACAAAATGCACACTTTACAGTAAAATCACGTTTACAAATTGGCTGCCACATTTGCCTACAAAATGCACACTTTACAGTAAAATCCTGCGCTTCATTTTGAGAAGTCTCGATGACACAATATGAAATGCAGGGGTTATTATAATTAATTTCTCCCCAATATCTTATCTCACTCCTCATTCCCTTTAATAGTCTTTTTGGATCCTGTAAATAATAATAATAATCATTGCATTTGATATTGCCGTGTTCGCTCAGGAAAGCACTTTGAGATGTCTCGAAGACGTTGATATGGCACTGTATCAAATTCAAGGTTGATTACTATTATTATTATTTTATTCTTTGCCATATTTATAGAATTGAGCATTGAACCCACATGAATGTTTTACATGCTACCTTCTGAGCTCAGCTCGTGCTGTGGGCATTTGTGACTTTGTGCCTGAGAATAAGATGGGAAATATGGTTGCGAGTTTCTCTGAAGATTTGATAAGGCGCTATATCAAATGCAAAGATTATTATTATTTTTCCTGTGAGGCACTCGGGGAGATGGTTTGATGCTTTAGTCCACGTCTGGAAGGCGAGGATCTGACATTGTTCCCGGTTACAGATATGCAGAAAGAGGAGGCTCGCGAACAGCTGACCAAGCAGGACCTCATGAAAACTATCGACGTGTACCTGACCGAGACCGAGACCTTCTGCTTCCTGGACATCCCCGTGGAGATGATTTCTGTGGATTCACCGGAAGCCGAAGATGTGAAGTACGTTTTGTTTCTGTTCTACTTCTCGTGAGTTGAGACAGTTTTATATTAAAAAATTTTTTCATGGTGTTTCCTTAAAAATGTTTTAGAGCATCCAGAGTGGTTTCCTTAGCTTAGTGGTTAGCGCACTCACCTCGCAAGCGAGAAGACCCGGGTTCAAACCCAGGCAGGGCAAAACCTTAGGAAACTTTCCTTACTCCACACACCTCTGTTTACCTAGTAGTAAGTAGGAACCCAGTTGTTTGCCGATTTGGCGGATCACATTTTATTTATTTTTATTTTGGGGGAGATTATTAAAGTGGTCCGCCAATTGACTAACAACCAAGTTCCTACTTACCTGGGACGTCCTCCCGATGTGAAAGGCGCAATACAAATGTAATCTTGTTGTTGTATTGCTAGGTAAACAGAGGCGAGTGAATGGAGCAAGGAAATTTGCCTATGGTTTTGCCCTGTCCAAAAATCATAGGCAAATTTCCTTACTCCCCTCTGTTTACCTAGCAATAAGGAGGAACCCGGCATCAAACTCTAGTCCTCTCGCTTACCAGGCGAATGCTCTAAACAATATGCTACAGGATTCCGTATATGCCTGCTGTTGCTATTCCCAAATTAAATGGGGAACCCTGATGTAGCTCACCTCATTTCTAATTGATTGTATTTGAGGAGCACTTTACTTGACAGAAAAAAATCGGTATAAATGTAAGGTAATTCTGGTTCCTTTGCTTCACGGCTTCTCTCTCGATCTCTCTCTCACAGAAGAACCACATTGCATATGCTGGGATCCCCAAGCCTTGGCTCTTGCCAAGCTGGGAGAGTAGGACTAGTTGAATAGCTCTTTCAAAGAGTCAGCACAGGCACGATTGGGCCGACTGGCCTTCTTCTGTGCTGTAAGATTCTATGATTCCAAGTTATTTTTGTCAGGCAAGGGTACCAAGGGATATGGGGCAAAGGCATGTAATTGGAGTTGAGGTACAGATCAGCCATGATCTAATACAATGGCGAAACAGGCTTGTGAGGGTGAATCGCCTCAGTTCCTTATGTTCCTATGTACGTTGTTGTCCCAGCTCGATGAACTGGTGGGGTGTGGGCGGTGTTACCTGTTATCTATTAACAGTGCGTGTTTTGGGATGATCTATTTTGGTAGGAAACAAAACGAGGCCTATGTTCTGCTGTGTAAAGAGCGAGCGGGAAACGATCGCTTTGTCGAGAGAATGGTGCAAACTTTCAATGGAGCGCCCAAGTCCAAAGAGGTTCAGTCTGAGAAGATTAACATAAAGGATGCAGGTAGGAATCACACTGGCAAACGTATGCTCTACCCCAATTCCCTTTGTTCCCCTTGTCTCTCTCGTTCTCTCTGTCTCTCCAAGCAGTTACTACAATGCATACTCTGGGCTTACCCCCAAGTTTTGGCTTTTGCCAAACTGGGCCTAATACTCTCCAGAATTAGGTGAGTAGGATGCATCCCTCCAGGGAGAGTGCGCGCATTCCATTCCAACAATCTATCTCTGGGATTTCCATGTGTAGGTGGGATGCATGGAAACCTCAGCTTGGTTTGGATACTCTTCAGCACGGTGATGGGTTTCTGAATGTGCTAGACAGCCGGCTGAACAAAAATAATCTCTTTCTTAAAGACCTTCTTAAGGATTTATTTCCTTGAGAATCGGTTTGGTCATCACCCTTACCCTCAAAAAACCTTCCCTTGACCCATCTCTGCTCTCCCAACTACCGCCCCATTTCAAACCTACCTTTTCTATCAAAGGTCATGGAAAGAGTCGTCGCTTTCCAGCTTTCACTTTCCTCTCCCAGGGTTCCCTTTATAAACCCTCAAATCTGGGTTTCATGTTGCTCACAGGTCAAAGTGACAAGTGACATTCTGTCCACCTGGGACCAAGGCTCTCTCTGTCTTCTTGTCCTTCTGGACTTCTTGGCCACTTTTGATCCTGTTGACCACTCTACTCTTCTCCACTGCATCTCCTCTCGCCTCCACCTCAATGGTTCTATTCTTGCCTGGTTCCAATCCTACCTTTCCCACCATCTGCACTTTGTGGCCACCAACGGCTTCTCCTCTAGCCCCCGCACTGTCACGTGTGGCAACCTCGAGGTTCTGCCCTCGGTCCCCTACACTTTAATCTATACATGCTCCCGATCAGCAAAGTCATCCGCAGGCATGGGGTCAATTTCACATGTGATAAATGATACTATATGATATATATCTTGCCGTATCCACACTCGACTCCAGGACCATTGATGTTCTGCCTAATTGTTTGTCTGACATCAAGTCCTAGACGAGAGCCAACTTCCTCCAGCTTAATGTTGGCAAGACACAAGCCTTCCTGCCTTGGATCCTGGCAGCATCTCCTCACCTCAGCCATTAACACTATCACCAGTGTCCTTTTCGACCCTCAGCTATCCTTCAAACCCCACATTCGTGCCATGACACGATCCACCTTTCCACACCTTCACAACATTGCCTGCCTCCTCCACTGCCTCTCACCGCAGGCCACCGAGACCCAGATCCACGCTTTCATTATGACCTGGCTTGACTACCCAAACTGCCTGCTCACTGGATTGCCCATCTCTTCTCTCCACAAGATGCAGATTATTCAGAACTCTGCAACTCCTGTCCTCTTCCACAACAGGCTCTGGGAACCTATCATCTCCGTTCTTGCCTGGCTCCTCTGGCTCCCCATTACTCAGAGAATCGAGTACAAAACACAGGATAGGAGGGAGGGAGCAAGGGAGGGAGGGAAGGAGAGTTTGAGAGGGTGGATAGGAGAGAGGGTGGGAGTGGAACGAGGGAGGGGAGAGAGTTGGAGAGAGGGGAGAAATAATTGGTAGCAAACCAAATGCTTTACAGATAAAACAATTGTTTGTGGCTTTGCCTTCTCTAGGTGTCACAGCCACGCTCTGGGACATGCACGACACCTTCCAAGCGATGGATTTTGAAGATCAGATCAAACAGGAGAAAGCCCAGCAAGTGACTGTTCCTGAGTCCAAAATTGCCACCATGAAAAGCTACAGCCAGTCCACGTCAGTCGGGAGCTCCGTGGAGGATGGTATTGTACCTTCATTGCGTTGTGGAGACCTGTAGCTTACTGGTTAGAGCACTCACCTCGCAAGCGAGAGGACCTGGGTGCCATTCCCACCAGGGCAAGTTTCCTTGCTCCACCTGCTTCTGTTTACCTAGCAGCAAGTGGGAACCCGGTTGTTAGTCGATTGGCAGATCGCTTTTCCGGGGATAAAAATAATAATTGCTGTTCGCAATTGGCTGCCACGATTCGCCCACAAGATACACAGTCAATGCATTTACAGTAATAGTGAAGCGCTTTGAGATGTCTCTAAGTTGTAAGGGGCGCTATGTAAATGCTAGTTGTTGTTGTTGTTACTACAGAGAGTCACTCCAGCTGCTCAGCGGACTCCGAGAGTGTGATCATAGTGCAGGTCCCTGTAGATGTGGATTACGACACTGAGGAGCTGATGAATAACGAGAAGCTGCACCAAAACCTGGTCATCATGGAGCGCGTCATCATGGAGAACATCTTCCAGACCAAGCTTGCCGCTTATCGGCAGCTCCCCGTGTTAACCAGTGGGTACTTACTGTGTGTGTCTGCGCTTTTCGCCTTTACCTTTACCCGTGCTGAGCACTGAGCTTCGGCAAACAAATCTTAATGAAGGAAACTCATGCCTAGGTAGTGATTCGCGATCCCTTGACTCTCTTGAGACCCAAACACATAGCCTGTTATATTGCTGTGTCTTAAAATTTAAGATCCTAATAATAATAATCCTAGCATTTGATGCAGTGCCTTATCTCGTAATTGAGATGTCTCAAAGCATTTCACAGAATACGACTAATGCTCCCCTGGTCTGTTGTCCACAGCTGAAGAAGAGGTTGTTGGGCGTTCGGAAGACATGGACCAGGCCTCAGGTCTGATAGCCGTCGTGGTTCCAAGCATCGAGCATCTCTGGTCCTATAGCTGTAACCTCACTGCAGACCGTAATGTTAGCAGCATGGTGTGGAACACACAGAATCCGGTCAGTCAGCCTCACAACAGGACTGGTGGGAGGAGGAGGGGGTCTGGTTGTCAAAGGTGCGGTCCTTAGGACGAGCTGTTATACTGAGCTCCTCAAGGACCCCAAGGTTCCATGGGGGGAAAGGGACTCAGCTGGACTGGCCATGTGGTCTTTATAACCGTCATCAAATCAGGCAGAGAACGGGGACCTTGATATAATGTCTGATCCGAAGGACGGCGCCTCTGACAATACAAAGCGTCCCACAGCATTGTACTGCATAGTGCTGGAATGCCATCCTAGATTAGATGAATTCAAGGTCCCTACTTGGGGCTTGAACTCATAATTTGAGATCTGAGTGTGCTTATGCTCTCTGCTTTTCTAATTGTATTATCTATCTACTTCTCTCTAATTGTGGTGTGAATGCCTCTCTCTGACTTTATCTACCTCTCTCTAATTATGTTGTTTGTGTCTCTGTCCAGGCCTCCCTTTACTTGGATCAGAACTTACCATCTTGCGCCTCTTGAGAAAATTTAGATTCTGTAAACATCAGAAGCCATGTGCAGCTCAAACTCTGCAGTAAAAATCAGTGTGTCCCACTGTAGGTATTATTTCTCCTCTCTTTGTCCTGATGTTACAGGACCTGTTGGCTGTGGGCTATGGGGAGTTTGAGTACACCAACCAGAAGGGAGGCTTAGTCTGCTGCTGGTCACTGAAAAACCCCATGGTAAGCGGAGGAGATAACACTGGCACGCTCATTATCATCTCTTAAAACCCAATAATAATTTGGTCACTCCATCCACGACTTGGCTGCCGCGTTTCGCCCACAAAATATACAGCCAATTCACTTTGCAGTATATTCTGTGAAGCAATTTGAGACATATTGAAGATCTGATAAAGTGCTATATCAAATGCAAGGAATACTATTATTGTTGCTGAATGGAAAATTTCCACAGTAGTAGTTTTCAATTTAAGATTGAAATACTTTTATTTTTCTCCCTCCTTCCCTCCCTCCCTCCCTCCATTCCTTCCTTCCTTCCTTCCTTCCTTCCTTCCTTCCTTCCTTCCTTCCTCTAGACGTCACTCACACTCTCTTATGCTTAAAACAAATGTACATTGATATACATCTCTCTCTGTGCAGTGGCCTGAGCGTATCTATACGTGTGAGAACGGGGTCACAGCGCTGGATTTCTCCACAGTCCATCCAAACCTGCTGGCTGTGGGCATGTATGATGGCACCGTGGCTCTGTACAACCTCTGTGAGCTCAGCGCACTCCCAGCTCTGGATAGCAGGTGAGGGTAACTGACTCCTTTAGTTCAGTGAATAGCAGTTGGATACCTATAGAGAGCACTCGCCTTGCAAGCAGAGAGGACCCGGACTCGATTCCTGCGCAGGGTGAAACCTTAGGCAAGTTTCCTTACTCACGCCTCTGTTTACCTGTTGTTAGTCGATTGGCTGATCATAATATTCCCCTCAAAAAAAATATTTAAAAAATTGGTCACTCAATCCACAACTGAGCGCTCTGAGATGCTATCCTGTTTGGAAGGCGTTGTTGTTGAGTGTTTGTGTGACACTGATGTGCACAATTGTCCACCGTGTTTCACCCACAAAATACAGTCACTACACTTTACACTATGACCTGTGCTTTGAGACGTCTTGGTAATGTGATAAGGCGCTATATCAAATGCAAGGTTTATTATAATTTGAAACCAGCATGGATGATGATAACAAAATTATTTAGGGGCATTTACTGCCCCTTATAATATCATCAGCAGTTAACTCCAACGGTCCCCAAGCCTTGGGTCTTGACAGCCTGCGCCTAATACTTTCCAGAATTAGGTAAACCAGATTCATCCTTCCAAGGAGGGAGTGCGCATTCCATTCACGTAATCTATCTCTAGGATTTTCATGTGTAGGTGGGATGCATGGAAATCTCAGCTGGGTTTGGAGACTCTTAAGCAACGGTGATGTGGGTCTCAAGACCCTTCTCTTCGACCGTGCCTTTGGTCTCCCTCCCACCTCTCTGCCTTCCCTCATCCATACACTATCTCTCACCCATGCTCGGGCCCCGACACCTGACTGTCCAGCACTTTGGGACGTCCTCCCGACGTGAAAGGCGCTCTATAAACGTCATTTTGTTGTTGTTGTTGTTGATGGGTTTCCAAGTGTGTCAGACACCCGGCTGACAAAAAAAAATTCTATCCTGGCTGTAGTTCGTGACGGTAGTTTAACCTCGGTGGTCTGTTGTGGGAGCATTGTCTGTCTTGGTTAGGCACTGGGTTAGAGCAGAGTGGCCAGTGTATTAGATCACTATCCTTCCTTGTCGGGGACTCAGGTTGTTGATGTCGTGTTGGGATGTGTGATGATGTCGTGTTGGGATGTGTGATGGTGTCGCCTGCAGTGATTCCCTGAACATGCACACGGGCCCCGTGTGGCAGCTGAAGTGGATTGAACAGGACCGACTGTCCAAAGGGGACGAGAAGGTAGAGACTCTGATCTCCATATCGGCCGACGGCAGGATCACCAAATGGCACCTGGGGAAAGGACTGGAAGCAACAGGTAAAAGCGTACAGTACAATCCCAGAGCCACGCTCCATAGCCGTGCAGTAACACACTGTCTGTGATGACTGAAGGGATAGCCGGGGAGAGTCCCTGTCAATCCCGCTGCTCCCCAAGGCTAAGCTTCTGCCATTGACGTCCACAGAGCCCAGTCTTGCCACCTGTCTGACAAGCTTCCCCGCTGCTTGTCCAGGTAGGACCACCCTACCCGCTAGGGCCTTGGCTTGCAGGGTTAATAGGAGCTGAGTGGGATGACTCCCTGCCTCGAGTGACCTGCTGATGAGCCAGCCTGGTTGTATATTCTGTGAAGCGCTTTGAGACAACCCAATGATGTGATAAGGTGCTATATCAAATGCAAGGATTATTAGTATTACTATTAATATTATTATTAATAAGGAGTGTGATCCTGTGCCATAATCGTTAGAGCACTGATCAATGCAATGATTGTTATTATTATTAAACATTTCTCTCTAATACTGTATATTCAGTCCCGCTTTAAGGAGCTTAATTATCCCCTATGTTTCTTTTTGTGTTGCACAGATTTGATGAGGATAAAACGGTTAGGATTTCAGCAGTCCAACAAGCTGATGGAAAAGGAAAAGAGAATTGAGGCTTTAATCTCTCGCCAAGCTCCGGGGATGTGTTTCGACTTTAACCCAAACGTACGTTTTTCAAATTCAATTTTTGGGGCATTGAACTAAGTTCCCCAATTGGCTTATTATATTTCGCCCACAAAATACCCAGTCACCACTTTACAGTGTATCCTGTGAAGCGCTTTGAAACGTGATAAGGCACTGTATCAAGTGCAAGGATTATTATTATCTTGCTGCCGTGCTCTGTGCTAGGACACTAACATTTACCTGGCCGGCACGGAGGAGGGCTATATCCACCGTTGTTCCTGCTCCTACAACGAACAGTTCTTGGAAACTTACGGACTTCACAAGGTAAGTGAGGTGTGTATGTGTGTGGGGGGGTGGCATAAGGTAAGTGAGGAGTGTGTGGGTGGGTTGGGGGGGCACAAGGTAAGCGAGGAATGTGTGAGTGGGGGGAAGGACACAAGATACGTGAGGAGTGTGTGGGTGGGCGATGTGTGTGAGAGAGGGGGTAAGTGAGGTGTGTGTGAGGGGGGGTAAGTGAGGTGTGTGTGAGGGGAGGTAAGTGAGGTGTGTGTGAGGGGAGGTAAGTGAGGTGTGTGTGTGAGGGGAGGTAAGTGAGGTGTGTGTGTGAGGGGAGGTAAGTGAGGTGTGTGTGTGAGGGGAGGTAAGTGAGGTGTGTGTGTGTGAGGGGGGTAAGTGAGGTATGTGTGTGTGAGGGGGTAAGTGAGGTGTGGGGGGGGTGGGGGGAGGTGGGATACAAGGTAAGTGAGAGTGGAGTTCTGAGAGTTCGGTCTCAGCATCACGCCTCATCCGTTCCCAGTCTCCATCAGAATTCCGACTGCTTGTTCAATGCCTGTGTTAAGGGACCTCCGGCCGGCAAGATCAGAGCATCATCACCCGCAAAACACACAGTCACTCCACTTTACAGTATATTCTGCGAAGTCCTTTGAACCGTCTCAATGACGTGATATATCAAATGCGAGGATTATTATTATTAATTATTCACTGGTGAGGTCTCCGTGTCCCACTTCCTGAGACCCGAAATTCCGTCTAATCGGAAGATGTTGCAAAATTGCGGAACGCTCTTATTTCGGAAGCTGAATTAAGCCTAATCCTCGTGTGGGGGGGGGCGATTGTCAGCCAGGACACTGGGAGAGAGACACTCCCTTCCCTGTTCAGCGCCTCAATGCTGCGATAAGTCGCTGTATCAAATGCAAGGATTATTACTATCATTATATATCGTGTTATTGAGCTGATTTGGGGTCTTTCTCGTTGATTAATTAATGCAGCTCTGTGACTGTGTGTCTGTGTGTGTGTCGGTGTCTGTGTCTGTCTGTCTGTGTGTTGTCTGCGTGTGTGTCTGTGTGTCTGTCTGTGTGTGTGTCGGTGTCTGTCTGTGTGTTGTCTGTACGGTGTCTGTGTGCACATGTCTGTGGTTCCCAGGGGCCGGTGTACAAGGTAGCCTGGTCGCCATTCTCCACGGCCACTTTCCTGAGCTGCTCGGCTGACTGGAGCATCCACCTGTGGATCCAGGAGGTGTTGGTGCCCGTCCTCCACTTCTCCTCCACCACCACCAAGGCTGTGCACGACATCATGTGGTCACCCACCTGTGCCACCATATTTGGGGCAGTGAACGAGGACCGGGCCGAGATATGGGACCTGAGCATCAGCATGTCAGTATCTCACTGTGTGTCTCTGTCTGCCTCTGTGGATGTGTGTGTGTCTCTGTCTGCCTGTCTATGTGTATCTATTTCTGTATCTCGGTCTATTTCTATGCCTCTTTGTCTGCCTGTCTCTGTCTTTCCTTCAGTCCATCTGTCCTTCTTTCTGACTGTCCATCTATCTTCCTTTTTTGTTGTCTGCCTGTCTCTGTCTGTCTGTCTGTCTGTCTGCCTGCCTGCCTGCCTGCCTGCCTGTCTCTCTCAGTCTGTCTCAGTATCCTTTGTCTGCCAGTCTCTGCCTGCTTGCCTGCTGAATGCCCCTTTGCTCCCCTAACAGATTGGACCCCATTATTGTGAGCCAGTCTATCCCCGGTGTGAGGCTGACCACCCTTCTGTTTGCCAAAAACACCAATTGCATCCTGATTGGCGACAGCAAAGGGAAGGTCAACATCTACCAATTCCACAACCTGCCTGAGCACGAGAACTCGGTAAGTCTGTAGAATCCTAACCTTACCGAGCCACAGGAATTGTTTCTGGGTCAACAACAACTCACTCAGGGTAGGGTCTCGGAGCGCTTGTCAGTGGCGGAGTTCGCAGGAGGAGGGGGAGGTGACCTTAAGCACGGTTGAAGAGGAAGGTCTTCAAGCGGGACCTGAAGATGGAGAAGGAAGGGGCAAGGCAGAGGGATGGAGGCAGAGTGTTCCAGACTTTTGGGGCGTAGTGGCTGAAAGCACAGCCACTGATGGTGGAATGGAGGTTACAATGGACAAGCGGGAAGCGAGCAGAGACAACGGTTAATGGAGTGAGAAGTACGCAAGTCACGGAGGTAGGGAGGTGCCAGAGCCTGAATAGATTTGAAAATGAAAGAGATCCAGACGATGTGTGAATGGTTATAGAAGAGGGAGAGGGGGAGGCAAATCTGAGAAAAGATGGGAGATTTATGATGCCCCTGGGTTCCTTTCTCTACAGATAGTATTGTTGAACAACATCATCACCAGCACCCTGGACACCCGGATGAACCAAGTGTCCAAGGAGGAGGAGCAAACCATCCAGTCCTGTGATATCCGTGACTGAGCCTTTTTGGCTCCTTTTACCACCGGTGTTTTTTAAAATAGAAAATATACGATACGTATATATATTTTTAAAAACATAAAATACAATATGTTTAAATAGCGCAGTTTCACGTCAAAGGACATCTCGAAGCAGGATAAAACCAGCGTACAACGAGATGTCTGTACTTAATAAAGAGGCTTTAGAAATTATAATGATCTGAACCACTCATACTTCACGCATTTGTTCCAGTTGCTCTGAAGTTAGTGACGGCTGTTGTACTGATAAACACAGCGGGAGCGGCAATCGATAGCGAATAGTAATCCTTGCATTTGATATAGTGCCTTAAAACGTCGCTGAGGCATCTCAAAGTGCTTCACAGGATCTAACTGTAAAGTGGAGTGACCATGTGTTTTTTGTGGGTGAGCCATTGGCACACAGCAGTGTCCCACAAACAGTCGTGGATTGAGTGACCAAATAATTGTTACTTTATTTATTATTACCCCCGGAAATGTTATCTGACAATTGACTACCAACCAGGTTCCTATTGACTGCTATGTAAACCGAGGCATGTGGAATAAGGAAACTTGCCCAACATTTCGCACTGCCCGGGAATCAAACCCAGGTCCTCATGCTTGCGAGGCGAGTGCTCTAACCAAGGAGCTACAGGTCTCCACAGGACTTTGTTTCCATTACAACCGTGGGAGGTTTAACCCCCACCTGAACAGGATGTTAGTTTAATGCCTCATTGGAAAGATGGAGCCTCTGACAATGAAATAGTGATGGGACAGGGCGGGGGAGGAGAGCAGAGGCAATCACAGAGATGAAACAGTGAGGCTCTGAGTATCTTCCTGTGTGAAGGCTGTTATATATATATGTGTATATATATATATAAAGGCTGGTTAGCGGTGTTCCAGATTATGGGCTGTGAATAAAAGCAACTTTGCGGCTCTCGCGTTCAGGTTATGGTAAAAGGCTAAACCGTAACTTGGTAAAAGATAAACAAAGGGAAATTTAAGACCTGTACGAAGAACATCTCGTGTTAAAACAGGCTGGAAAAAGAACATCATTGTCTCAATCTTTTTACTCAACCACTGGTGGCGGGAGGGGAAAGCGATGATAAACAGGTACACCATGTTACCCCTCAGAAGCGACACTGTCTGCCCCACGTTACTCAAGCAATTACCTGTCTCCATATCCATCAAAAGCACAAACACTGAAAACAAACGATGTGCGAACGGAGAGATTTAGATTTGTTTAAGATTTGCCAAACCGCGTGCACTCAGGACAGTAAAAGGCAAATGACGGATTCTATGGCTACAGAAATATTGGACAAAACAAGGGCATAAAGTGGGTAAGTGGCTAACAACAGGACTGAGCCACCTAGTATTGATTTTGCTGAGAGGCACCCAGCTCATCATTGAGTTTACTGCTTCCAATCTCCCTTTGAAGGGCAACGCCAAGGCCTCTGTGTTATCAGCAATGTGCACGCTTCGTAAATATCTTGGCTGTAAAACGGCGGTTAAGCTTTTCGAAGGGCTGAGGGGGTTGATCAATCAAGAGATAGCTGGTGAGTTAGCAGTATCAGAGTCAGTACACACATCATGGGCTGAATGACCTTCCTCTGTACATTCATTATTAATAATAATAATAATAATCCTTGCATTTGACATGGCGCCTTATCACATCTTTGAGACGTCTCAAAGCATTTCACAGGATGCGCTGTAACAGTGGAGTGAATGTAATTTGCGAATTAATAATAATAATAATCCTTGCATTTGACATGGCGCCTTATCACATCTTTGAGACGTCTCAAAGCGTTTTACAGGATGCGCTGTAAAAGTGGCATCCGATTACTCACAGCAGTGTCCCACAAACAGTTATGGATTGAATGACTTGATTTTTTTTGGAGCGATTAGTATCCCCCAGAAAGTAATCCACTAATCGACTAACAACCGGGTTCCTACTTACTGTTAGGTAAACAGAGCAAGGAAACTAACCCAACATTTCACCCTGCTGGGAATCGAACCCAGGTCCTCTCACTTGCGAGGCGAGTTCTCTAACCAATACTGTAATAATATTATTATTTACAGCGCTCTTCACATCAGGTAGTGTCTTGGAGTCCTTTAAATAATAATAATGATGATGATTATATTTACAGCACATTTCACGTCTGGAAGATTGTCTCCTGTTAGTGTGGGTGGTGGGTGGAGGAGAGAGGAGTCATCCCAATCAGTTCCTGTTAACCAAAGCCCTAAAGGGTGGAAAGAAACTGGAAAGCCCGCCAGACAGTGCTATCAATGGCAAGCCATGCAGTTTTAATTGGTTAGATTCTAGCAGTTACCCCAACGCACTCTGGGTTCCCCCAAGCCTTGGCTATCAAAAACTGCACCTAATACTCTCTGGGATTCGGTGAGGATGGAAGTGATAAGTACTGAGGATAGAACAACAACAACAAGATTACATTTGTATAGCGCCTTTCACGTCGGGAGGATGTCCCAAGGCACTGGACAGTGTACAGCCTTTCAGACCCGAGCTGGGGTCAGGGAGGGAAAAGGGAGGGGAGGGGAGTGGAAGGGGCGGTGGCCGATGGCATGGAGGAGGGTTTTGAGGCGGGACTTGAAGGAGGCTAAGGAGGGGGTGAAGCGGAGTGATTGGGGGATGGAATTCCAGAGGTTGGGGGCAGAGTGACTGAAAGCTCTCCCGCCAATGGTGGGGCGGGTGGGTCGGGGGCCGTGGAGCAGGCCGGAGCCGGCTGAGCGGAGCTTGCATAGTCGAGCCTGGAGGTGGCAGAGGTAGGGTGGGGAGAGGCCATGAAGGGCTTCGTAGGTGAGGACCAGGATCTTGAACTGGATCCTCTGAAGAATAGGGAGCCAGTGGAGTCGGGCGAGAGTGGAGGAGATGGGGTCACGGAGTTTGGTGCGGGAGAGGACACGGGCTGCAGGGTTCTGGATTATCTGCAGTCTGTGGAGGGAGGAGTTGGGAAGGCCGACAAGCAGGGCGTTTGCATAGTCGAGCCTGGAGGTGATGAAGGCATGAACAAGAGTTTCAGTGGCCTGAGGGGTGAGGTAGTGGCGGAGTTGGGTGATGTTAAGGAGGTGAGGAAAGTAGACCGGGTCATGGCTTGGATGTGGGGACGAAAAGACAGTTGAGGGTCGAACAAGAGACCTAGGTTCCTGACTGGCTGGTGAGTTGTAGTGTCCAACCAGACTCTGAGGTACAGAGGCGCTGGCAATAATTGTAGTAGTCATCATTCTGCATAGAATTTGCATTCTTCTTTATTGCCTCTCGCTCATCAAATCATTAACTCATCGTGTCTCTTCATCTTCATTTAATCTTGCCCTGTTTATGGCACCAGCTTTTATTGCTTGGTCCCTGGGTGTCCAGTTGGAAGCCCATTAGTTAGGAAATGATTTGCGAAAAGGGATCAGATGGTGTGAAAGATTTCAGGCAGGGAGAGAATGGGAGGGGGAGAGAGCGAGAGAGGACTGGGCTATAAATCCAGGAGGCTTGGAGGCTGCGGTTCACACTCACTCCGAGGAGAGCTCAGTGTTGTGGAGCGAAACGTTCAGAGAAGGACCAAGCCATGAGGTTGGTGGCTTTGCCAGTGCTCTTGCTGCTGTTGGCTGATCTGGGAGCGCCCCAAGTTCGCATTAAATTGTGTGGGAGAGAGTTTATGCGTGCAATCATCTACTCATGTGGTGCCTCCAGGTGGAAGAGGGAGGTCAGGCCGGCTGTACAGTATCTCAAAGCTGCTGGTGAGCATCGATTCTCACAACAACAATACTAATAATTCTTGCATTTGATGCAGCGCCTAATCATGTCTTTGAGACGTCTCAAAGCGCTTCACAGGATAAAGTGAATTGACTGTATATTTTGTGGGCAAAACGCGGCAGCCAATTGCGCACAGCAGCGTCCCCACAAACAGTCGTGGATTGAGTGATCGCATTTTTTTTCAAGTCGTTCATTACCCCCGGAAAAGGGGGCCTGGTAAACTGAAGGAAAATGTGCTTTTGCCGTTTGCTGTTGCCTATAATTGTGCTCTAACCAATTAAGCTGCAGGACTCTCTTGTGATAGAATGATTATTTCATGTATTAAAAAAAAGGCAGGTTTTATAAAAATTTTAATATCAATTTTGAAAGTTATTTTGTATTAACTTATCGTTAGAGAAATGTCAATTTAGTGTGGGAAAACATGGGTTTAAACTGCTGTCAAATGTCAGGTATAAAGCTCGTCTCACCCATCTTCCCCCGCAGCCCCAGCAAGAGTCGATCAGTCACTGTTTCTGAAGCGCGACGACATGAGCAGTTACGAGGACTGGAACAAGGACCCCAGCCCGAGTGTGTCTCTGTCCAACGATGAGCCATCCAGGCACCAGACAGACCAGCAGCGGGATAGTCCCGGGAGGCCCTGGGATTCCATCCAATCATACCAGAGCCTGTTGGAAATGTGCTGCAAGCACGGATGCACCAACCGGCAAATCGCATCGTTGTGCTAATTCACTCACCCGCCCGCCTACATCGTGAAGTTAAATATTATTTAGATGCATTCCCCCCCCCCCCCACCCCCCGTCTCATCCCGTCCCGTCCGCCACTTTGCTTCGCTCGGCTGGCTTGGGCCTTCTGTGGTTTCCTTGGCTTCTCCGCTTCCCCATCGGCAGCCATGCCTTCAGCCACTGCACTCCACTACCACCCCCACCCCAGCCTGTGGGCATCTCTGTCTCAGCCCTCTTGACCTCTCTGCCTACACTCACCTTCCCCTCCCTCTCCCCCTCTCTCCCCCCACCAGCTCGGTGTCAGGCTCCGCCACTGTTCAAAGCTCCGAGATGCTACCCTGCGCGAAGGGCGCTGTGTACGTGCAGGTTGTTGTTATGCAATGTAACGATGCTTAAATCATTAATAAATATACAGTCAATCCACTTTACAGTCTATTCTGTGCAGCACTGTAAGACGTCTAGAAGATGTGAAAATATATCAAATGCAAGGATCATTACTATTATAATAACAAAAAAGAAAGAAATCATTGCAAACTGTCTCTAACTGTCAGCAAGCACTTCCTCCTTCAAAGCTCTTCAAAAAATATCTTCAATAAATCCAGCTGGACAGGAATATACTATCTATGTCCTCTAATCTGGTCACTCAATCCACGACTGTTTGTGGGACGCTGCTGTGCGCAATTGGCTGCCGCGTTTCGCCCACAAAATACACAGTCACTCCGCTTTACAGTTCACTTGTGAAGCGCTTTGAGACGTCTCAATGTAAGAACATAAGAATTTGCTTAGATGCAAGTAGTCCATCTAATTCGCCTTCCACCTTCCAGGATGGCAGTCACTTAACACGTCGTGCCCTCAGACTTTACACTGTATCCCGAGATCTTATTTCCTAAAAGAAATCTATCCAATTTGCTTCAGAAAGAATCAACAATTTCTGCTTCCACCGTTCCCCCTAAGGAGTCTGTTCCATACGTTTACTACTCGCTCACTGAAATAATGTTTCCGCAGAAACATTGGTAATGTAGTTATGTAACGCTGTGATAAGGCACTATATCAAATGCAAGTATTATTATTATTAGTTACTGATTCACTGACCAGGGTGAATAATATTTCCCTATTGATTCTATCAAAACCCGAATGATTTTAGATCTCGATCAGGTCACCTCTAATTGTTCCAGTGGAGAAAGTTCCGGTTTCTTCAGTCTCCCTCTGCTCTTAGAGCAAACGTAAGAACATAAGAATTAGCTCAGTGAAAGAAGACCAAGGTCCATCCAGTTCACTTTCCACCATCCTGGCAGTGGCTTGACATGTCATGTTGTGCCCCAAATTATACACTGTATCTCCAGATATTATTCTTTAGCAGAAAGCTATCCAATTTGTTCTGGAAAAAAACTCTGCTTCCTCCGTCTTGTCTCCCGAGGGAGACTGTTCCGTAAGTTTACTGTAGTGTCTCCGCAGGTTCGTTCTGGATTTAAATCCCTCGCTTGGGGCAATGACGAGATGAAATCAATCCAAAGTAAATTGCAATCAGATCTTTCAAATTCTACACGTTTTTTTTAAACTTTATTTAATTCCAAAGAAAAAAAACATTTAACATTTGTTCCCTTCTCCACCCCCCCCCCACCCCCTCCCATCACACAATGCCCTCCCTCCCCCGCCCCCCTCCCCCATCCATTTTACACGTCTCTTCCACTTTGGACACCTTTTTAGCCTTCCTTGCTTCCTGTATAGAATGTACAAACAGCGAGATTGCTTTATTTCCCCCCATAACTTAATACATTTAAAACAATAATTTTTGCATATTTAAGTCATCAATGTGCAATGGTCGACGGGGAGGAGGGAGCTGGGGGTTGGGAGGGGGGGTGGGGGGGAAGGAAGAGAAACAAGTCGCTGAGGAAATGACATTATATAATATTTTCTCTCTTAAAAAACAGAACAAACCAACCAAAAAAAGAAATATCAGTATTTACAAAATAGCACACAATTTCAGCAGGACTAGTCTAACCCTATAAGGCAAAAGAAGGATTTCAGTAACGATTCCCTTTCTCAAATCCTTACGATACATTCACAGTACTGAGGAGACCCGACGCATTGCGCCCCCCCCCATACACGCTCCCCTCCCACTAAATCCCCGCCCCTCGCTCCCCACCTCGTCCCGTGTTCTTTCCATGTTCAGCCACGTGTCTATTTGCAAAGAAACGGAAACTCGATAAACACAAAGATCGTTGTGTGGAGAATCTCTGGATGTGGATGGTCGCGAAGGTTACGCACTGGCTGGTGGGGGTGGGGGTGGGGGCCGGTGGTGGGGGAGCTATACTGAATGTGACAGCTTTTTCAAACCCAACTAGTCAGTGCAGGGACTAACACACGGGAGGGGAATGAAAAGCAGTGGTGATTTCAGAAAGCCCCAAGTCAGGGTTATACTTGTTCAAAAATGTCTCGCTTCAACCCCCCCCACCCCCTCAACTAGGCCGGTGAATGATGGAGGTATATACACACTTGTTCTATGTCCGACCATTGGAGTTCTGTCGCTCAGCCTCGCAAACGAGAGGACCGGGGTTCGATTCCCGTGCGCGGCGAAACTTTAGGCGAGTTTCCTTACTCCACACGCTTCTGTTTACCCAGCGGTAAGTAGGAACCCGGTTGTTAGTTGATTGGCGGATCGCTTTCTGGGGGTAATAATTCCTCCTCCAAAAAATTTGGTCACTCAATCTATGACTGTTTGTGGGGACACTGCTGTGCTCAATTGGGTGCTGCGTTTCGCCCACAAAATACACAGTCAATTCACTTTACGGTATATTCTGTGAAGCGCTTTGAGACGTCTCAACGACGTGATAAGGCGCTACATCAAATGCAAGAATTATTATTATCTTGTGGGTCACGAAAGAATGGGGGAACCCGATTCCTCACGTCTGCTTGACGTAAATATAGAGGAACCAGGGGAAATATAAATATAAGCTATAAATATACCTTTTTTGTTTTCTCTCTTTACTTCTGTCTATCTTTCTTGCTCTCTTTGTCATGTACTCTCCCTCTTTCTCACTGTCACTTTATCTCCTCTCTCCCTCCACCTGTCTCTCAATCTGTCCCTCCCTCTTTATCTCCCCCCACTCCTCTTTCTCTATAGCTCTGTATCATTCTCTTTCTCACTCTCGCTTTATCTCCTCTCTCTCCCTCCGCCTGTCTCTCAATCTCTGTCACTCTCTTTGTCTGCCCCACTCCTCTCTCGCTCTCTGTATCATTCCCTCTCAGTACTGACGATATTAGATCCAATGGCAATAACTTTGTTCCTCTCACAGTGAGCGTAATTCCACACACTCTCTCCATACATTTACACACACATGCGCGCACACACACACACACACACACACACAAGGACCGACTGCACACGGACGCAAACACAGGGTTCAAATTTGTGGGGTTTCTTCACCATTTGCTGATTAACACAAGAAACAGGTTATGAACTGGAGCAAACTTCAAACCCGCACCTCCTCGCACTCACAGCGGCGGAAACCTTCAGCACAGAAGGAGGCCATTCTCTTATCTGCTGCGTGCTCTCTTTGTCGTGCAATAATGCAAGCATTATTATTATGATGATGATTCTCTCTCACCGTATCTGCGTCTATGCTGCCTGGGTCATTAATCCCACCTCTCGGTTCTCTCTCTTCCCCCTCCCGTGCACCCCCCCCCCCCCCACCCCACACACAACCCTTAACAGCTGTGTGGCTCAGGTGCTAATCCAATTGCATGGTCAGGCTTCAGGATTTGCTTGGGGGGGTGTGGGGAGGAGGGGAAAATGAACTCTGACTCCCGCTGAGCCTGTGAGAGAAGAGATTTCTGTAATCTCCCCCTAATTCTTCTGCCAACAATGCGCGCGCATCCTGCACACGTGTCAGTGTGTGTATCTGTCTGTGTGCGTGTTTGTGTGCATTCGTGTGTGTGAGTGCCCGTGTGTGTGTAGGTGTCTCCGTACGTATGCGAAAACAAATCTCCTAACCTCCCCCACTCACCCCCTAGTTTTGGTTATTATTTCTAATTAATCATTATTAAAAAAAAATAATAATTTGGTCACTCAATCCACGAATGTTCGTGGGGCCCTGCTGTGTGGAATTGGCTGGCGCATTTCGCTCAGAATATTCGGTGAAGTGCTTTGAGATGTTTCGTGCTTTGAGACTTCACTATCCCGGCAGTCACTTGACATGTCGTGTCCCCAAACTTTACACCGGATCCCGAGATATTATTTCCTAAGAGAAAAATATCCAATTTACTTTAGAAAGAATCAACTTTCTAAAGTTTCTTCCCCCGTCTCCCTAAGGAGCCTGTTCTGTACCTTAACTACTCGCTCACTGAAATAATATTTCCGCGGAAACATTGGTGATGTAGTTAACATAACGCCGTGGGGCACAATAACAATGTGATAAGGCGCTATATCAAATGCAAGGATTATTATTATTATTATTATTATTACTGACTCACTGACCAGTGACAGTGATTTTTTTATTTAACCTTCTCAAAACTCCCCTCCTGGTTGCCACCCCCTCAAAACTCACCCCTCCCCTCAGCCCACCTCGATCACGGCTCCTCTGACCCATCCCTATGCCAGTGACAACACTTGCTGTTAACTTACAGTCTCTCCCCATAACTAAAGCCCCTCGACCTGGCCATCGGGAGACAGTTTAAGAACTTTTCCACACTTTGAGCGCATGGTAAATTCTAAAGACGATCAGGCTACAGTTTAGGTGAAATTTCAAGCCTCTCCCAGAACCAAAATGAATGTGTGTGTGTGTATGTGAGTGTATGAGTGAGTGTGAGTGAATGTATGAGAGTGAATGTGAGTATAAGTATGAGTGAGTGAGAGTGTGAGCGGGTAAGTGTGAGCGAGCGAGCAAGCAAGTTAACATATGCCTTAGTCTGTGTGTGGTTCTGATGCCACCATCTGCCAACCCCTCACATAAACCTGGCACATTTTCCTGTGTTCTGACACAAGATCCGGATAGACCGGGGAGGGTGGTTAGGGGGGGGGTGGGAGAGGAGGGGACGGGGAGGAGGGGGTAGAGGAGGAGGGATGGGGCGGGAGAGAAGGGGTGGGTGAGGTGGGTTATTAATACCAAATTACAAATACATTTATTACACTGTAAAATACGAATTGTTACCAATGTCACATCGATCAGATAATAATACTGCAGGAACGTGGAGTCACAGCAAATCGCCTGCTCCACACAGAACAGAGAAGGTTTTATATATAAGTTTGGTGCAAGTTAAAGTTCGTTTGTGAGGTTTTTTTTTCCCCAGCTCAACCAAATAGCTCCTGCCTGTGTTTAAACATCTGCTCCCAGGGTCAATGCCGGGCTGTGTGGAAACCAAGTCAGTTATCAGCCATATACTTCCCTGTAAGAGAAACACAACAGGTAACACACAGTTAGACCCACACACACAGCAGCAACAACAACTTGCATTTATATAGAACCCCTCATGCAGGGTGGAGTCCCAGAGTGCTTGACAGTGGCGGTGCACGACACCGAGATGGGGGGGGGGGGGTGAACGTAGGCACGGTCGAAGAGGAAGGTCTTCAGGCACGATCTGAAGATGGGGAAGGAAGGTGCAAGGCGGCAGGATAGAGTTTCGAGGCTTAATAGTTGACAGCGCGGCCACCGATGGTGGAATGGAGGGCAAAACGAGGGACATACAGGAGGCCAGAGCCATTCGAGCAGGGGTAACGGGTTGGGGAGTAAGCAGGTTGGAGAGCTAGGGAGGGGGCCAGGGTGTGAAGGGAGTTGAAAACGAGTGTGAGGGTCTTGAAATGCACCACTCAGCTCCCCGAGCCTATTCTGCTATTCTATTAGATAGCGGCTGATTTGTACCTCAACTCCAATTAGCAACTCCAATGTCCGAAGCCCACAACTGAGAAGGTGAGGCGTGCCGGCCTGAATAACACAGTCATAGAAGCTAACAGCACAGAAGGAGGCCATTCGGCTCATCGTGTCTGTGGAGGATGCTGTTCCATGTCGGCCAGCAAACACCAGCGTTGAGATCTCCCTTCACCTCTCACCACCCACCTCTCCCCCCACCCACTCCCCCACCTCAACCCCTCCCCCACCGATTGTAAACCGAGCGGGATTAAAAACGGAAACTAAAGAAAAGGGGGAAGATTTTACCTGCTGCGAACCTCTTCTTGATGAGGGAGAACCTGTAACCTGCTCCCACCAGCTCAATGTCCACCCCTGACAGCGTGCTGCCCTCACTGGTGAACTGCACGGCCAGGGTGGCGGGTTTGCTGGGGCCGTCAGACAGCTGGAACCTGGCCAGGAGCGCGCCCACACCTGAGAGACGCCAACGGCAAACACGACACGTGGTGAGAGGAGCCGAGCACCCAGAAACCAACACCCCCTCCCCGCCTCCACCCCAATACAGGACTCGGACAGAAACCTGATAGGCGAAGGGTGGAGAGAACATGTGAGAGACAGAGGGAGTAAAAGCTTTAATGTGGTGTGACTGGACTGGATATTTCACAGGGAAAATAATAATAATAATCCTTGAATTTGATATAGAGCCATATCACATCGTCGAGACATCTCAAAGTGCTTCCCAGGATATATTGTAAAGTGGATTGACTGTATATTTTGTGAACCAAACGTGGCAGTCAATTGCGCACAGCAGCGTCTCACAAACAGTCGTAGATAGAGTGACTGAATTATTATTTTATTATCCCGGAAAGTGATCCGCCAATCGACTAATAACTGGATTCCTACTAAATATTCTAGGTACACTGAGGCGTGTGGAGTAAGGAAATTTACCCAACGTTTCACCCTGCCTGGGAATCAAACCCAAGTGCTCTAACCACAACTCTACGGGATGAAAATGGAGGAAGACGAGGAGGAGCTATTGCACCCAGCGTGTTGGTAGCCAGTGATAAAGTGATTACCAATCCCACGTGCCTGTCCTTCTCCGATGACCAGAATGATGGATATGGGGATAGGTTGGGGCAGTGCGGTTGAAAGGACAGCTTGCTCTGAGAGTCGGTGCAGACTCGATAGGCCGAATGGCCTCCTTCATCCCTGTAAAGATTTGGGATATGCATGGATGTGGAGAAGGCATTGTCCCAAAGAAGGCCAAATGAAATGGGATGCACAGCAGGGACATGCACCTGGAAAGCACCAAGGATAAAAATTGGCAAAGTGAAAAGAAATCTCCAACAATTACCTCCATTTTCCGATCTCTGGGATATATCCGGGATTTTCCACAGGATTCTCTGCTGCTCTGCACTCCTACAACAACAACAACAACAACAATTTGCACTTATATAGCGTCTTTCATGTGGGGTAGTTTCTTGGAATGCTACAATGTAATATTAATAATAATAATTCTTGATTTGATATAGCGCCTTATCACATCATTGAGATGTCTCCAAGCGCTTCACAGAATGTACTGTTAAGGGGAGAGGCTGTGTGTTTTGGGGCAAAATGCAGCAGCCAATTGTGGATTGGGTTACCAATTTTTTTTTGAGGGATTATTACCCCCTGAAAGTGATACGCCAATCGACTAACCACCGGGTTCCAACTTACTGCTAGGTAAAAAGAGGCGTGTGAGTTCAGCAAGGAAACCTGCTAAGGTTTCTTTTCCCCTCCCTTGAATCGAACCCAGGTCCTCTCGCTTGCGAGTCACCTCGCTACAGGACTCCACTTTTATCCACTATTGGGTGGCCAACGTGAGTCTGTGTCAAATCAACATTTTGTTGCCAGTAGCGATATTTATGGCGTGGGTGTAACTCAAAAAATATTCAATCCAGAAAAATTTAGTTGGTTGGCCGACCAAAAATGGTGGCCACCGACTGCTGTGTTGGGAGTGGAAGGTCTCCTTGCGCCATTCCTTACCAGACAGCAGGGGGCAGCACTGCCTGTAGCTTGGCCACCCGTCCGTCCACCGTGGTCAGGAACTGGACGTTGTTGAGAGCCACGGGCGTGACCATGGCATCCGCGTTGTACTTGTAGTCGATGCGCAGGTCAGTGCTGGTGGGCTCACACCTCCAACTGACTGCAAGGTTCAATGGTGTGGACTGGACACCCTGTGAGGAGACCTAAACACACGAGCAAGAACCGGTCAGTGCAGGGTTAGTGCTCACACACACACACACAACAACAACTTGCACTGAGGTGGATATGTATTTGTTAGGTCGGGGTATTAAGGGATATGGGGAAAGGCTGGTTAATTGGTGTTGAGGTACGGCTCAGCCTGATCCTATAGAATGGAAGAGCAGACTCAAGGGGCTGAATGGCCTCCTTCTGTTTCTATGTTTCTACATGACAACAACAACTTGCATGTATACAGCGCCCCTCGCACGGGGTAACATACCAGAGCGCTTAACACACACACACACATACATATATACAAACAAGAAAAACACAGAGAGAAAAAGAGAGACAAAGAGAGAGCATAATAATCTCTGCATTTAATATAGCGTCTTATCGCGTCATTGAGACGTCACAAAGTGCTTCACAGGATATACTATAAAGCGGAGTGAGTGTGTATTTTTCTAAAGAAAATCAGAATGAGAATAAGAGGAGAAAGACAAAAGAGAGAATGAGAGAGAAACAAAGAACATATTTGCATTTACAACAACAGCAACTTGTATTTATATAGGGCCTTCACACTGGGCAGTGGCTCCGAGCCCGGGCCAGCGAGAGGGAGGAGGTGACCGTAAGCACGGTTGAAGTGTTGGGTCTTGAGAGGATTTTTGCTCACAGAGTACACAGTCAACTCCACTTTACGGTATATACTGTGAGGCACTTTGAGACGTCTCAAAGACAAGATAAGGCGCTGTATCAAATGCCAGGATTATTATTATTATTATTTAAAGATGTAGAGGGAGCGAATGGGGCGCAGGTGTAGACGAGGGAGTTCCAGGGTGAGAGGTGTGCGATGGTGGTGCGGAGGGAGGGGTCTGGGTGGTAGGTGGGTGGGGAGGCGGGGGGGAGGCAAGCCTGCGTTAGTTGTGTCGGGACCCCCATCCCTCGTGTTACTGGGGTCACCCCTGAACAGGCGTGGGGATGGTGGGAGGCAGACGTACCTGGTACTTTAACATGTCCACGTTATAATATGTGGCCGATGGTTTCTGCTCAGCCACTTTTTTTAGGTGCGTCATTAGATTGGGCATATTCACCCAGAACTCCCTGCTGCTGCCCTCGTCTTGAGAAGAACTGCTGCCATAAAACACAGAAAACATTCAAATTTTATGGCTTAAAATTTTATTTGTAACCCATCACCCCCCAACCGTCCCCCCAAATCCTCCCCTTCCTCACTCGCAAATTCATCCTGCCCCCCGAAATCTCCCCACCCCACCCCACCAATCCACCCCATCCCACACCCCCACCCCTACACTGCTCCCCTAACCCTCCACACCTATGGACATTTGGCTTTCGTTCTTAAGAAATGGTGTATTTTAGCTGTTTCCTGGAGCTGAACTGGGGCTCCAAGGTGACATGTTTGGCAACGGAATACTGGAATCCATCCAGCTCTCCGTGCCTGTCTCGAGCCCAGATGCTGAGCCAGGTGAGTCCGCAAGATTCCAGTGTGTAGTGTATTTTACGCCCGGATATTTCTCTTGCAATGAAGTACCTGCAGAGCAACTGGGGGTTGGGGAGCATGTGCTCGAGTCTGGTGCAGTTGGTGATGCAGAAGGTGAGGACTGCGGGACACTGGTTATTGGCAAAGTGCCTGGTGATTCCTGCCGGGAAGGACAGCACCATCTCCCCCGTGATCTTCACAATACACCTGGGGAACCACACGCACATCAGAGAGAGGACACTTCTCCTCATCACACTGTCAGCTGCCCGACGCCGCTCAAGCCCACACAGGCCCCGCTCGCGCCCAGACGGGCCCCGCTCACGCCCCTGATGGGCCCCGCTCGCGCCCAGACGGGCCCCGCTCGCGCCCAGACGGGCCCCGCTCGCGCCCCGACGGGCCCCGCTCACACCCAGACCCCGTGAAGGTTTCTCGTGTGTGTGTGTGTCCTGTCGTGTCTGGACAGCGGCTGACGTACTTGCTGGGATCTGCTCCTTTGAAGTAGGTGTTGACGGTCTCGGTGAAGGCGGCAGCGACCGGGAGCGTGTCCTGGGCCCCCATGGTCAGTGGGCTGGGACCTCGCGAGGCTCCTGCAAGGGAGAGCGGGCGTCTTTAACCCCTCGTGGACCAGAACAGGGCAGCAAGAAGGGAGAACAACAACAACTTGCTTTTATATAGCGCCCTTCACACAGGGTAGCATCCCAGAGTGAGAAGGAAGTGTGGGGTGGGGGGGTGGGGAGGAGAGAGAGAAGTCATCACATCAAACAATCTCCCAGCCCCTCCCTCCCTTACCATCCACCCTTTGATGTCAACACAGTCAAGATGCAGATGGTGACCAGATCAGAGAGGAACTGGATAAAGATCAGGTGATGACTACTTGATGTAAAATCTTCCAACAACACAGGGATTTGGGGATTTGGTGGGGAGGGGTTATACCTTATGCACAAAGGACCGCCCTAACTTGGCGTGCAGGGTCAATGGGGAACGGGTGGGGAAGAGGCGGCAGGAGAGGGATGTGAGAGAGAGAGAGAGTGAGTGAGAGAGAGGATAGACTAGTTTAGACATCAGAATCTCTCCAGTGAGAACAAAGCCATTTTTCATCGCTCTGTAGGGACTTTGCCTTAAACTCCCGCCTCACACACACAGACTCCAATCCCCACAATTGAAGTTGAGGTTCAGATCAACCATGATTAATAGAATGGAGGAACACGCTCGAGGGGCTGAATGGCCTACTCCTATCTTCCCATTTCCCATTGGTGGTAGAAAAGAGATCTCCTCCCCCCCCACCCCAAAGCCCATAACTTCTCGTGTTCCCAAGCTTAAGACCAATGGTCTTAAAAATTGAACGTCATGTGGAATTTTGGAAACAGGACTTGAATATTGCCATAATTGGGATTTTCGTTTCTTCTGAACATCTTCAAGGCTGAGACTGATAGATTTTTAAAAAATAGAGGGATTGGGAGATATGGGGAGAGGGCAGGTAATTAGAGTTAGGTCTGAAGATCAGCCATGATCTTATCGAATGGCGGGGCACAGGCTCGAGGGACCGAATGGCCTACCCCTGCTCCTAATTCTTATGTTCTTATGTTATTTTGGGTAATGCTGTGGATTTATCACTGAACTAGGGTGCAATCCTAAAAACACACAATTTAACTTAAACATGTCCATTCCTGAGGGTATTAACAGAGTTGAGATTGCAGGTTTCAGATTCACAACAATAATAATCCTTGCATTGGATACAGTGCCTTATCACATTTTCGAGACATCTCAAAGCGCTTCACGGAATATACTGTAAAGTAATTTGACTATATATTTTGTGGGTGAAATGTACAAATGGGACCGTCAAGTGCAGAGATAGTATTGCTCAATAAATATTGTACTGTTGGATTTAATACTCAGTTGTCTTTTGGTGTGAAGACTCGCTTATTCCTGGGTGAAATGCATCATTAAGCAGTCTATCAGTTAGCAGCGAGGGTTTGGGGGTGATTAGCAGACCAGGAGGCTCATGCACATGCACACACACAGTGGGAAACGTTTCACAGAATTGTACTTACTTACCATCGAAAGTTAAATAAAACTTGCCTCTATCAAACCATACCAAGGAGGGCTGATCATTCTCTGCGTGGTTGGGAGGTAAAGCAAGGGGTTGGGGGTTGGGAATGAAGGTAAGGGAGAGAGAAGGACACAAGAGTGAGTCACGTAGGGTTGGCAGGGAGTAGAGTCAAAGCACTGAAAACCATCGCTGCGAAAGGGAGACAGAGAATCCACTTCACATCTCACATTGCTCCAAATGCATTTGAACCCCTCTCGGACAGTTGCTGCTGTCCTACACTGCAACCAATGTTTCACTCATTGCTTTAACCCTCATCAGCACCGACAACTGAGGGTCGCAAGTAAGGTTAGCAGATTCTCAATCATTTGTCAATGGGGAACGGCGGCTATTTTCTTGGTGTTCGTCGCCGGCCATTTTGTTAGTGGTATTGGTGGCCATTTTGTTGATGACGAGCAGCCACTTTTTAACGATGGATGTTGTTTTGTTTGCTGGCTACACCAGCACAAGACATGGTGGGGAACAAGCAAGGGAATGGGATTAAATTAGAGAGCTCTAGCACCAGCACAGACATGATGGAGAGAGAGAGCAAAGGAATGGGATGAGAAGAGAGAGTAGGGGATTACCACCAACACAGGCACCATGGGCCAAATAGCCTCTTCCTGTGGTTCTCTGAGGGAGATTTTGACTACGATGAGAGGACAGGAGAAAAACTAACCCAACTTATATGGCCCGGGAAAAGCCCACAGCCTGGTCTGTTACGTCCCATCTCATTAGAAACCAACACAATTCTGTCATATCCTCAAACAAGGTCTCCACCAAAGAGCATCCTTCTTGACACAATCACTGATACAACCTTCCTCCAACAACTCTCTGGCTCACCTGCTCCAGAAACGCACCAATCCCAGTCTCACGTCAGTCAGTCTGAAGTGTCTCTTCTCTCAAGTCAACCATCTTTTTAATCGTTTCAAGGACAGTTCAGTAGAAGGGAGGGGGAAATCATGTAGGGCGGTTTGAGGGGGTGTTGTACGATGAGGTGTCTTAGAGCAGTGGTGGCCAATCTTTCATAGTCGGCCAACAAAACACATTTTCTCCACTGTATTTCTTGATTTATGCCACAAATTCAATCAAGAATAAACTGAGAACACATGAACTGATCGAATACTTATTTAGACTTATTCAGACTCGTGCAAATGTTCTGTGGGAGGGGGTGGGGTGGGGTTGCTTCTTGACGGCTTGTGGGAAGCTTCCGGCCCGGGGGCCAGAGGTTGGCTGCCACTTTTAGAGGGACCAGAGTAGAGATAGAGCAAAATATGATACAAAGGTAATTGTCTGATTTGTAGCGAGTTTGGAGTTGGTAAGTCAAGACTGAGTGAATAAGGTCCCTCCAACCTACTCTCTCCCGCCCTTCTTTTGAGAGTCGCCTTAAAACACATCTGTTTGATCGCATTATCATTCAACTTTCCTTCCACTCCTTCACCCCTCCCCACCAACAGGTCCCACATCGTCAGTTCTGGCACCCGGCTGGAATTGTCAAACGCTTTGGGACATCCTCCCGACATGAAAGGTGCTGTGTGGATGTACAACAACAACAACTCCTCATGCAGGGTAGCGTCCCAGAGTGTAAATTGTAAGGCAGGGTGGAGCGGAAAGGGCAAGGTGGATGACGGGGCGTTTGAAAGTCCTCATTTGTTATCGCGTAACACCAGACTCACCACTCACAGACAGGAAATGTCATTGGAAGGCAGGCAGAGTGCAACAAGCATGGTTCAAATGGCTTTGGATTTCACTGCAGTCGGTTTTTCCACTGACTCCAGTAAAAGATCAGCAAACAACGGAGATCTGACAGGTACAAACTCTGAAGGGTTCGAATCGGACATACTGTCCATTGCCAAGCAGAAACGGTTTCTCAAGGGCACAGTGATTGGGGGGGATTGAGTGCAGAAACAAGGCAGGGAGGAGGAGAGCTGAGAATCAGTTGGAAAATTAGGAATGGAGATGGAAATTTGGGGGTGTGAGTGCGGGAAATCCTAGACTGATGCAAAGGAAGAGAGATGGTTGGTGTAGGGAGCACTGGGATTATAGGTTTAACAGCGTCTGTGAGTATGTTGGCAATACCAACCATTGGCATAGCTCGATCTAGATAATTATTTGGGGAGGAAGGGTTTGCAGGGTTATGGGGAGAGAGGGGGGGAATGGGATTGATTTGGATAGTTCTTTTCAAAGAGCTGCCACAGGCACAATGGCCTCCTTCTGGGCTGTATAATTCTTTGATACTGTGATATACGATATACTATAATAATGCCAATCACAGCCACCTCTGGCCAATTACAACCAACAGTAGCCAATCACAGCCAACAGTGGCCAATCACAGCCAACAGTGGCCAATCACAGCCAACAATGGCCAATCACAGCCAACAGTGGCCAATCACAGCCAACAGTGGCCAATCGCAGTCAACAGTGACCAACCACAACAAACAATGGCCAATCACAGCCAACCACTGCCAGCCAACACCACCAAGTCGCAGCCAACATCAGCCAATCACAGCCAACACCAATTAATGCCAACCAACTGGAGCCAACACCAGCCAATACCATTCAATTATAGCCAACACCAGTCATTCACAGCCAACACCAGCCAATACCAACCATTTATAGCCAACACCAGCCATTCACAGCCAACACCAGCCAATACCATCCAATTATAGCCAACACCAGCCATTCACAGCCAACACCAGCCAATACCATCCAATTATAGCCAACGCCAGCCATTCACAGCCAACACCAGCCAATACCAACCAATTATAGCCAACACCAGCCATTCACAGCCAACACCAGCCAATACCATCCAATTATAGCCAACACCAGCCATTCACAGCCAACACCAGCCAATACCAACCAAGTATAGCCAACACCAGCCATTCACAGCCAACACCAGCCAATACCATCCAATTATAGCCAACACCAACCATTCACAGCCAACACCAGCCAATACCAACCAATTATAGCCAACACCAACCAATCACAGCCAACACCAGCCAATAGTAACCAATCGCAACCAACACCAGCTAATACCAAACAATCATAATAATCCCTGCATTTGATACAGCGCTTTTCACGTCTTCTCGACGTCTCAAAGCGCTTCACAGAATAGACTGTAAAGTGAATTAACCGTATATTTGTGGGCAAAACACGGCAGATAATTGCACACAGCAGTGTCCCACAAACAGTCGTGGATTGAAAATTATCAATCATAGCCAGTGCCAGCCAATAGCAGTCAATACCAACAAATCGTAGCCAACACCAACCAATAGCAACCAATCACAGCCAACAATAGCCAATCACTGCCAACATTGGCCTTTTGCTGTCAACAGTGGCCAATCACAGCCACTACTGGCGAATCACAATCAATACCAGCCAACCACTGCTAGCCAACACCAGCGAATACCAACCAATCTCAGCCAACACCAGCCAATCGCAGGCAACACCAGCCAATCGCAGGCTACACCAACGAATCGCAGCCAACACCAGCCAATACCAACCAATCGCAGCCAACACCAGCCAATGCCAACCAATTGCAGCCCAAACCAGCCAATACCAACCAATCACAGCCAACACTAGCAAAAACCAGCCAATCTCAGTCAACACCAGCCAATCGCAGCCAACACCAACCAATACCAACCAATTGCAGCCAACACCAGCCAATGCCAACCAATTGCAGCCAACACCAGCCAATGCCAACCAATTGCAGCCAACACCAGCCAATGCCAACCAATTGCAGCCAACACCAGCCAATACTAACCAATCACAGCATACACTAGCCAATACCAGCCAATCTCAGCCAACACCAGCCAATCGCAGCCAACACCAACCAATACCAGTCAACACCAGCCAATAGCAACCAATTGAAGCCAACATCAGCCAATGCCAACCAATCGCAGCCAACACCAGCCAATACCAACCAATCACAGCCAACATCAGCCAATACCAATATCAATCGCAGCCAACAATAACCAATCACTACCAACATTGGCTGTTTGCTGCCATAACAGCCAATCACCAGCAAATCACTGCCAACTCCACAATAGCAACTTGTAGGTATATACAGGGTGACTTTTGGTGCTTCCTCCACACTCTCCCCCCCTCCCCCCACCACTACATATCTCTGGATCTGGTACTGTACCTGCCGGCGTCTCACACCACTTCTCAAATGTGGGCAGATTTCCAACATCATCGTCTGATGCCAGTCACAAAAAGGGGCAAATTAAGAAAATCAAAATATAGAAACACATCAAATACATAAATAAAAAGGTTACGCCAAGCTGGGAAAGAATATTAACAATAAAGTAAATAAATAGGGATTGGTTTGGAATGTAAAGCTGCCTAAACACTAAAACTAGGCATTGCAAATCATTTGTACGGACCCAATTCGGGGTAAACTAAGGCCTAAATCACCCCTCTGCATCACTGGGCTAGAGGGGAGGGAAAGTAACAGCCCATGTTCCTGCAACAGAGGTTGGAAATTTCACCTAGTCTTAGCCCCTTAGGCAGTTTTCCCTTAAGTTTATGGATAGGGCAGAATTGGGGGAAATCCTTCAATCCTGGGGAGATGGAAAAATAGTGGGAAGAGCAGGGAGAAACGGAGAGATATTGGGAACAGCTGGAGAAGACAGGGAGATAGTGGGAAGAGCAGGGGGAAATGGGGAGACAGTGGGAAGAGCAGGAGAAGATGGGGAGATTATAGGAAGAGCAGGAGGGAAACAGAGAAAGGTTTTTTTTAGGAGTATTGGTATAACGGAAGCCTAAAAAAAAACCTGGGCCTAAAATCATGAGCTGATTTGGGATCTCGCTGTGAAATGACCAGGCGATACAGCCACTTGTCAACCACCACTCCTCAACAAGCAGCTTCGCAAGGGGAAAAACAAATGAACCTCAAGAGGACATCTACACATAGTCAGAAGCACATTCAGATTCTCTTCTGTCCTACTCTTTCTCTCTTCCCTCCTCTCCATTTCCCTCCTCTCCTCCTTTTGTCTCCCCACACCTCACTCTGGCTTCTCTTCCTCCACCTCTTCCCTCCTCCAATTGCTCTCTTCTCTGTTCATCCATCAGCATCCCCTCTCTCCTCCCTCACGCTGTATATCCATCATGGTGGGGGAAGGGGTGGGGGAGGGGTACGTCGGAATGATGGCAGTGATAGTCAAGTGATGATTGAGGAATATGTTCATGCAAAACACCGAATACATATATTTAAAAAATGCCCAAATATCTGATAAGCCGGGCTGTGCTGTGTGGTACTGTCATCAGCACTGCTGATCGCCAGCAATTTTAAAAGGGGGGGAGGATGGGGGGGATGAAATAATTACTACCAATTTTTTCGCTAATATCTGCCCCCCCCCACCCCAATCACCCTGGAGGAGCGTTGTAGCGTGAGGGGAGCAGTTGGTTGTTGCATTAAGCTATCTAAATAGAAGTCTTCACAAAACTATAAGATAAGCTGCGAACGCTTTGGAAAGGGAGGGAGAAGATTGATATTCTGGACATCCAGTGAAGCCACTGCCTCAGTGGGACATCCTGGAGTTGTAATGGATTATCCCAAACAGCCCCAGGTTTGGCTTCTTGCAGCTGGCGATTGGGTTAGGTTGAGGTGGATTGGGTTAGGGTGCAATTAGTTGGCTTGTGTTTGAGTTTAGTTTGTTGAGTTGCTTCAAGTTAAATGGGGTTGGGTAATACTGTTTGTGTTGTTTGCATTACTTTGGTTGCCTTGTGTTATTTGTGTTGAGTTCTGTTCAGTTGGGTTGGAATGGGTTGGCTGGTTGAGTTTGACTCAGTCAGGTTGGGTTTGGTTGGGTAATGTTGGGTTGGCACAGGTTGGGTCAGTTCGTTCTGGTTGGGTTCAGTTGTGTTGGTTAGGTACTGTTGAGTTCAACTAGGTGGATTAGATTGGGTTGAATTGGGGTTTGGATTGGATTAGAACGTATTGGGTTGGGTTGGATCTGGAATGGGTTGAGATGAGTCAGTCCAGTTCAATTGTGTTGATCTTTTTTTTTTGTCAGTAGGTTGGGTCGGGTTGGGCTGTGTTGACCAGATTGAATGTGGCTGGGTTGCTCCTGAATGGCTGGGCTTTATGGTGTTGTATTGTTGCGTTGTGGTGGGTTGGGGTAGTTTGGCCTGGATTGGGTTGGGGGTCCTGGCGCGCGCACACACACATAGACAGACAAGGAGTCTTTTACCGACAGTCGGGGTGGTGGCAGCGCTCAGCGAGTTGGTGGAGGATATGGAGGAGGTGCTTTCAGCCCGGGCTAGAGGTGCCACTGGGGGAGGGCTGGACGAGTGGATGGGAGGGCTGAACGGTCTGGACTGTAAAACAAAGCACAAGACACCGTTACAGGCTGCTCGTCTCCCCCCTACCTGTTCCCCCCAACACACACACATCACCACCACCGAGAACTTGCATTTATACAACATCCTTCACATGGGGCAGCGTCTTGAAGAGCTGAACAATTACTGGTGGCGGGGACTCTTCCCTCTCAGCTCCTATTAACCCTGCAAGCCAAAGCCCTAACGGTTAGGATGGTCCTAGCTGGGCAAACAGCGGGAAAGCTTGCCAGGCAGTCCTCTCAATAGCAAGCTGGTTGGTTAGACTCTTAATAAGAACCCAACCAAATGGAGGAGACACATCACATCACAGCCTTGTGAGTGGTGAACACACACACATTCTCTCACACGCACAAACACGCACACAGGGTTTCCGACAGGCGCGGGGTGGGGGGGATACTGGATAAAACTTGAAAAGGAAAGAATTGCAAGGTTATGGAGAAAGAGTGGAGGAGTGGGACTAGTTGGATAGTTCGCTCAAAGAGCTGGCACAGACACAATGAGCCAAATGGCCTCCTTCTGTGTTGTAAGTATCTAGGATTCTATGACACAGAATCCTGTGCAGAGTCTCAGCGATGTGATACGGTGCTATATCAAATGCAAGATTTATTATGATTATTATGTGGAACGTACCATGTCACTGATGCCGGGTTTTCCAGGGGGAAGCTTTGGCCGGGAGGTAGGGCGCGGTGGGGGCGGGGGAGGGGTGCTGCTCCGTCCACCAGAGGGGGTCGCGGGCCGAGCCGGAGACGAGGAACCTGAAAACCAAGCAGACGTGGCTTTAGCTTCACACAAGAGGAGCATGTCGTCGCAAGAGGCTTTGAAGTCCACCCAGTCTTAGCCCCCGAGACCATTTTGTCCTGAAGTTTAAGAATGCCCAGAATTGTGCACGATTTTACTGTATATATTTTCCTATGTCAGAGGAGCCCATACGGTCCATCGTGTCTATGCTTCTCTATGAAAGAGCATTCCATTCAGTCCAATTTGCCTGCTTTCCCATTTATCTGCAAATGACTCCTTTATACATAACAAGGTTTATTGCATAGCGCAATATGGATCCAAAACAGCCCATCCGGCCCAACTCGTCCGTGACTTGGAACTCATACAGTCGAAGATGACACTGAGTCAGAAGGTTGCGGGTTCAAGACCCACGTTGGGGCTTGGAATCACATAGTCTGAGATGACACTCCAATGCAGTGCTGCATTGCCGGAGGTGCCATTTGCAGATTACGCCCTGAAATGAGGTCTCGTTCACCCACAAAACACAGTCACTACATTTTACGACCAATTTTTTCATCCCATTTACCCTCCTTTCCCCAGATCCTTGTTAACTCACCCGCCCTACACCAGACACCCACTTTACTTCCAGAATGTTGTTGGTTTGCAGAAGATGATGGCAAGCAAGGCAGTGGTTGAAATGCGACATGTTAATCCCTTAAAGTTCAGTGATAACCAAAGGCTAAGCAAAGGAAACCTTGCCCCAGCCGTACAATCCTAACACAGTCACTACACCTTTCACAAGATCTCCTTGACATGAAACACAGAAGTCCGGGTCACAGAGCCAGTGTAAAGCAGCTCGACCTCAGTGCATCAGAGACTGAGCAGCATGGATTATCTGTTATAAATTATATATTATAAATTGGCTGCTGCTTTTCACCTGAAGACATACAGCCAATTCACTTTCCAGTATATTCTGTGAAGCGCTTTGAGATGTCTCAACGACGTGGTAATACCAATTGCAAGGATTATTAATAAAAGTACATGAATTTTTTCCAACGTGAACGTTGCCCCATCACTTTTCTTCTGGTTTTGAACTAGTTTGGGCAAAATTGCTGTGAAGGAATTACTGTCACAACAGCAGAACTATAGAAATTACAGCACAGGAGGAGGCCATTCAGCCCATCGGGTCTGTGTAGGTGCTCACTCACCCACTGGAGCTCTCTACTCTAACCCCTACCCTAACCTCACAGAGTCCTGTAGCTCAGTGGTTAGAGCACTCGCTTTGCAAGCGAGAGACCTGAGTTCAATTCCAGGCAGAGGGTGAAACCTTTGCTCCACACAGAGCCTAATAATAATCCCTCCAAAAAAAACAATAATAAATTGGTCATTTTCAATCCATGACTGTTTGTGGGACATTGCTGTGCGCAATTGGCTGCCGCATTCGCCCACAAATATACAGTCAATTCACTTTACAGTGTGTTCTGTGAAGCGCTTTGGGACGTCCTCCCGACGTGAAAAGCGCTCTATCAAATGCAAGGATTATTATTATTATTCCCTGCTCTCTCTCCCCATCGTGTCTACATTTGTGAACCCATTAACACACCATTGGTCTTAATAACTCCCCCACACTCTATTGTTTATTTAAATCAGTGTGATTTATCGACATGAAGAATTTGACTGATTTAAGCAACAAAAACAAAATCCCCCATGAAATGAATCCGAATTTAAGGCATTTGAGGTTTAAAGTTCTGATGGGAGAGCTTGGTTGAAATCTCTTTTGATTGAAATTTCTCACTTTACGTTGAGCGATGGGTAAGGAAAGATATGCGCAATAACAACCTACATTTACACGGCACCTCTCACGTGCAAACACACAACTTTCATTGGCTTTGAGACGTCCTCCCGACGTGAAAGGCGCAGTGTCAAATACAAGGGCTGTTTAGCGAGTAAAGGTCCCGAAGTGCCTTGCATTACATAACGGACGGTGCAAAGAAAGTCACACAATGGCATCCCATAATAATCCTCCCTCCTGGAGTCGGTGTTTCACAGCTGAAGACTTGTGTTCTAGAGCAAAGCAGCAACAGGACAAGGAAGATGGAGAGGCTCTCGTGAATGGGTAGCAGATTTATAGCCAAAACATCTGTAGGGGTATAAAGTCACAGACAGACAGGCACAGTGGGGTGACAGGGAATTGGGGAACGGATTCTGTTGCTCTCAGTAGACTTTCGGGGAATACATTTCAATCTCCGACAACCTTCTGATTGAAGAAATTTCTCCTAACCTCTCCTCTCGGTCTTCGCGCAAATTTATTCTCTTGGCCTGCCCCATACTGTCTGACCCACGTGGAAACCCATCACCGTGCTTAAGAATGTCCAAACTCCCCCCCCCCTACACATTTCCGACTGTCTGGAACAGAATACACCCCTCCCTTCCCTAAAGGGAGATGCTCAATTATATCAGAGAGTTTAAGACTCTGGTCGATGAAGGCCAAGGCTTATATGTGTGTGTGTGTGTGTGTGTGCGCGCGGTGGTTGGGGGGAAGAACCCTAGAGAGTGTGTTGGGGTAACTGTTGGGAGTTATACCAACTAAAACCACATAGATTGCAAGTTTCCCCATACTTGTTCAGCTAGGACCACCCAAAATGTTAATGGTTTGGCTTGCAGGGTTATCAGGAGCTGAGTGGGAAGGATCCCAGTCCCCAGTGCCCAACCAGCCTCCCCTGCGAGGCCTGTGGACAAGCCAGGCTGGTCTGTCATCAGCTGATACTCAACCGTTCACCCTGTCTGCTGTCTTGTCACATGCAATCCGTAAGCGACGAAGAGGAATGGGAAGAGACCGTTCAGTCCATCGAGCTTGCTTGTTAGATCTTCCAATTTCCATTTCCCCGCATTTTGCTCCTTCAAACCCATCTTTACTTCCCAAGTTTCTCAAACCATCACAGATTTGAGATATCCCAGAGAGATTCTGTGTGTGTGTGTGTGTATATGTGTGTGGGTGTGTGTGTGATGGTGTGTGTGTTGTGTGAGACTGTGTGTGGGTGATGTCCAGGAGCCATGCATCCCAGAATCCCAGCGCACTCTGTGTGAGAAGACTAAGAACAAGGCTCTCACTGCTTGGGCAGGTGTGGAGTCAAGGAGTTCTCCCTATTGCTGGTTCCGGCTCTATGTATTTGCGTCTCTCTCTCTCTCTCTTTCTCTCTCTCTCTCGCTTGCTCTCTTTGTCAAGGGGAAGCGGAAAGTAGCAAGGTTCAGCATGAATGAAGAGATGGGATACAGCGATGGGCTGGGTGGGGGCAGAGGTGGAGGGGAGGGTCGAAAGCAGCAGAAGCAGATGGAGGACGACAATCTTGCTGGCATCAAAGCTCCTGGAGTCCGCTGTAGCCATGCACAGTGACTTCAGCCGTCGCTACCTACCACTGCTGTTGGCCATGCCATTGCCACTGCCATTGCCCCCGCCGGGTCCTGGCGAGGAGACCACTGTCCTGTAAGTGGGGGGCGGAGGAGGAGGGGGAGAGCCCCTGGTCCCCAGCGACAGCTCTTTCAAGGATGAAGACGATTCGCTCTTCGGGGCGCTGGCTATGCCTCTCTCCGGCTCCGGGGTCTGCCTCTCGTCTGGAGATGGGGGCTTGGGGGGCGTGATGGGGGGTGGGGGCGTTGTGGTGGGGGGCGGGGGAGTGGTGGTCGGGGGTGGGGGTGTGGTGGTCGGGGGTGGGGTTGTGGTGGAGGGTGGGGTTTGGGAGCCAGTTGGCCCCGCTCCTGCCCCTGCAACTGCCCCCGCCCCTTTGGGAGAGGATGGCCTATCACCCAAAGGCCCTGCCCCTACATCTGCGCCATCCCCATCCCCTCCCCCAACATCAGGCCCCTCGGAGAAATCGATCCACGTGTTCTTGGGCAGCGAGGCTCCAGGGTGGCACGGCATCTCAGGCCCAAAGACCTCGTCCAGGTTGGCGATGGAGAAGCGGTTGCCGTCCTGGGACAATACGGGGCCCTGGGGGGTGGCGGAACCCTGGGGCAACCCTGGGCCCTGGGAAGACACGGGCCTCTCAGGCCCCTCGGCACAGGCTCCAGTCACTGCCTGGACAGCACCATCCAGCTCTGTCTCAAAGCCTTGTGGGGGGGCAACTGGCTCGGACATTAAATAAACCCAAGTGGAGAGAGAGAAAGAGAGACCGTGGCAGGAATCAAAGAGAGGTAGAGACAGAGAGAGAGAGAGAGAGAGAGAGGGCATGTTAAAACACACAGAAAAAGGAAAAACAAACCCTCAAAGGTTAAAGATTCGGAGAGGAAACTCCGAACTCCCAGGAGATTGAGGAGAACCTCAGGCCAGGATGGAGTCCCCTACAGGAGGTGACCGTCACTTCCCATGTTGCCTTTCCCGATATCGAGCTGCTATTTACGGGGGCGTTTTTCCAGACAAGCCCCGGATCAATCCCGACTCTCTCCCCAGAATCTGGTGGGCCGGAGCCCGAGGGAAAATCCCACAAACTCCTCACACTCCCAACGCCAACTCATGGCAGCTGGAGCAACCATCTCTCCAGGATCGGGCCAGGAGTTTAGCCGATGGGATGGAAATGGTGAGAACCAACCTGGTCATTAAAGGCCCCCATTTCCCCTCCCTGGCTCCCCTACCCTCCCCCGCCCTCCACACCGTACCTGATCCGTCCGCTGAGGGTGACGTTGTGCGGGGCGGGCTGACCGGGACATTTTTCGGAGGCAGCGGAGGAGGTGCTGAAAGAAGAGCAAAGAAAGAGAAGAAACTCTTTTGCTGCTGCCAAACTTTTAACCTTGTGTTTTGTCCGTTCTACTCATTTTTCTCTCCCAGAACAGTCCTCAAATCCCACGTTAATAATCCTTGCATTCGATATAGCGCCTTATCACATGGTTGAGATGTCTCAAAACCCTTCGCAGGATATACTGTAAGGCGAATTATTTGTATATTTTGTGGGCGAAAAACGGCAGCCAATTGCGGACAGCAGGGTCCCACAAACAGCCGCGGATTTAGGGACCCAATTATTATTATTACTTTTTTTGGGATGGATTATTACCCCCCCAGAAAGTGACCCACCAATCAACTAACAACTGGGTTCCTCCTCACTGCTACAGAGGTGTGTGGAGTAAGGAAACTTGCCTAAGGTTTCGCACTGTACAGGAATAAAACCCAGGTCCTCTCGCTTGCGAGGCGAGTGCTCTCACCAATATGCCGCTGCCTTAAAACCTATCCCTCTGACCCAACCAACGGTCATTAATGCAAGTGTATTAATACAAGTTGTTGTCTCTGTTTTTCCTCCTCCCCCCTCCTCGTTCCCCCCACTCCGCCATTCAGCCCGTAAGCCTGTTCCGCCATTCTATTACGTATGATCAAATAGTGGTACAGGCTCGAGGGGCTGTATGGCTTACTCCTGTTCCTATGTTTCCCCTCACTGCGTGTCCTGGAAACTTACCTCCGGTCGGAAAGCACAGTGCTGAGGACGACAACTCATTTTGGGGATCGTCGGCCGAGACGGGAGCCCAGATCTCCGGTTGGTCGATGACTCCTTTTAAGAGACGAGACAATGTCAATCTCAATCTCTGGGCAGCAAATCCAAATCCCCCTCCCTCCCCAATCCACGTCTATACAGACCTGTCCACTGCCTCCACTCAGCGGGCTCCAGCTTACTCCACGTTCCCCCGCCCGGCCCACCCCACCATTGGTGGGCGGGCCTTCAGTCTCTCTGCCCCACCCTTTGGAACTCCAGCCCACAGCGCATTCGCCTCGTCTCCGCCCTAACCTCCTTCAAGGCCTGCCTCAAGACCCTCCTCTTCGACCGCGCCTTTGGTCAACCTCCTCCCCCCACCCTCCCTGCCCTCCACCCCTCCAGATCCCAATCCCCAGCTCGGGTCTAAATCCTTGACTGTCCAGCACCTTGGTAAGTCCTCCCAATGTGAAAGATGCTGTGTAAGTTGTTGTTGTTGTCCCCCTGGATTGGTGAGCGCAGAGGAACCTCCACAGTCCAGTTGCCATCTCGCTCACCTCCCTCTCTCTCTCTCCACATCACCCACAGGTGCATTGTCAATAGCATTATCAGTAGCCCGAAGACACTGTCACTAACCCGACTTGCACCGTATGTAGATTCACGGTAATTACCTTCTGATTTGAGAGTGTGGAACGCTGACTCCAATGGGGGGCCGAAGAGAGGAGCCAGAGAGACTGGGTCCTCTGGCTCCTTCTTACTGTGGGAGAGAGAGATAAAAGAGAGGTGGATAACAAGAGGGAGACAGGGAACAGAGAGACAGAGAGAGTGAGAGAGGAGGAGAAACATTAATGGAATCAACAGGAACATAGCTGTGAATCGACTTGTGGCATCTGATAATTTCGATGTTATAAATTTCATCCCAATTTGAAAGTGTGTCTTGGTTGTGAGAAATCACAAGGTCCTGCCAACTCTGCCGTTCAATTTACTCTCAAATACTAACTGTTGGCAGCAGCCCCGGCCCCCGACCCCACCAAGACACCTGCTGACCATAACCCACCAGAGAGACTGAGGATCATAATAATCCTCGCATTCGATTTATCACGTTGTTCGACGTCTCAAAGCACTTCAACGGATGCACTGTAAAAGTGAATTGACTGGGTATTTGTGGACAAACTACTGACCCACCAGTCAATGCCTCTCTCAGTTATCCACCCCCACCCACCCATCACCGCGTTCCCCGCCCGGAGGGGAGAGATGGTGAGGACAGTGAAGTGTACCTGACGAGCTCGGGAGTGGGGGTTGATCGTCTGGGGCGAGCGATTTCTTCACCTGAGGAGGAAAGGGACAGAGGGTTCATTCGACCCCGACTCAAGGGACAGGAAATCGATTTCATATCAAAACAACCCGCAGCGACATTTCATCAGCAAAAAGTAACCAACTCGAGGAATTAGCAAAATAAAATCAAAGAAACCACCACCGTTTCTCTCCAGTTACACACCGGCACTGACACGTACAGATGTAGCACGGTGGGAAAATTGCTCATAAATATCCAATACGGGTACAGGGGTGTCCTGTCGCACGATACTGTCTTCCGGAGCAACAAAACGGTTGTTTTATGGGTCTTTGGTGTTGCTGCTGATGTCACTTCCGTGCAACAGGAAGCCCCACTGGCAATTGCTACCTGTGCAAAGTGTGCGTTCACGTCGGGACTTCACGTTGGGCGTGTGGGCGAGGCGCAGGAAGCGACATCAGCAGCATCCCAGCAGTCGGCCATTTTCACGCACCTCGTTTTAATGCGGGGTGGGGGGGGGGGGGGGATCCGAGCCCGTCAGCCCAGACCAATGAGTTATCGTGAAGGTCCTGTATATATACGCACTCAAAACATAGAATTGTGATCTGGGACGGCTCTGCCTCTCTCTAGGCATGTTGGAAGCAATAAGTAATACTCACAAGATAAATTTCTTTTGATGGACCCCTGGAGGGAAGGAAAAAAAACAGACAAACGTTGATGGAGGAAGGAAAATGAGATGACGCAGACTGGAGAGTCGCAGACGCTCTCTGGGGCACTTGACACTTACCATGGGACTCAACTAAATAGGTGCTGCTTGTTCTCTCCAATGCCCTGTGCACTATTTTATTTTATTCACATCACCCCCCAATGTATTTTATTTCGTGCTCGCCGCACAGGAAGTGACATCGGCGGCAACCCGGGCATTCGGCCATTTTCTTTTCATGCAGGCCGTTTGCCCTGTATACAAATAAGTTGCCTCCGATGTCACTTCCTGTGCATGGAGCCCAAAATGAAGTACAGACGGAGGGGAACCACGCGTTTCGTTCACTCTCTTGTGTGAGGAAGAAGTGATTAGGGTGTTTAAAAAAGGTCGGAGGGATGGACACTTGGGAATTGAGGAGATTGCGGCTGTGTGTGTGAGTGTGTTGTTGTGCGTGTTGGGGAGGGAGGGGAGAATGAGGCAGAGAAAAAAGTCGGCATTAATAGATTTGCCGTGATGTGATCCAATATACGGTGTAACAGGCTTGATGGGCTGAATGGCCTCCTTCTGCCAGGACCTAGAGGCTGTCCTTTGGACGACGGGCACTTGACACTTACCGTGGAAGATGCTGGCAGTCATGACTCGCTGCCCGCGGTGACAGAGAAGAATCCCGGGCAGGAGCTGGAAAGTTCTCCCAGATTTTACCCATTTCAGATTCTCAGCGTTTTGCTGCCTTCATTGTTGCCTTCTCCCCCCACCTCCACACTCCCCCCCCCCCCCACCCCACCCACCTCCACACAACCTGATGGGAATTGAAGCCCCTTCCTATTCCTTTCAGAATTCCAACGTGTGGATTAAGGAGATATTCCCCTGACTAGGACTATTTCTAGACATTTAACAGGTCTTACGCCATGTTTGCACGTGCAGATATCTCACTCTCTCCTGCCTGAGTTTTTTTGCTTGTACATAAAGAGCATAAGTATTTGCTAGTGGAAAGCAGACAAAGGTCCATCCAGTGCACCTTCCACCATCCTTGGGCATTCGCTTGCGCATGCCATGTCCCAAACTCTTCACTGGTTCCCCAGATATTATTTCCTAACAGAAATCTATCTAACTTTCTTTCGAAAGAATCAACACTTTCTGCTTCCACCGACTCTCTCCCTAGGGAGTCTGGTCCGTACATTTACTACTCGCTCACTGAAGTACTGTGTCCGTAGAAACACCAGTTACGTAGTACATAACGCCATGGGGCACTACATGTTGTTTTCTACCGAAAACAGGAATTACTGGGTCAAATCAATGAGGTTTAAAAAGCCCCCAAAGCGTCCAATTCTATTAAGTTGACAACAGTTTCAAGTACATCGCATCGCATGGCTTCCCCAAGGTCGTGGCAACATTAGGATTCCTCATCCTCGCCTATAATGAAACATCTAACAATCACCAGAAAGTACAGACCTAACAAACGCCCCAATATAAAGAACGACTCACCGGGCTCCGTCTCTGGGATCCGGCAAAAGGGAAGAGAGAACAGAGACCTGGTCAGAGAGTGACAGAGTTGTGAACACAGCTTTTTGTTGTGTGTGTAACAAAAACAATTGCACAGACATCAATAAAATCAATAAAATAATCAATAAAATTATCCTTGCACTCGGTACGGCGCCCGTCACGTCGGGAGGACGTCTCAAAGCGCTTCACAGGATTTACTGTAAAGTGGAGTGACTGTTTTTGTGGGCGAATGCAGCGATGTCACACAAACAGCCGTGAATGTCAACAAGCAGAAACAGCTGCTTATTCGCAGCGATGAGATACCTGACGACAGTGATCACTGCCCCTGCACGCCAAAATGTCTCCCAATCCTTCACTGGGGATTGCTGTCAAATTGCAGCGACTGTGCATCTATCAGAAAATATGGCAACCAATTTCAGTTCATCAGTATCTCACTCAGCTGTGACGGGATTGAGGGAATAATCCGGGGCACTATCAGACATGATAATAGCATTACGGAATCTTTAATGTCCGCCTGAACAGGCACAGACGGGAGCTCAGTTTAGCATCTCATCCATAAGATAGTCTCTCCGGGGTTGTGTTTCCTTAGCACTGGGCTGGAGAGTCAGCTTGGACTGTGATCTTTAAAGCCTGACGCTGGGACTTGGACCTGCAATCTTCTGACCCAGATACACGCACGAGTGATTGAGCCAAGCGCAATGATGATGCAAGTTCGACGAGGGGGAAGGGCTGGCGGAAGATAGTGAGCTCAGTGAGATTAAGTCTTGACCTAAGCAGGAAGGATGCTGGCAGGAAGAGGCACAGCTCAGGTATGGAGGATAAGAGTCGAGGACCTTAAATAAAGACAGCAGCATCGACAGGGTAGACAAACAGAACTATTGTCAGAGAGGAACAGCCCGAAGCTGTCAGATGGATCATTTCAGGAAATCATTTCATTACTGCATATTTCATAACCCCTTCATAACCAACATTTCATTTGTGTTTAACAGGCCACCCACAGAGAGAGATACACAGACACAGAGAGAGATATATATATATACAGAGACGCGGAAGTAGCAGTGGCGGAGCCTGACTCCGAGCAGGGGAGAGGGAGGAGCTGACCGTAAGCGCGGTCGAAGAGGAAGGTCAGCAGTTGTGTTCTAAAAAAGGGGAATGAGGGGGCGAGGCGGAGAGATATGGGGCAAGGGGTGGGGTAGGGGAGAATTCTAAAGCTTCGGGGCGTAGTGGCTGAAAGCACGGCCGCTGATAGTGGACCGGAAGGGTTGAGGGGCAAGCAGGAGGCCACAGTCAACTGAGCGGAGGTGACAGTAGTGGAGTTGGGAGAGAGGAGGTCGGAGAGGTAGCGAGGTGCAGGGCGTAAAGGGATTTGTAGACGAGCGAGAGGATCTTGAAATCGATGAGTTGTGTGACAGGGAGCCGGTGGAGCCTGGTGTGATGAGGGTATGGAGTTTGGTGTGGGTGAGGATGTGGGCAGTGGGGTTCTGAATCAGAGACACAACAACACAAGATTACATTTGTGTAGCGCCTTTCACGTCGAGAAGTCGGCCCAAGGCGCTGGACGGTGCACAGCGTATCAGACAGATAGATAGAGACACAGAATGCAGAGAGATAGAGAGATAGAGATATTAATTTGTTGCACGGTTTATGATTTAAAAAGAGAGCAAGTGTTAGACTTACCGGACTTCTCCTCTGAGGAAGCATTTAGTGAGAAAATGGAACAAGAGGAAAGATCGATCACAATGCTCCATGGCTGCGTGTCATGGCCTTGCTCCTTCCTATCTCGGTCATCTGCTAACCCCATATCAGCTCCCTCTGCTCCCACCCCACCATCGTCTTTCAGCCTTTTTGCCCCCACCTTTTGGAGCTTCAACCCACAGCCCCTCCTCCGTCTCCCCCCCTCCTTTGCCTCCTTCAAGGCCCGTCTCAATACCCTCTTCTTCGACTGCGCCTTTGGACACCCTCCTAACCCTACCCTCCTGATCACAACCCCAAACTCGGGTCCAATCCCTGACTGTCCAGCGCCTTGGAACATCCTCCTGACGCGAAAGATACTGTGCAAATGTCATTTTGCATTGCGTTGTTGAAGCGAGACCCCTCGCCCCACCCCCACCCACCATCCCCCACTGCGAGGACTCACCACTGGGGACGGTGAGAGGCAGATGTTGCCCACGGAAGCCTTCAGCTCGTCCACGCTGGGGGCCACGCAGGGAGGGGCGTCCACGGGGGGCAGCGGCCGGATGTTGACGGTGAATTTCTTACGGTGATCTTCCTCCGACTCCGATTCGCTCGAGGAGTAAAAGTGCTTCTCTTTGGTAGGTGCTGGAGGGAGGTGCAGTCAAGGGAACAGCACGCAATGCTCTCACTGAGCAAGGCACCCTGCTCCCACTCCCCCCAACACACACGCACATACACACAGTCACACACACAGTCCTTCCCACCCCCACACACATACACACAGCTATCCCCCTCACACAAACACACACACACACAGCCAGCCCCTATACACAGACATCCCATCCCTCTAACACACATACAGAAACTCAGACACACTCACAACAGACACACATAGCCCCCACCCACTCTCCACACACCCCCCCCCCCACCCCCACCCCAACACACAGCGAGCTCACTCTGACGAGGTGGAGTTAAAAGATTATAACCTGATTTGTCATCTGGTCTGACGCTGTAACCTTCATCATCAACCTCTGGGGAATTCTGAGAAGAAAAGAAAAGGCAGGATAAAACGGCTAGAGTTACTAACACACTCAAACCCACACATACTCACCCACACTGAAACACACATACAAACACACACAGACAGACAGAAACACACACGCTCATTGAAACACACACCACACACACTGAAACACACGCCACGCACACTGAAACACACACACACACTGAAACACACACACACTGAAACACACACGAACACACACAGATAAACACTCTCAAACATTCCTACATAGCGACAGATGCAGCGTTGTTGGTCAGTGGGATAAAAACCTCACATAATAATAATAATAATATCACATCGCATGCCACATTCTGCGCAGAGCTTCTCCCACCTCTGCTCCCTGGGGAAGGTTGGGGAGCTGGAACTCTTAACTCCTGACCTGAAAGAGGATCAGCCACTTACATAACGCTCCCAGTCGATCTCGGAGTAGAATCCATTGGGAGCTCCGTTGCTCTTCCTCTGCAACAACAGAAAATGACATTTACCCAGCGCCCGCCGTGGGGGACAGTGTCTGGGAGAGTTGCACAGAGGACGAGAGGAAATAATCCTTGCATTTGATACAGCGCCTCATCGCGTCGTCACAGAATATAGTGTAAAGTGAATTGACTGTATCTTTTGCAGGCGAAACGCGGCAGCCGATTGTGCACAGCAGCGTCCCCACAAACAGCCGTGGATTGACTGAGTGATCAAATTATTAATTTTCTTTTGAAGGGATTATGACCCCCTGAAAAGCGATTCACCCAATCAACTAACCACATGGGAATCGAACCCGGGTTCTCTCTCGCTTATGAAGCGAGCGCTCTAACCACTGTGCTACAGGACTCAGCGAGCAAGAGCGGGTTTGTTAAACTGGGAAGCAAATGGTTCTATTTGGTAATTAACCAATTTAAAATTAATTATGATAATTACTGTGCTTGACCCTGACTGCACCCCTCACTTTGGTATTACTGATAATTATCATATAGAGACAGAAAGATCAGATACTATCACCCCCCCCCAACCCTGCTCACCACCCCGCACCCACCCCCCCAGTCAGTCTGAACATGCAGCTCCGCAGTTTCCCTTTCACGCAGGTTGGGGATTCAAGCCCTCTATGTTGGGGACTTTCAGCTCATAAGTCCACACTGCTGTCTCCCATCGTATAGCCAATCACCCACATTAGTGACCCACAAACAGTCGTGAATTGAGGGACCACACATTTTTTTTAAAAGGGATTATTACCCCCGGAAAAGTAATCCGCCAATCGACTAACAACAGGGTTCCGACTTATTTCTAGTTGACGGAGGTGTGTGGAGTAAGGAAACTTGTCTAAAGTTTCACCCTGCCCGGGAACCGAACCCAGGTCCTCTCACTGGTGAGACGAGCGTCTCTCTGACCACTACTCTACAGGACGCCGCAGGAGTGGGCAGGTGACCACGGGCGCGGTCAACGAGCTAGGATTTAAATTGTGATTTAAAGCGGCAGTGAAAGGGTTACTGAGGATGGCGTGTGAGTGCGCGTGTGTGCGTCTGCATTGCCAGACAGCCCATAATACTCACACTTCCATCTCGGTCGGGCGAACCTCTGTATGAGAAATAAGAGAGATTAATTTATCTGAAACACACAGGGAGGGCAGGTGTGGGCGGGGGGGGGGGCGAGCTGGTTCCCTCGGCTCCCGATCAGCCAACCCAGGAGGCAATGATGCCAAGTGTAGCCTCAAATACTGCCCCCCACCACCCACCCTCACAAACACCTGCCCCCCTCCGCTAGGATCAGTGACTCAGCACAGAGCGAGTGGGGGGGGGGGGGGGAGAGTGGGGGAATGTGTGTGGGTTACAACGAATTATTGGATGGATAAATAAATTGTCATGTGCACTTTGATCGTCTTCACACTAATTAATGGTTTAAAGAGAATTTGTAATGAGCCGTTGCTCTAACATGTCTTTGGCTTGTACCCCCCCCCACCCCGTGCCCTCCGCTCGACACTCAACGCTCCTACGGGGGTGACATGGACATGCGTTGTTCTGTTTACATGAACATGTAAACTCCCAGTGGGTTCCATCACTGATTTGATCAAACCGTTTGAATGAGCTCATAATTATCAGGTATTTCATGCCACTCTAATTTAACCCGATTCCCTGCTCTCTCCCCCCATCGGGCATGTGCTAGTGCTCACTCCCCCCCCCCCCCCCACTGGAGCTCTCTAAAATGGGAGATGGACGGGAAAGTAAAAGAGGGATTAAAAGATGTGGGAAAAGATGTCGGAACGGTGTTCGAGGATGCGTCATGGTGTAATAAGCTGTTGAAGCAGGCTGGGTGGGCTGAAGGGCCTCCTCCTGCTCCTGTGACAGGCTGGAAGCAATCGGTGAAAGAACAGCCTCGCATCTATTCGAGAAGCCTTTGTCTGACTGAAGCTGAAGACTATAAAAGACGATGACTCAGACGGGTTACGATGCTGTTATTCGGTGCGTGTTCCCCCCCTTCTCCGCTCAGCCTGGATCGGGCTTGGTGTGTAGGTGTCTGTGACTCACACTGAACCTGCCGTTTGATATTGGCTCTCCTCAGGGTCACTGAACCTTTTGCAGCCTTTGATGTCAGCGTTGGCCTGACAGGGGTCATATTGGTCCAACCAACCAGGGTCCAACTCGCTGTGATCTTACACAGCCTTTATCTACCTCTCAGTAGCGTTTGCATTTATACGTATGTATACACACGCACACCCACACACAACGCCCCTCACGCAGGGTGAGGTCCCAGAGAGCTTGACAGTGTCATGTTTCATACCTGGTTGGCATCTCTTCCACACCCACCACCCCCCCCCCCCCACCACCCCGACCGCCCCCGGGATAATGGAACGAGTTTCCTTCACCCCAATGGAATGGAACGCGAGCAAACTCACTCTTCACGGTGTCAAAGGGGGGGGAGTGGGAGCGATCTGCTCAGCGATCTGTGCGTCAGGTTCCAAAAGGCCCATCTGTTGGCCAAGGACATTACAACACCTGGATTTGACAACAACTATTGAAACAGCTCAGGAGGAGGCCACTCAGATCAGCAAGCCCGAGCAGCTGCTCGCTCTCCCCAGGAGGAGGGGGGGGGGGGAGAGCTAGGAGGTACTATTACCTTCCCCCCATTGCACATTACCCTCAACCCTCCCTGATCCCACCTCCGTCCTGTCCCCCAGATCCGAAATCTTTGACTATCCAGCGCCTTGGGACGTCCTCCCGACATGAAAGCGCTGTGTAAGTGTAATTTTGTCTTGTACTGTAATTTTGTGTTCATGGACAGCGACGGGAAAGGGTGTTAGTGGGGTACGGGAGGTATTTAGCTGGTCCACTTCCCATTTGCCTTCCCTACTGACGCCAACACTCACGTTGAGTCAGTGTCTTTCTCTTTCTTCCGTATCCCAAAGGCTTTTCTTGTACGTTTTTTCAATCCTGTTGGAAACCATAAAATATAATAATAATAGCAGCATTTGATATCATAATAATAATCCTTGCATTTGATATAGCGTCTTATCACGTCTTCGAGATGTCTCAAAGCGCTTCACAGGATATACTGCAAAGTGAATTGATTGTAAACATAATGATAATAATTACTGTGCCGTCCCTGCCCGACCCTGACTGCCACCCACAATTTGGTATTACTGACACTAACACCCACCTCTCACTCCCACCACCCCCGGCCTCCACCCCATGTCTGAACGTTGAGCTCCGCAGTTTCCCCCTCATCCAGAATGTGGGTTCAAGCCCACCATGTTGGGGGCTTTCAGCTCAGTCCAGTGCGTCGCTGTAGTGTAATTCTGGGTGGGGTGGGGGGACATTGTCGGAGGTGCCCTCCTTTGAATGGGATGTTAAAACCTCACTCCCCATCTGTGTCCCGTTCAGGTGGACGTTAAAGACCTTAACGCGCTGTTGGAAAAGAGAAGAGGGTTTCCCTCTCCCCGTGTCCTGACCGTCAGATAAAATAAATTGGGCCACTCACTACACGACCATTTGCGGATGTTGCGAACTGGCTACCACATTGCCTCCCAACACACAGTCACTACAGTTGACAACATGTCCCTGTGAGGTGTACTGGGAGGTTTAAGCTGCTGTAAAACCACCCCTCCCAATCGCTCCTCCTTTCTCTGACTGTGAACCTGCGACTATGACTTGGGGCTGCTCAAGTGTGTGACTCATTCCCCTACTCAATGTCACACGCCAGCAAAAATAATCCTTGCATTTAAAATACCCTTATCACATCGTTGACCTGTCTCAAAGCTCTTCACAGAATATTCTGTAAAGTGAATAGACTATATTTTGTGGGCAAAACACGGCAACCAATTGCACACAGCAGTGTCTCACAAACAGTCGTGGATTGTGTAACCAAATTATTATTATTTTTTTGAAGGGATTATTACCCCCGGAAAGCCATCCGCCAATTGACTAACAACCGGGTTCCTACTTATTGCTGGGTAAACAGAGATGTGTGGAGTAAGAAAACTTGCCTAAGGTTTTGCCCCGCTAGGGAATCGAACTTGCCAGGCGAATGCTCTAACCACTGAGCTACAGGACTCCACACGAGAATCTCCTTCCCTGAAAAAACTCCAAATCCAGCCTAATGGATGAGTCAGCAGCTCATGGATAAACACTAAGACATTTGTTGGAAGCACTGAGAGACTTTGTGCTTTCCTTAGTGAAAGTTAAGCTCCAAAGTGGATGAATAGAGAACAAACCGTGAGATATCACAAGAGAGGGGTCTGGCGAAGCTGTCCATTCAATCCCATTCTCATCCCCTATCCCTTCGAGCCTCTATACACCAACATACCTAGACAGTCCATGACAGCATTCTGGTGTTGTGACGTTATTCGAAAAGAGAAGAGTTTTTCTCTCCTGGTGTTCTGGCCAACAATACCCCAAATAAAATTGGTCACTCACTCCATGCCTCTGGGGTTTCCTGTTTGACCCAATTGAAGCTCTCCCAACAATGCTCTGTGGCAGTGGGTAAAGCAAACCAGATGTTGAGATGTATCAAAACATCAACAGCAAGCCGAAATAGTGGGGTAATCCTGCCACTGTATGTCATTGGCGAGACTATACTTAGAGACTGTGTACATTTCTGGTCGCCGCAGTACAAACAGGATATTGGAGAAATCGAGAAGATACAGAGGACGGCAATCAAAATGGTTAAGGGAATGGAGGGACTGTGACTATGAGGAGCGACTAAGTAAATTGGGCATCTTCACGCTGGAAAAGAGGAAATTGAAAGGTGACAAGATTGCTGTCTTTAAGATTTTAAAGGGGCAAAACAATTTAGATCCTGAGAGGCTGTCTCAACTTGTCCAGAATGGTGAAACCAGAGGCCACCCTGCGATTGAAAGGGGGGTAAATTCAGAACGACTCTACGCAAACACTATGGAGCAGGAACAGGCTCCCTAGAGAGACTTTTATAGCAGGAAGTGTTGATTCTTTTGAACACAGATTGGACGGTTTTCTTTTAACATTACGGGATATAGAACATAGGGAGTTTGGGACATATGTGCATGCAACCGCCGGGAAGGTGGAAGGCGAACTAGACAGAGCCTTCTCCACACGCCTCTATTTACCTAGCAGTAAGTGGGAACCCGGTTGCTAGTCAATTGGTGGATCTCTTTCCGGCGTAGTAATAATTCCTTCAAAAGAAAAATAATAATTTGATCACTCAATCCACGACTGTTTGTGGGACGCTGCAGTGCGCAATTGGCTCCTGGGTTTCGTCTGCAAAATACACAGTTGATCGACTTTACGGTATATTCTGTGAAGGGCTTTGAGACGTCTCGAAGACGTGATAAGGGGCTATATCAAATGCAAGGATTATTATTTATTATTGTTGTAGTAACTGTATATATTGGGGGGAAAACATGGCAGCCGGTTTGTGCACAGGAGGGTCCCCCAAACAGCCGTGGAGTGAGCAACCAATTTTATTCGGGGGATTAACTGCCAGGACATAGGGAGAGAGAAACTCCTGGGGAAAACTGTATCCCCCACCACCCAATGGCCACATCTATATGTGTATCTCTGAAACTGCAGCGCTCCCCCATCGCCGCACTGGAGCAGCATCTTAGTCTGTAAGCTCAAAGTTCTGGCATGTGGCTCACACTCTCAACTGACTCAGAGGTGAAAGCGCTTCCAACCCAGCCAGGCTGACGCACTCACTGGAGGAAATCTACACCCAGGAAGAATTCCTTCCCATATTTCCTCTGGTCGGTGAGTCATAACTGGAGGGCATTCATTTAGAAGGAGAGTTTTTTTTTATATAAGCAAGACACCCACACATACAGGCAGGCGACCCACATGGGCAGACACAGGCACACACATAGGCACACACTGACACGCACACACACAGACACAGACACACACAGGCACAGACAGGCAGGCAAACACAGACACACACACATACACACACAAACAGACACACGCACAAAGATTATGAGGATGTAAAACATAAGCAGAATCCAGAATAGCTTCCAAATCATAACCCTGACATCTGATTCATCACCTTTCACACCAGGAGGATGTTTCAAAGTGCCTCATGGGATTCACTGTCAAGTGGAGTAACTGTGTTTTGTTTCTCTTCACCAAATTGGGGTGGGGAGAGGAAGGTTCAGTTACTTTATGATCTACAGTTTCCTGTTGTTATAATGGGCATCTGGTCACAACCTTCCATTCAGCTTTTTATCCTCTCTCCATAGACTGCAGGTCATCCAAAAATCTGCAGCCCATGTCCTCTCCCACACCAGACTCCATGACCCTGTGACTCCTATCCTCGCCCGACCCCACTGGCTGCCCATCACACAGAGGATTCAGTTCAAGAACCTGGTCCACACCTTCAAAGCCCCCATGGCCTTGCTCCCCCCCTACCTCTGTGACCTCCTAACCCCCTACCATCCTGCCTGCTCCCTCCGCTCAGTGGGCTCCGGCTTGCTTCACGTTCCCCCGCCTCACCCGCCCCACCATTGGCAGGCGGGCCTTAGCCACTCTGCCCCCACCCTCTAGAACTCCATCCCGCAGTCCCTCCGCCTCGCCCCCGCCTTTGCCTCCTTCAAGACCCATCTCAAGACCCTCCTCTTTGACTGTATCTTCGAATCACCCTTCTTCCTCCATGCTCCCGATCTAGACCCCCAGCTCAGGTCCGAAACTCTGACTGTCCAGCGCCTTGGGACGTCCTCCCGACGTGAAAGACGGACGTAATTTTGTTGTATGTTTCTCTCTCTCTTTCTCCTTTGTTTCTCTCCTCTCTTACTTTCTCCCTCTCTCCTAACTATTTCTCTCTCTCCTCATTCTCCCCTCTCGGTCTCTCTCTCTCTCTCTCTCTCTCCATCCCCCACTCTGGTAACTTATACTATGCGTCAGGTGAAACTGTGATTAATAATTTATTTTGATGAGAAGGAAAGTGATTGTTTTGCATCAGAGAGAAATGGCGAGTGATCCAGAAACCAGCCCATGGTTGTGTTGGGTGGAGGGGCGGTGGTGTGGGTGGGGAGTGGGAAAAGGAGGGGCTGAAGCTCAGGGAAGCTTTGTAGCTGCAGGGTGGGAGAGGGGGGAAAAGGGTGTGGCGGGTGGGGAGGTGGGTTATCACTGGAGATAACTATCACATCGAAGGTCACACGTTCTCAATCTGTCCCATCCTGCGACAGAGGATGGGGGGGAATGGGTGAGAGAGAGACGCACACACAGGGTGGTGAGGGGATAGGGGGCGGGAGAGTTAAAGGGAGGCGTTGGGACGTGGAGGGATTCATAGGTGTGTAATAATAATAATAATAATCCTTGCATTTATTACCCGCCCTACCATCGGTGGTCAGGCTTTCAGCCTCTCTGCCCTCACGCTCTGGAACTCCACCTCACCCGTCCCTTCGCCTCGCTTCCTCCCTTGCCTCCTTCAAGGCCGGTCTCAAGACCCTTCTTCTCTTCGACCGTGCCTTTGGTCTCCCTCCCACCTCTCTGCCTTCCCTCACCCCTACACCACCCCTCCCCCATGCTCGGGCCCCGACACCCAACTGTTCAGTGCTTTGGGACATCCTCCCAAAGTGAAAGGTGCTCTATACATGTAATTTTGTTGTTGTTGTTGCATTTGTGGGTGAGACATGGCAGCCAATTCCACGCAGCACTGTCCCACAATCAGTCGTGGATTGAGGGACCAGATTTTGGGGGGGGTGGGGGCGAGGTGAGAGTGCGGCGGGGAGCAAAGTAGAAAGGATAACACAGAGGGCACGGGTTTTACTTTCAGCCTCTCCGCCCACACCCTTTGGGACTCCATCCCACAGTCCTTCCGCCTCACCCCCTCCCTTTCCTCCTCTTCGACTGTGCTTTCGATCATCCTCCTACCCTCACCCTCCGCACGCCCATGCTCCATGCCCTCCAGCTCTCCTGATCCCAGCCCCCAGCTCGGGTCCAAATCTTTGACTATCCAGCCCCTTGGGGCATCCTGTTGTGATGTGATGTAAGCAT